AGAGTTAAACGACACAATGTTCTGTTATCAATTAATCAAAATTATGAAAAAATTTGAGAAACCTACTAGACGTCGGTTATACGTTTTTATAAAAGTTTTTCCTACACAGTTTTTAAAAAGTTATAAAAAAAGTTAACGAAGTGAGAAGGGAGAGTCACAGGACAAATTAACGCAGAACAAAAAGAAATTTGGGATTACTTTTGCCGACAATTTTCAATTACGGCGACACAATTCCTCCATTCTCTCTGACGAAGGGCTAACACTCGAGACGTCAGCTTTGAAACTCTAACGATGGCAAATTTAAGTTATCATCTCAGTTGCTAATACCAAATTAGCACACTTTCTATCGGTTTACCAGCGTAATAACCCACGTGGAATGCTGGGAGAATACGAGAAATGTTTCTAAATCGCGGGCCAGAGGAAAGTGATATATATAATTAAAAAATTTTCGAGTATTCCTCCAACTTTCTGCGTGGGTTTCCACGCTGGTAAACCGATAGAAGTGTGATCTATTACTTTTATGAAATAAACTTCAATCTCCTTTGGGTTCACTGGTGAAATAAGCGAGAGGCTTTAGCCCAATCAGGGCACTCGTAGTATCCTAATTATATTTTTCCTAAAATGTGTTTATGTCTTTAGAATGGAGTTGAACATCAAGAACATTACAATTTTGACTGGGTTCCAAGAAAATTACAAGACCTCTTCATTTGACAAGCCTAGCATTGCATGTAAGGTTGCAAGCAGCATTTTCATTCCACTCTTCTTTGTGGTGGGAGTTCCAGGAAATATTAATGTCCTGAAAGTTTTAAGACGCCATCAACACATTTTCAACCAAGTAACAAAGTGTACTCTTCTTCACTTGACCATTTTTGATTTGATATCTTGTTTGGTGAACTTTCCAATGCTGCTTGTGGTGGCATCGGGTGAAACACCGAACGACAAAGCTGTTCATGTTTTACAAATCGTCTCCATTTGCTTGACAAATGCAACGATGTGGAAGAACTGTGCGTGTTTGATTCTTCTTGCTTTGATACGCCGCGATGCAACGATTCGAGCGTTTCATTCACAGGTCATTACCATCCGGCGACTGAAAAGATGCCTTTGTGCAACATGGTTTATATACTTGTGTATTATCTTTAGTGCGTTCTACATCTTCCTTGAAGTACCTTACACGTTTGGGCCTCCTCGAACTATCACAAGAGTCATTGCTAACCAGGTGTCTCTAGCCACGCCCACTATGCTGGTGTTACTGAGTTTAACATTTATTTACGTTCTAAAATCTTATTGTAACATCAGAAGCTTTTTAAGGACGCAGGCCGATAATATGGAAACTTATATTACAATTCACCAGGCAAATGCACGACGCGAGAATGAAAGAAAACTTTGTAGGGCCATGTTACAGGTCACAATTGTGTTAGCTGTGACAGCAATACCTCCCACCATCATGCCAATTTTCCATAAAACGATCAGCGTAGATGTTTGCATCATAACAAGAGTTCTCACGTTACTGAATCAAGTAACAAACCCTTTCATTTACTCAAATATCAGCGAGGACTTCCTGAGATTTCTTCCTTGCTTTAAATCTTCATGCCTGGAGAGAAATCACTCTGTCGACACCGCGCAAAATTTACCGCTTGAGGACGTTACGCCTTACGTGACTGCTTCAAGCGCGCAAGAATTCCCTGTTAGCCTTGATACAAACGCTTTAGAAGGGGAGACAGCAAACCCTGAATTAATCAGCAGTAATAATACTACTGCCATGCGTGAACATCAAGCTAGGACACAGTCTCAAAATTCGCGAGTCCACTCTAATAAGCCAGTTAGAAGTAGGGACAGCGATGCTCCATCCACAAGTCATGCGCGGTTTCTTGTTTCGTCGGGACGTTTCCTAAGAGGACAAGATTTGCCAACTGTTGATATCTAATTTGATACAGGACAGAAGAAATTCTCCCATATTTCATGTACTCAAACAAGAGTGAGCGAGCAACGGGTACCAAATTAAACATAGTCGCTGATTAGTAAAGACATGAGAAAATAAGGCATATAATCTCTTGGTGATGAGAAGTGGATTCATGGTGTAAATAACATGATCAGGGATTTTTCATTCAGTCAACCATAACGTACGTGGATTGTTATAAAATCAACGTTAACTATAGAGATCTTACGAAGAATTTTTATTCACGTTATTAGCCGCATTTCAACACAGCGGTCAAACATCGGGCATGCGCGAGGGGACCAATTGTGGCCGGCCGCGCGCCAATTTCCCGCGCAAAATCTAAAAGGGAAAACATCGGAGACAACAGCTGTCTCGCAAAATTGAAACTCTCAAAGAAATCTGTAAAAGGAAACAAAATTAGGAAAAGGAAAACTCGAGACTTTTCTCCTCAAGTCACCCCATACTTATCGCCAACTTAACGCGTCACGGTTGAGTCCAGTTGAAATGGCCACTTACATAACGAAGGGAAGGCAGATCCTTTCTTGTTCAGCGAGGTCGTTCAGCGATAAACTAGTGGTGATTTAGTCATCCGCTGACTAGCTCCGCTGACTAAGCTCATTTAGTCAGTTTAGGCGGACGACCAGAGACTGGAGCCATTCCTGTATTTCACTGATGACAGGAATGGTTCCGAGTCATGCATTTATGAATTTTTTTTTCGTTTTGGCTAAATAATTTACCGTATTTACCCGTGTATAATACGCGCCCATATATAATACGCAGCCCGATTTTTGACCAAATTTTTCATAAAAAAAAGTTTTCGCAGCAAAAAAAACGTTAATTCTCCCTACAACTGACGTTTCGCAGTGGTAAGTTTACCATTTTTTACCATTTTTTACCATTTAGAAATAATTTACCGTATTTACCGGTGTATAATACGCGCCCATATATAATACGCACCCCGATTTTTGACCAAATTTTTCATAAAAAAAAGTTTTCACAGCAAAAAAAACGTTAATTCTCCCTACAACTGACGTTTCGCAGTGGTAAGTTTACCATTTTTTACCATTTAGAATTTCTTATCGCTTGTGATTACAGTAATACGGTACGATCGTAATGTTTATCTCGTCAACTGTTTCTTAAATACTCTACTAAATTTATTTATGGATCGAAACTGAAAATGTTTCATTGGTATATTATTTAACTCAAGCCAATAAAGACCAATTACTACGAGGCTTTCTTTAATTTCTTTGTTGTGTTTGCGGATCGAAATTGAAAATGTTTCATCGGTAGATTATTTAACTCAAGCTAATAAAGACTAGTTACTACTAGGCTTTTGTTACTTTCTTTGTTGTGTTTTTAACGTATGCAAATTAGGACGTGCTTGAAAAACAGTCAAAACCGTGTATAATACGCACCGCAATTTTGACGGTTATTTTTATAGAAAAAAAGTGCATATTATACATGGGTAAATAAATGAGATAAAAACTGAAAGAGCATTTTGAACTCTACAATGCTTGTAAATGATTCCCTCTTATATTTATAGAGGGCCATGTAGTTTCTAACTGCACGTCACATTTGGAAAATCACGTCATGTTGCGTGACGCTGCGATCTAAGTTACAGTATGAATAAAGGGGTAAGTTTCTAAAGAAACTGTGGTGCTGCGTCGGTGGGAGAGTAAAGCAGGTAATTTAGTGTCAACAACTGAGTTGAAAACGTAAATTGGCCACCTTAAAGAGTAAGAAAGCTGACGTTAGAAAGATCCCCAAGATGAATTTCCATTGTCTTGTACCTATAGCCGGTAGGATCTCAGGACGCTTAGAAAATACTACCCGGCTAGAGGTACAGCTTGCATACTTAGTCAACTTTGCTCAACTGTTACCACGATTTACTTGACATTTTACTCTTTCTGCACTCCAAATTAGTCTTACATTCCTCTGAATCACTTTTTTCCAAGAACACGTACACATTTATTTATTTTTATTTGGTCTTGTACCTCTAGCTGGTAGGATGTGAGGGGGCTTATAAAATACTACTGGCTGGAGGTACAGCTTGCATACTTAGTCGACTTTGTCCAATTTTTATGATAGTTTGCTCCACATTTTCTGTTTCTGCACTCCAAATTTGTCTTACACTCTTGGAATCACTTTTTACAAAAGAACAATTACATTTATTTTTTTCATTTGGTCTCGTACCTTTAGCTGGTAAGAGCTTAACCCTTTATCTCCCATGAGTGACCAAGACAGAACTTCTCCTTACAACATCAGTACAATATCAACCAGATAAGTGATGAGAATAGAGAAAAATATCAATTAGGGGATGATTAGTTGATCCAATACTAAATTCTCTGAACTAGCATTTTAAGAATTGTATGTTTGACAGTAAGGAGAATTACAAATTTGATCTGGGAGTTAAACGTTTAAGAGGCATAGAAAACACTACTGGCTAGAGGTACAGCTTGCGTATTTAATTGACTTTGGCCAATTTTTATTACAGTTTGCGTTGAATTTTACTTTTTGGCACTCCATTTTCACTACATTAGAGTCACTTTTTTCGTGAATATCTTCTTGTTTCTTGGTCGTGTATTTCTAGTTGGTAGGATCTTAGCTGGCTCAGAAAATACCATAGGCTAGAGGTACTTCATGCATTTAAGATGAATTTAGCTCATTTCATTTACTTCTCGATTTATGGTAAAATCTTTCTACATTCCATGTTAGTCTTGTACTGTTGTGAATTCACTCCATAGGTATATTCTCATGCTTTGCACTCTTGTTCATCTGGCTAGTGTAAACATATCAGGTCTGCGGTTATAGGTCTCGCGCATGCGTTATGCAGGGGCACATGGCAGGCTCGACGTTGTGTGGTTATCGTTCTTGTTTTGAGGAATTCTGGTTGTACCACTGTTTACAATAAAAGTAAGTTGACAGTAACTGAGGCCCACACAATCACATTACATGGTGTCAGAAGTGGGATGCCGAAGTAAGTAAGCAAATTTGATGACAATTTAACTCGCTACACTGGTGGAAGTGGAAGAGTGAACAACACGACCGATTGAACAAAACAAAAATGGCTACCGCCTCGTTTATCGACAAAGGTCCCTCCATGGATTGGAGTACAGACGACAACCTATACAGCCGCTTTAAAATGTGGAAACAGAGATGTGAACTGCTATTCACTGGCCCGATGGTGAAAATAGATGAAGAAGTACAGTGCAAACACCTTCTGTACTGGTCTGGCGAACACGGAATGGAGCTATTCAACAGTTGGGACTTATCAGCAGATGACCAAAAGAAGCTAAAAAACTACTGGGAGAGATTCGAAAACTACGTAAAGCCTCACTCGAACGAGCTGATCGCAGCGTGGGAGCTGCATAACCTCCGTCAAGGTACCTTATCACTTGAAGAATTCATTGCTAAACTAAGAATTCTTGTTAAAGAAGCTAACTACCCAGCAGAGCATCACAATCGATTTCTAAGAGACTTCCTGGTGCTTGGCATGAACTCCGACCGTGTTAGAAAGGATTGTTTTAAGAAAGGAAATACCCTGTCATTCAATGAAGCCAGAGAATTGGCAAAAACAGAGGAATCAGCTGATAAACAACTTCAGTTGATGAACACAGCCGTAGAAGTGCACCCTGTCACTTCTGAGAACAGAAGCCCAAATCAGAGAAACCACTCAAATGCAGCGGGTGGTACGAAGCAAACCCAAAATGGCAATCGATGGGGCAAAACACCAACCTGCAGGAATTGTGGCTGGGGTCCTCATGCACGTGAACAGTGCCCAGCAAAGAATGCAACGTGTCACTACTGTCAGAAGGTAGGACACCTAGCCAAGGTATGCCTGTCAAAGCTTAGAAAAAAGAATGTGCATGAAATTGAAGCTTCCAGAAGTAGCAATGCTTTACCCAACTCAGAGTCCACCCAGCCAATAAGTGATTATGTGTTTTTGGGCCCAATTGAAGCAACACCTCTATCCATGAATGTCCATTCCATATCCTGTAGAGAAAAGGCTCTACTAGAGGTGTCCTTGTCGCTGGGGCCAGAAGGAAGACAAGTCAATACACTCTGTAAAATAGACTCAGGGGCAGAAACCAACATTTTACCTAAGTCCCTTTACCAACAGCTGAATAATGGGAGGATGGGTTTAGCACAACCCACGATGAGACTATCCGCATATGGTGGAGTAGAGATTCCTAACCTTGGATCTTGCCAAATATATGTAAAAGGCCCTAACAACCCCAGCCCTAAACCTATTCAAGCAGAAGTTGTTGATGTTGACGGCCCAGCCATAATTGGAAACATGTCAGCACAAAACCTGAACCTCCTAAAGCTCAACTGGCCAATAACCGCCAACCAGTATAGCGATGATCTGATCAGCCACAGAGGCACACCCAACCCTCAAGTAAACCACACCAGGCCCACGCATGATCTGCATACATTTAGGCTATTTGACATGGGAGGCAAGCAGCACCCATTCCCATTAACAAAGGACTATTTGTTAAAAGAATATGAAGATGTATTTACAGGAATTGGGTGCTTCCCAGGTGCACCATACCACATAGAAACCGACCCCAAAGTGCCCCCAGTACAACATGCACCAAGGCAGGTTCCAGTACAATTACAGCAAGCCTATATGGAAGAACTAGATCAATTGAAGAAATGGGGCATCCTTTCTGAGGTTCGCAACGAGTACACCCCATGGGTTAACTCGACTGTCGTAACAATAAAACCAAATGGATCGATTCGCTTGTGCCTAGACCCTCGGAACCTGAACAAAGCTGTTAAGCGCAATCCCTACTATGTGAGAACGATAGATGATGTGATACCGAAGGTGAGTGGCTCAACCCACTTCAGTATCTTAGATGCACGCAGTGGGTTTTGGCAAGTTAGCCTAGATGAGGAAAGCAGCAGACTATGCACTTTTAACACCCCCTGGGGAAAGTACAGATGGACCAGGCTTCCATTTGGTCTCACGTGTAGTGGAGATGTCTTTCAAGAGAAAATGGACATGGTCTTCGGTAAGTTGGAAGGACTAAGTGGTATTGCGGATGACACATTCGTCTATGGTATAGGTGAGGCAGAACATGACCAGCGAATACTTAATGTCCTCGACACAGCGAGGGAGAACAATGTGAGATTCAACCCAGACAAATTTCAGTTCAAGGTAAACGAAGCATCCTTCTTCGGTCTCACATGGACTCCTGAAGGAATCAGACCTGACGAAAACAAAATCAAAGCAATCCGTAACATGCCACCTCCAAAGAACCTTGATCAACTACCTGAATAGATTCTCACCCATCATAGCCCAGACTTCAGAACCTGTAAGACAGCTGATGAAAAAAGAAACGCTATTCATGTGGCAGGCAGAGCACCAAAAAGCATTTGAGAGTCTTAAACAAGTAATTACTGAGGCACCAGTCTTGGCGTACTATGATCCAGAAAAAGACAACCTGATCCAGTCGGATGCAAGCCTTCAAGGTATTGGATGTGTGCTGATCCAAGACAGTAGACCAGTGTGCTATGCAAGTCGGTCACTAACTGAGACTGAGTCGCGTTACAGCAACATAGAGAGAGAGCTACTTGCCGCCTGTTGGTCATTAGAGAAGTTCAACCACTATGTCTTTGGCAAAAGTGTCATCATTGAAACAGACCATAAGCCGCTGGAAAGCATTTGGAAGAAGACCATAATGAGTGCCTCACCGCGGCTGCAGAGGCTTTTGCTGAAAATGGCAAAATATGACGTAGAAATTAGATACATACAAGGAAAAACCAATGTGATAGCGGATGCTCTCTCAAGGGTCAGTTACATGGAACCTCCCCTCAAAGAAGACGAAGTGCCTTTGCTTGAAGTCAACGCCATCACAAGCACTCTACCAGCAAATCCCGCCAAACTGGAAGAAATACGACAGTGCACCGACCAAGACGTCGTACTCGCACACCTTAAAGATGTTGTGCACCATGGCTGGCCAGAATATCCGAACGAATGCCCCCAAGACTTAAGGGAGTTTTGGAATTTCAGAGAGGATCTCAGCGTTGAAAATGGCCTCGTTCTCAAGAGACACCGCCTCGTGATTCCTAGTAGGCTCCGCCCACAGATGTTGCAAATAATACACCAAGGACACATGGGAACGGAAAAGTGCCTCCTAAAAGCAAAAGAAAGCTTATTCTGGCCAGGCATATCAAGAGACATAAAGGAACTAACAGCCAACTGTGCCACATGCATACAATTCTCTAAACAGCAGCCAAAGGAAGCGCTATGTCCCCACAGTGTGCCCAGTTTTCCGTGGCAGAAACTTGGTTGCGATTTGTTTGACTACCAAGGTGCACAATATCTTCTAGTCGCAGACTACTACAGCAAATACCCCATCCTAAGGAAGCTGAACTCAACGACATCTGCTGCTATTATCAATCATCTCAAGTCAATATTTGCCGAGCATGGAATACCAGAATCCCTGGTTACAGACAATGGACCCCAATATAGCAGTCGAGAATTTGCTGCATTCTGTGATCATTGGGGCATTAATCACATTACCAGTTCCCCACTATATCCAAAAAGCAATGGATTCATAGAACGGATGGTCCAGACAGTGAAAAACCTGTTGAAGAAATCAGATGCCGCCGGACAAGATCCTTATCTCGCACTTCTATCGTATCGAACCACGCCTATTGACAGCAACCTACCCTCACCAGCTAAGGTTCTAAACCAAAGAGATTATCGCACACAACTACCTTGCAGTGGACGACTACAGCGCTCTCAAACCATGGAATGTAACCAAGAGCAACTACAGCATCGACAAGATGTCCAGAAACAGCAGTATGATGGGAAGTCCCCTCGTGAACTTCAAAAGCTAGTACCAGGTCAACAGGTGTCTGTGTTCCAACCGCGAACCAAGACTTGGGTTCCAGTAGAAGTAAAGCGAGAAACTACCCAGCCAAGGTCATACGTAGTAAAGACAGCTGGTGGTTCAGAGATAAGGCGCAACAGAGTACAACTGAAACTGTCGGGTGAAAGAGTATCAACCTCTGAAGAACAGATGGAGAACAATCGGGACACTTCCTCTTATCAGCCCACCACACCTATGACGACACCCCACGAAGTTTTGTCATCGGAGCCACCACAGACACCCCACAAGCCAGCTCAACCCACTGAGAAAAGTGATGGTCTGCCTTTGACAACCAGGAGTGGCCGTGTTGTAAGGAAACCATCTAGATTGGACTTATAAACTTCGTTGCAGACTGAGAAAACATTTCAGTTTAAAGCTATTATAAGCTGTCGTTGTGTTATACCTAACTAGCCAAACATTTTGTATTGTAGTTAGTCCCGCTGCCACACCCATTAGACTTTTCAGGGTGGAGATGTAAACATATCAGGTCTGCGGTTATAGGTCTCGCGCATGCGTTATGCAGGGGCACATGGCAGGCTCGACGTTGTGTGGTTATCGTTCTTGTTTTGAGGAATTCTGGTTGTACCACTGTTTACAATAAAAGTAAGTTGACAGTAACTGAGGCCCACACAATCACATTACAGCTAGTAGGAGCTTGGATTACTCAGAAAACATTCCAGCTAGAGGGGCAGCTTATGTATGTGAAGTAAGCTTGAAATCATTAATGTTGTTATGTTTTAAATGAATTTCAAGGTAATAAATTTTAAACTAGCCTGATTTGTATTTTCTTCAGTTGTGGATTTATTACAAATAAATATAGCCAGTTTTAGATGAATTTGACTTGAAATTCATTACAGACTTGAACATGTCAACTAGATTTACTGAAGTTTGTCATGTTATACTCTGCCTAAGTATGAGTAGAATTTCTTAGAAAGGAACAGTCTCTATCTTTATGATATTTGTGTTTGATTAGAATTATTGTTGACAAGGCCAACCATTGTCTGAAATGCTAAAATCAAGTCATCTTTAGGTAGTCATAGGATAATATGATTTTAATTCACAAAATTGACATTTTCCTTTTGTATTTTTAATGATATTTATCAGCGTGTAGGACTGTGTGAAAACCTTCAGGCAAGTTATTCTTGAAAATATAAAATGGCCATCTGCTTTATTATACAGAATTTATACAATCATATAAATGAAATTAACCTGTGCCGGTGTTATTTATTGTATTTTTAAATAAAAATTGCTATTATTAAAAAGAAATTACACCTTTCTTATTTGAACACCAACCAGAAACCCTTTGGTTATTGCCTAATAATGCCTTCTTTAGTTTCAGCTGATTACCCATATTTTATAAAGAGTCATTTGATGCTCAAAGCTTGTGGGCTGTGCTATCAAATAAGCAGTGGTAGGTACACCACCAAGGAACAAGAAGATGTTCTTGAAAAAAAATGATCCCAATGTAGTTTAAGACTAAAATGGAATGCTAAAAAAGTAAAATGCAAAGCAGACTGTTATAAAAATTGGGTAAAGTCAATTAAATAAGCAAGTTGTACTTCAAGTATTTTTCTCTGCTTCTTAACACTTTAACTCCCATGAGTAACTAAGACAGAATTTCTCCTTAAAATATCAGTACAATATCAAGCAGACATGTGATGAGGATAAAGAAAAATGTTAGTTAGTGGATTATAGGTTGATCCAATGCCAAATTCTCCAAACTAACATCACAAGAACTGCTTGGCAGACAGTAAGGAGAATTACTAATGAGATCTTGGGAGTGAAAGGGTTAGGATCTGACTAGCTAGAGGTTATAGACTAAATAAGGGAGAACAAAAGAAAGTGACTCCAAGGAGTGTTAGACTAATTTGGAGTTTTGTCAACTATATATGCAAGCTGTACCTCCAGCCTCCTCAGGCATACCTCTAGGCTGTTGGATTTAGGCACAACCCTGAGAGACCGCTCAGATGCCCTACTCTACGCATGCGCTTAATTAGTCCATTCTTTGAACAATAAGGTTAGCAATGACATGTCCAGAATTGACAGTTTGATACCTTACCATTCTTGCCCTTATGTTATCTTTTGGTTGGGCTTTCCCATGACACTTTGCGAACCTATTCACTTCCGATTTCACTGGTGTGGAAACGAATGTGCATGTCTGACGACGCTTAAGAACCACAGACCGTAGTTCGATGTAGTTCGAAGGAAAAAACTCTAAAGGTAAGACGCTTAATTGGACATTTCCACCAACTCCTCATTTAAAGTTTTACTGAAGATCTGTTGAAGTCATGATAGCTTTTGTGGTTGAGAAATCTGTCTAATGAGCGCAATTTAAGTGAGTGACGTGTGTGAACCGGCTCGCAAATGGGAATCGGAGAGATTTTCATTAGTTTCGACTCTCTAAGAAATGTCGTTTGCGATACTTGAAGGATGACTGACTAGCAAACCAGCTCAATCAGAATATTACTAGTATTTTGAGCCTCGTTCGGTTCCTGTTCGGTTAAGATTGAGGTTGAAGTTGATCAATTAATTCTTCCATACAGAATAATCAGAGCGGTCAGCGTGTGGTTATTTTATTATCATTACCCCGCTCCAGCAAATAGATAATATTCTTTGTTTTTTTTGAGTGATACATCATATATTGTTACCTCGGGAGAGAATGATGATAGGAAATTTGTGTATCTACTCCCGTAAATCATAGGAAGTAAACGAAAAGTGGGTGACTATCAACTATGTCGATCGTGACTGCTAAGTGTTTTCTTTCTTGTGTCACGCAATGTACTACACATTCTAGCGCGCCTTGTTTCCCTTCTTTGAGGAAACATACTTCAATTCTCTTGTAACTGAATAATGTATTCAAGTCCTTAAATAGAGTCTTTTGATAACCATGTAAACTGAGAACCTATATAGCTGTATTCATGCTAAACTTCCCAAATTTTTGTTTATTTACTTTTGTTAAAAATGAATAAAAAGTAAATGGAAATTAGGCTTCACAGTCATTTTCGAATTTAAGTTTTTCTAAGCGCTGTCAGAAACTGAAAAGCTTGAAAAATAAAAGGATTATAAACTTTTTGCGTGAACAATCCTTAAATATGATTTAGATATCACATTTAAGGATTGTTCACGCAAAATAGGGATGCAGGTCTTGAGATTTCAAGTCACTCGTTCGACCCAATATATATGTCGCTTTTGCAAAAGGGGCTAAGATCAGATTATTTCAGGTATTTCTGTAGAATTTCTCTTCTTATAAAGGCTTGAGAAAAACGCATCTAAGTTGTTGAACACCAATTCCTTGCCAGCATAATCATATCCACATAACGTGGAATGAAAATTTCTAAGTATTGTTGAAAGCAATCCGTTTTGATCCTCTCCTCTAAAATCATCCATCCACCCTGTATATAAGCATAGAGGTTTTATATTAGCCATATATGGCTTTTGTGAGATTAACCGTTCACTCCGTTGATCTATTTCACAGTTTGGGTTGCAGTAACTGATCCTGAATTAGTTATTTCTTATTTAAAAATGGCTGCCGCTCTAGACCCAGATGAGGTGCTTCGTTCTTCGAAAGGGAGAGATAATTTTCAACATCTTGCTCGGCTTTTGATAAGTGGAGGTACTGTGCTATTGAGGGAGGTTTTTGACATCAAATGTCCACCGAGTAAACTTCGTGCAATACTTCAGAATCCAGCCACAAAAAAAAGGCTACATAAGGAAGCAAAGCTCACCAAACCACAGTGGGACTGTCTGTACCCTTCGCCAGGGATGTACGGAAAGTCAACAGACTTTGATATAACTCTCCTTTTCCGGTTGCTGAGGACAATATGCGGCCTCACCCCTCCTGTCACGGGCTGGGATGCGCTACCGGGAAGTACAGATGACAGTTTAGAAGCAGATTTAGCTAGAATCAAATATTATCGCAATTCGCTATATGGTCATGTGAACGAGAACATGGAAATCTCAGATTATGAGTTTTCAGTTCATTGGAGAGAAATCAGCGAGGCTCTGATGAGAATTTCGGGTCAAATCAGCCCAGCAAAAGCGAAACAATGGCAGAATGCTATTGATAAATTTTTAAAAGATCCCCTCACAGAGGAAGCCAAGAGACATGAGCAGGAATTGCAGCGCTGGTACCAGAATGATACAGAAGTAAAGGAATACTTGGAAAAGGTAGAATCTTCAGTGAAGAATTTGGAGAAAGAGGTTCGAGAACAAGCCCAGGATATTAAAGATGAGCTCGGAGGGAAAGTAGAATCTACAGCCCAAGAAGTGCAGTGCTTAGGACAAGACATCAAAGATGAGCTCGGAGGGAAAGTAGAATCTACAGCCCAAGAAGTGCAGCGCATGAGGCAAGAGTTTCGAGATGAAGCTCAAGACATCAAAGATCTATTAAACCTGAGTGGCCGACCCAGTTCCTCAGCCGGAGGTCAGCTTGTTGATTTTTTTCTGTATCTCTTTTACCAGTAAAGTATTTTTCCTCTAACATATGCACTCAGGCATCGTATCAGGGTTACCTGTACGGTGAACATTGGGCACGTATTTTGACATAAATAGCTTCATATATTTTTGGAGCGGAGAAATGGCAATTATTAATCGTTACTCGGCTACAGCCGGACGACCACACATAGTAATTGCCTGTTTTTGCCTCTGTTGCAATTCATGACACTTTTTCCCCTTACAGTTAAAATTCGAATGCGGATTGATTGTGAGACCATCCCAGACTCTCATCCGCGACTTGAGACATCAGAGACGGTGGTTATAGCCAGTCAGGGTACCCAGGCTTGTGGCGACGAGCTGGTAGTTACTGGAACGTCAGAAGGAACGCCTGAAGGTACACAGGATAGCCTGGCAGGAAGGCACAAGATGGTAGTTACTGGAGTTAAGCGTAAGGCAGGGCAACCTGTTGCATCTGCTGGTCAACCACTCGCGGGAAGAACAGTAAGTGTCGAAGAAGCAGGTTTTGGAAGCGAAGTTATACCCAGCGCACAAGAAGTTATACCCAGCGCACAAGAAGTTATACCCAGTGCATAAGAAGTTATGAATTCAATCGCACACAAGTACTTCAGGGTAGTTGACCCATCTAACCCTGAGGAATTAAATGGCTTTGTACGGTTTTTATCAGATGTGCGCAAAGTTCTGGTTCTGGATGCTCAATCAGGAAGTTTGATAGTAACAGTACTATGTAGTTCATTGAAGGTACTGGATGCCCTGTGGTATGACTACTGCACAGGTCACCTGAATGATATGGCACAGAAATATCTTGTGACAAAGGATGTTCTGAAGGAGTTTGACTTGACTGAGCTGAAACTGACAACAACTATTCAGGGGGAGGAGTACATTGCTGCACGAAAGTTTTTCCTGCAGGGTTCAGGTGAGCACATACAAAGTGTCTCGCAGAGCTGTCTTAAACCGAATAAATAGGGCATCGTCTTCGTCAATGCTTTAAAAAACGTTAGCAGAGGTTTGCATGCTATGTTTTTTTTGTGCCCCCTCAGACATGTTTATAAATTTGTTGTTACACCAGATCATTCAAGAAATTTAAGGATCAGATCTGATACTTGAGCTCTCTCTATTTAATCGAGAGATTGGGATCTAAGACGGAGGGAGGCGACGCTGAGACGACCTCACGACCTTTTGACATTTTTAGGAAACTGATCCAACTCCTTTATCTTGAGCCAGCCCAAAGTAGTAAATATCTTGTCAAGCCGATAGTTCAACAGAATGAACACATTTCTTTGAATAGCCGGCTGAGAAATGTATGGTCATCAGTTTGCAGAATTGTTCTCTCTAGATTTCTGTAAAAAGGGTAATTTTTGAGACCCGAGCACTCAATTTGGTTACCCGTCTCTCATACTGATGGACAGATTAGTACTGAGACAGCTTGAATGTATCTGTGATGAAGAAAGCTTACTATAATCAGTCGCTCAGCCAATTTATTAGCACTTTTGATGATGTTACCTGCTATATCATCTCTAATCTTGAACGAAGCTGATGTAATTTCTTTTTATATATGCTTTCAGATCATGGTCCATTTGGTATGACAAGTAGCAGAAGTAACGCAATCGGCCAAGAATCGACATCCCATGAAAAGCTCCACGATATCGCACAAGGAACAATGGAAACAGGTTCAGTTGGCTCACCGGAGAGTCCACTTAAAAAAATTGAAGGAATTTCCCCGGATCAGCAAAGTCTGCTTTGTGCTGGTAAAGAACTAGAAGATGGAAATACTTTGAGTGACTACATCTTTGTGAAAACGATGACTGAAAAGATTATCACTTTGGATGTGGAACCCTCAGACACCATAGCAAATGTGAAAACAAAAATCCAAGACGAAGAAGGAATCCCACCGGATCAGCAGCGTCTTATCTTTGCTGGTAAAGAACTAGAAGATGGCTGTACTGTGAGTGATTACAATATTACGAGAAGATGTACTTTACACTTAGTTTTACGAAGTAGCAGTGGCATGCAAATCTTTGTTAAGACTCTTACAAGCAATATTCTCACTTTAGACGCGAAACCTTCAGATTCGATTAGGAATGTAAAACTGAAAATTCAGGACAAAGTGGGTATTCCACCAAGCCAGCAACATCTGATCTTTAGGAGGCAAGAACTCAAAGACCACCAAACGTTAGATAAATACAGAGTTATAGACAAATCAACTGTGCATTTGCGACTCGAGGACGAACTTGGAAGAATCCTGATCACGGTGGAGACTCCGACTGGAGAGAAGATATCTATAAATGCCTCGCCAAGTGATGATTTTGAGAGCCTGAAAAGAGAAATCTGTGATATAACAGGGATTCCAATTAATCAGCAACACCTTAGCTTTGTTGGCCAGAAAGTCTTCGACGACCACCTTCCTCTGAGTGAGTACGACAATCAAGTTGAATTATCCTTGCGACTGGATATTGAAAAAAAGAAGAAGAATAAATTCCTAATTCATGTGAAGACACGATCTGGAAAGATGAAGATCACAACAGAGGCTGTATCGGCAGACACTATCCAGGATGTGAAAACAAAAATAACAGAAGAGATGGGAACACCGGCAAATCAGCTACAACTCATGTTTGACAACCAGAAACTTAAAGATGAACATCGCACTTTGAAAAGCTACAACATCACCAGAGACTCCACGATTGAACTAGTTATCGGAAGAAAGCATTTAGTCGAGATGCACACTCACGTATAGAAGCAGAACGGTATTAAAATCGTAAGAGGTGCATCACCGGAGGATAACATTAGAAATGTGAAAGAGAAAATATGAAAGACATGACAAGAACACCGGCTAACGAGCAAGGAATCATTTTTTATTACAAAAGACTCAAAGGTGACAACACCTGAGCAATTTAGGACCATTAAGGCGTAGAACGTGAATCCACACTGACTGTGATCACTGTATCTCTGACACTGTTTCATATACTCTGTTGGTAACGACTGATCCCTCCTCCGTTCATCAGGCGGGAAATAACGACTGACCCCTTATCGCCGGTGTAATGAAGTCAATGAAAGGCTCTGCAAGAATAAATCAAAATGATAACGAACTTTTATCTTTTGCCTTTCTTAGGGTGTCGCTGTGAAAAAGAATTTCCTCAAATTAGGAAGCGTTTGCAAGAGATGTAGGAATATAACTTTCAATAGCCTTTTTCTACAGAGAAATTAATGATAACATTTATTTTCCAATATTCATGCGTGAGTCTCAAGATATCGCGCGCTAACTATGTAACAGTCGTTTTGTTAAAACACATTTCTTTCGTGAATTTGATGCTAGTCTCTTTCGCAACCTTTCTACGGGATGTCACGCCGTTCTCCCTCGCGTGACATCTGAAGGAGACTTTGAAAGTCTTTAATCATATACAATGAAATTATTCTGTATTTTTAACCACAAACTATACTCAATTTTATCAGCATCTTTTTAAGTACAAATTTGATGTTAGACGAGATGAAGATGAACATTTTCCTTTATAAACCTTTTTTTATAACCCATAATTTTGAGAAACGCCATTGAAACATGACGTTTTCCCTAGCGTGACAACAAATGTACTACCAAAGTATATAGCTTTAGAAACTTTTAGTGGTGGCAATTTACATTATTAACTCAGCTGGTAAACAAAAGATGATGAAGGCACTAGACAGGAGTTTCGAAACATTGTGTCTATGAATTGTAATTTTTCGGTTACATTTATTAAATCTTTAAACCAGACCAGCATCAAACCGTGTCTGATTGTTCACCTGGTTGCCTTGTGAACTTTAATATAGTTTGATACTGTTTCCACTCAAATGGGCGCCGTCTTCTATCCTAGTTTCCTTTTTCCACAAGATCACGACCTTATCCTGTTTTGATTGATTCAATTCGCTTTATTGTCAATGGCTTGTACAAGAATGTCTTTGGAATGATTCTGGTGATTTTCCGTGATCGTCAATCAGAATTAAACCATGAACGATGCTACACCGCGCAAGTAACAATAGAATAGAAAAAGGAAATTTTCATCGTTTTTCATATACTTTCAACTTCCACTTACTTCATAACTCGAACTGCAAACTCGGAGCAACTTTTGTGTCCCTTTAACTCAGTCAAATAGTATTTCATCTTATGACCACCTGGTGTTGTTGGAAAATTTCGAAAAAAAAATTCAAAAAAAAGGTTCTACAATCACAACTTTTTCTTTATATTTTCAAGTCAGAACAAGAAATCACAATTATTGAAAAACGTGACTTATTTTCTCATTTCTGTTATCCCTTAAGTTCCACGTGAACAAATCCTTTTATTTTTGTCAGAGTGCAGGGCCAGATGGTTTTATCCAGACTGGCTCTTGTCAATCCATCTTATTTTCTCATTTCTGTTTCCCCCTAAGTTCCACATAAACAAATCTCTTTATTTTTGTTAGAGTGCAGGGCCGGATGGTTTTATCCAGACCGGCTCTTGTCAATCTGTCCAGCCCTACACAAGTCAGCTTTGATCATGGTTTTGCTATGATATTACTTGTCCAAGGTGAGCATATCGTATGACAAATAAGAATCCTACACAGTACAAATGCTAGTTCCACCTCTGATACCTGTCTGCCTGTCACTCATATCCAGGCCCCTTAGGCCAGACTACATCTGGGGAATGATGTTATCAATAGTCACTGTATTTGAGTTTAAAATCTTCTGGTGTACAGTCAGATTAAAAGAGAACTGTTTATCTAGCGTGTTTGGACCTGTTGTAATTCTCCTTGCCTAACATACCCTTTGTCGTCATACTTAAGGAACTAAAAGGTTAAAAGACTAACCCTCTGAATCCTCGATCTAGGTATTTGTTCTCCACACTGTCTGTCATGTGTTAAACAATTTAAGCTTTAGGAATTTGGTGATAAATCATTTAACACCCCTATGTCGATCATTTTTCCCTCTTCTCCTCACCTTTTTGCCTGAAAATGTAAAAATACTGTAAGGAGAAATCAATTTTTTGGGTCACTTGTGGGAAAAAAAAGGCAAAGCTTCTTACAGCTTGCTAATAATTTGAGGCTTGTCAGCAAAGATTTTTTTCTAATTGCCATATATTTTTCAAGTCATTTGAGACAAGAGCTTGCAGAGTATTTTCAATTGTCCCATCCTTTACTGATGAAACTAGTTGATACAGTAAGTCAGCTGGAATGCTAAAGTTCACATGAGGGAAGGTACAGGACATGTTTGCATCTTTCACATGACTTGTTATCATTCCTAACAGTTCCCCAGTCTCAGCAGACACCAGTGCCCCTCCACTTGTACCACAGTGAACTGCTGCAGTTGACTGAAGTAACACTGTCTGTTTCTGAACACGAACAATATTTGATATTACCCCAGAAACAACTGACGCTCCTGTGTTCAAGTGGCTTGCAAACAGAGGAAAACCAATTACAAGGACATCCTTGCCTTTCTTGTAACGATGTTTGGCAAAAGATTTTGGAGATTTTCTCTGCTCAAGATTAGTCTCTAGTCTTGATCTAAGAGGTCTTAACTGTTGATTCAGTTGCATTTTCAACAAAGCAAAATCTAAAGGGCATTCTTCTTGAGTGGCAAAGAGAACTTGTACTTTCTGATGAGCACTGTGGTCATAATTCCCACATAGCTTGACTTTGTCCTTGTCCCTGAAACATTGTACAGTATTACTGCTCCCTGTCACAATAAGGGGATTCTGACAATCTTTAACCACATGACTACAGGTTACGACGAGACCATCTTCACTATCAATTATAACACCTGAGCCCCATCTGTTACCACACTGAACCATTACAACACTTGAAAGAGCTATCTTTATTATGTCCTGAAGGTTAGAACTGTCTCGATCTACATGTATGACAGTTGAGTGGGTGCCTTTGTACACAAGCATGTTATCTTCTGTGATGACATTCTGCTGAGACTGTATTTTGACCTGGAAGTCTAACACATTGGCTAGAATTTCCGTTAACTTGAGTGGAATCAAAGATATGTTCCCCTTCAATAGTTGTGACAAATTATGTATTATATACCACAGTGAACATGCTAAAGTTATTCCGATCCACTCGCCGTTCCGCCAACAAAATGGTGCAAGAACGATTCCATAGAGATCTCTACCATTCAATAATCCAGGTTTTTGGTTGAAAGTGTACAATGCGCATCCTTCACAGCCTGGAATACAACGGGCATCAGTGATGATCATTTCATTGTTCCGTCCCAGGACATTAGACACGATCCCTTTAGAAACGCTGTTGTAGAAAACTTGGGGACATTCACACCCGAAAGGTGTGCCAATAACACACAAAGAATCGCCTATTTTAGGGTTTTCAAGGCCACGCAGCGTTCGTAGATTAACCAAACTGTAAGATGAGCAGAAATTCTCAGGATTTTTCACTTTGATCAGAGCAAAATCTGATAGGGCGGTCTGATGCAGCTGGGACGTGTCGTTCCCATGTTCTTCGTCTGAGGCTCCTTGAAAATATTTCTGATCATGACCAAATAGTTCGAATTTCCATTCCGACGTTGGAAAAATAAGTTCAGTAATTCTCTTAAGTCCGTAATCTCTCCAAAACAAGATAACATAGCCTTCGAATGTTCTAAATTCTTCGTCTGTGTGACTTCGAAAGATAACCTCGACAGCGATTTCATCATTTGGTGACATTGAACTGACAAGGATGGGGGAATCCTCGGAAATTGTCCGCTGCCTTTCATTTTGATGCAAAGTGTCACTAAATAAAGACGCAACTGTTAACAAAATGCCGTTATTACTGTCTAAAACGATACCACAACAGCTCCAGTCTGAATTACATCTCTTGATTATAACACATGGGACATCCGCCATGTTGGATGGATTAAGTAACCACGATTTTGTTGGAAAGCGGTCAACAGCGATGTGTTGATGCGCGCGAGTCGCTTCTCCACCTTGGCGCTGAATTTGACTTTTTGTTTTCAACCGTTGATAAGTTGATGATTAGAGATGGAAGCGTTAACATCGAGGGAGGACTCTGAAAACCGGTAAATTTAGCTTGAATTTAACAGGATATTCTAGAATTCATAACTTCCTTTGCTTAGGTTTCCTTTTTGAGTTTACAAATACGTTGTTAATGATCAGAACTTCACATAAACAGCTCTGTAATATTCACCTTCGTTATACATTCAGTAAATCTGTGTTTTTTTTCTTCGTTGTGTTTTTGAGTGGAAATATCATTTGGCTACCATTTCAATTTCTACAATCGAATTATGTTGCGACATGTGGTTCTTATGGGACATTTATTATCGACTAAGTAAGTGACTTAGTAGGAAAGTTGAGCAATCCATAACAAGTTTCATTGACAGGAAAAAATCTTAGGAAATTAAATACATTTGATTTTCCATTTGCAGGATCACCATTGGTGGTAAACGAAAATCTTCGAGCCGCCGATCTTCGGTGAGAAAGTTCATTTGTGCAAACATAAGATCAAAATGTGGTTCGTTAAGATTTCCACACACTCCTATACTATTGTAAAACAAAACCGTTTCCAAAGACAATCTATTGTTTTCGCTATGCATTGCTTTTTTTTTGTCAATTTAATAACTGTATGCATAATGAAGTGTGGGGCTGTACAGAAATCTTGCCTTGGTTTCTTATTTTTTGAAGTACAAATTACTGCTCTAAGCTGTTCTGATCTGCTAGCTTATAGTTATAAACACTATGATTCACTGTTGTTTATCCAGGTTTTGGTGACAATGAGCATCGTAACATTTTTTAAAAATTAACTTTGAGAAAACGACAAGCTAACACAATCTGATGAGAAGCAAGCTTACAGTTGGCAAGAGCCTTTAATGCTAATCTTAGCTTTAATGCTAGTCTCAGTTAGATGATCTTACATGTAGTGGCTTACATGGTGGATAAAGCAATCCTCTAGAATCATTGCAATCCCCCTCCCCCTTAAAAAAAATAGTAAACTTACTAAGGGTAAATGTATCTACTGGATGGTGATTACTTCCCACACTCCAAATGATTATAATGATTAGCAAAACTTGCCTTACAAAAAGCAATCACTTGTACACCTCTTCACATAAAAACGCTTCTCGAATAAAGTGCCCTGGGGCAGGAAAGGAACTCCCACTTTGGAAGAAATATTTGCCACTGAATCTTGGTTTATTTCAATCAATTTTTTTTCTAATGATAATCCTGTGGAGATTTTTCCTTACACATAACTTTTTCATATGTCATGCATGATTAGATTTTGAAGGCCACAAAATCTCCATTAAAAGCTGGTGTTTTAGAGGATTTGGATCCTAATTCATTGGATGATAATGGAAGGTGAGAACACATTGGCTACTTGGTAGAATTTTCTGATCAGCAAGGCAGGCTTTGGTCACAAGAAGAAAGAAATAAGTTTTTACAAACAAAATTTGCTGGCCAAGAGCACCTCCATCTTTTAACACATTCTGCATACATGATTTCTGTTCCTCCCTTTCAATGTGGGTGCAGAATTTGATAAACAGTTGAATCCACATTCAGTGATCAGCCATGGAGAATGGTGGGGCAACTGCTAAATACAGCCTCCACAAAATAGGGGTCAAATTTAATCACAAAAATCATTTGTTAGTATCATTTTCAAGGTGACAACTGCTTGTGCAAATGGCTGTAACATTAGGCAATTCTTGGTTGGTCTTATTGGTTAATAATTATTTTTTTTTACTCTTACAGAAACACATCCAAAAAGTCTAGGAGATCCTCTGGAAGGAGAGTTAGCTTTGCAGAGAAGAACGACATCAAGTAAGTTATATTTGGTTATTTTACACTGTACCTGAGGTAATACAATAGAACTTGTTTAACTTAAACCACCAAGAGTAATGGAAAAATGTTAAAAGAGAGTTTTAATCACAATTTTGCTAAGAACATCTAGTAACTCGGGTCAATGAGAAATGTTCTTTTAAGGAATTGACCATAACTCTTAACCCTTTAACTCTCAAGATCTGATTGCAAGTTCTTACCTCTAGCTGTTACACATTTCCTTGTAAATTAGTTACAAGGATTTGGTGGTAGTTCAAAATAACATTTTCTACCTGATAAGTTTGAGTATTTGTATTCTCATGACCTGTTTGCTGGATAATGTATGACTATTGTAGGGAGAAGTTACATGTTAATCACCCCTGGGAGTTAAAGGGTTAAGTCTGTGAGAGGTTTGACTTAATCAAGTCAAATTTAGCAGGGTTGTTTTGCTTATTATTGTAACAAATTTGAAATCATGTCTTGCTCTATGAAGTTTATTTCACATAATCCTGTTTAATTAATTAATTATACAAAAAAATTATGTACTTTCATTCTGCAGAGAATTTTTTGTAGAAGACTGGAAGAATTCATGGCCCAAGGATAAAGAGAATAGTAGGTTTTTGAAACTAATGATTAAAAAATATGTAGATTTTACCAAATGTGTATTCAGCACTGCAATTCATCATCTGATTAGTTTTTAGGAGTTAAATACCTAAATTGATTCCCTGATAAAATATTTTACAGATGATCTTCTGGAGTTAAGCACTTCTTCTCAAGGGTAAGAGAGCTTCATATATTGTTAATTTTTGCATTAGAAAAAATATGATTAAGTCTCAAGTCAGAAGAAAAAAGAGACAGTGCTTTATGTAAGTTGCTCAAATGAATGAAACATTTTACAGGAATGTCTTTTTTATGTAATGATATGTTTTAAATTTTATCTTATGGCTGATGTCTATCTTCCCTTGTTTATTATTGACAGCGAATACCGGGAACCAGCTAATTCCATTGAAGGTGAATATTTACATGAACACTTTACACCATAGCTTCATTATGTATATTCTGTTTTGTTCTCTGTACATTTCCAAAGGTACTGATGAAGAGAATTTGTTTAACAGTCAAGAGCTCCTTTTTTTCGTGATCATTTCCTTTATTCTGGTGACCTTGATGTGTGATTCAGGACTGATACTGTAAGGAGAAAGTAGATGCTAATCATTTGTAGGGGTCAAAGGGTTGACGAAAAAGAAATATAAGCCAATCTTCAAGTTCATTATGATAAATCATTAACCCTTTAACTCCCAAGATCTCATTAGTAATTCTCCTTACTGTCCACCATACGGTTCTCATGATGTTTGTTTGGAGAATTTGGTATTGGATCAACTCATACTCCCTTAATTTATATTTTTCTTTATTCTCATCACTTAGCTGCTTGATATTGTATTGATATTGTAAGGAGAAATTCTGTCTTGGTCACTCATGGGGATTAAAGGGTTAAACTGTACTTTTATTTTACCTCTTACTTTTTAGGTCTCGAATCCTTGTTAAAGGGCAATATTCAAGCACCAGATGATTTCAGTGTTTGCCAAGTGGAAATTGAGGTGAGTTTTTTGAAAGAAATTGCTTCAAATGATTTTAAAAAGGCTCATCTCTTACCTCTGTTATATCTGAAGTACAAATTTGTGGTCACTGAATGTGCAGAATTAGTCTTTTTCAAGAGCAATGTTCAATCTTTTGCATCCATCTAGTTTTTGTACTGTATGCTTCATCAAATGACAAAAGAGAGAGAAAGTGTACTGACCAGTCTTCTTGCAACTCATTAACAAGTATTGGTCATAAGTATTACATAGTATAATTTGAAAAGAAATTTGTATGAAATGAATTCCTGCTAACAAAGCCTCAGTGTATGCATCAGATTTATCTTAAGATCAACTTTACTTACAATATGAAATGTTTCTAATTATATTTATGGTGTAACTGTCAGCTTCAATGCTTAAGTCTAAGATACACATACTTACACTGTATTCGTAATTATTGTCTTAACAAACCTTAGGAGATCCCAGAACCTTTAACTCTAAAGCCAAGTGAACAGGCAGAGGAAATGGAGTATACCACATGCTACAGTTCAGTTTTGCCAAACAGTGCTACAAACATGGAGAATACAAAGATTTTCAGCCATGATACAGCCATTGATCTTGATATAACATGCTCACAAAAAGAATTATTTTACCAGGATGGTTTGAATAACCAGGTTATGTCACCTGCTGGTTTTCAGGAAAATGACAGAATGGACAGCACATCTTTCCTCTTGTCATTAGGATCAAAGCATGCACAAACTCAAGGAATTAAAGTAAAGCATGACACTGCAATTTCGGCAACGAGAAGTAATGACAGCATTTCCAGCAGGAGGCAGCCTATAGGTGAGATCAGATCTGAGCAGGGTGGTTATGACAGTCAGAGTGGATCCCAGCAAAGTCCATGTTCAAATGCAGATGTAGAGCTCACAGCTTGTCACAGCTTTGCTGTTCTGGAGAGCAATTCGCAGAAAACCAAACGGAGAAGCGTTTATGAACCTGCCGACCTTGAGCTTACATCCTGTTATGGCCAAGGACTGGCAAAGTCATCAGACAATCAGGAGGTTGGTGTGCAAAAGAGACAGGCATTGGGGGTTAGAGCAGATCTAAATGCTTTTAGAAATAGTTTTGAGACAAATTTACCAGACAAGGCACAGCCTGTATGTGAAACCCAGCTCAATATAACAAACTGTTCCAGAGATAGTATGACATCAGGCAAGAAGACACTACTGTCGTTTGATAATCAAACAAATGTGGAGGAAGTACATGATGATGTCACAACAAAGGACTCCACAAATGACTTTTCCTTTGATAGCACAGTCTTTTTGAGGTCCCTTGGTGCAAGAAAAAGCCCTATTGCTTCAGTTGATACAGACAACAGAAATTTAGAAAGAAATCAAAATGAAAATCAGTCACCAGAAAGCACTGGTCACCTGGAGATGACACGCTGTTATGGTACAGGAATTTTGCAAAACACGAGGTTACCAGTGTTGATCACAGGTAGCAACCATACACTGGTTTTTAGTTCTGATACCGATCGCACCGATTCCCTAGACCTGACTGTTTGTCAGACACAAAAACAACAGGCTGCTTCTGCTCCATTTCCGCCTCTTTTGCAACAAAATTCTCAAAATGAGCAAAACTCGCCAAACAGGGCTTCAAGTAAAATGAATTCTTCAGTTTTCTTAAGAGTGCTTGGTGAAGTGATGCCGTCTGTTGGAGACACGAATGAAGAAGAATGTGATCTAGAGCTCACTACTTGCCACAGTCAACCAGTACTGGAAAACAGTGCACAGAACACAAGTCGGAGCAGTGTTACTGAGCTTTCAGACTTGGATGTCACTTCATGTCATGGCCCAGGGCTTCTACAATCTGTAGACAACTGTGATAGATTAGATGCGAATAAAAGGAAAGCAAACCAGCTTTGTCAGTCTGCTGATGTAGATGTCACAGTTTGCCATGGTCCAGGGTTGCTGAAGGCATCTGGTGAAAAGGTGGAGGAGAAAGGAAGTAAAAATCAACTATCTGTAGACAGTGCTTCACAGGAAGTGAAAAGAAGAAGCCCATTTGAAGCTGCCAATTACATGACATCCCACAGCAGTCCAGAACTGCTCAAGTCATCTGGCAAAAACTTTGATGAAAGTGTAAGGTTTGACCAGTCTGGTGGAGACAGGAGTCATCAGATGATTAACAGAAAAAGTCTTTACGAACCTGTTGATGTAGATGTAACATCTTGCTATGGGGCTGGGCTGCTGAAGACATCAGATGAGAAATTGGAGGGTGTAGCTCCTCGTGATCAGTCTATTGTGGACAATAGTTCACGCAAAATTAGCAGAAAAGGTGTCTATGAGCCTGCTGATGTAGATGTAACATCCTGTTATGGAGCTGGGCTGCTAAAGGCAACAGATGAAAAACTGGATGCAATTGCTCCCTATATTCAGGCTGTTGAAGACAGTTGTTCGCGCAAAAGAAGCAGAAGAAGCATTTACGAACCTGCTGATGTAGATGTGACACTCTGCTTTGGAGCTGGGCTGCTGAAGACAACAGGTGAACGCGTGGATACATTGGCTCCTTATAATCAGCCTGTTGTAGGTAAAAGTTGTCAGAAAACAGACAGAAGAAGCATCTACGAACCAGAAGACATTGATATTACATCTTGCTATGATGCAGGGCGGCTGAAGTCAAATAGTGAAAAACTGGATGCGGAGGCTTCTGAAAATCAGCAAGTTGCAGACAACAGTTTGCAGAGAAACAAAAGAAAAAGTATCTATGAACCTACCGACATAGATGTAACATCTTGCTTTGGTCAGGGAGTGGTTCAGTCATCCAGCGCTACAGCCAGTTATAATCAGCTGCTTGTAGGGAGCAGTTCACACGGAATCAAACAAAGAAGCCACTACGAGCCTGTTGATGTGGACATGACATCTTGCTATGGTTCAGGAATGTTAAAGAGCTCTGGAGAAGTTTTAAGAGGAAATTTCTGTGAAAGTAAACCAGCTCAGGGCACCAGTGCACTTCAACAGAATAGAAGAAGCCTTTATGAGCCTACTGATGTAGATGTAACATCTTGCCATGGCTCAGGAATGGTTATCGCGTGTAAAGGAACTTCGGAGATAGCAGAGTTACAACATCAGTCAGCTCCAGACATGGATGGGCCTAAACTTAACCGAAGAAGCCTCCACGAGCCTCTTGACATTGATTCCACCTCCTGTTATGATCAAGGAAAGGCTCTGGCTTCGGAAGAAGATTTGGAGGTGTCACTCTTCCATCAACAACCCTTACTAAATAATACTCTACACAAATCTAACAGAAGAGGTATCCATGAAACTAAAGACATGGACATAATTTCTTGCTATGATCCAGGAATGGCCCAGTCACCTGACGGAAATGTAGAGACCATTGTTTGCCAGCCTGTTCTAGATGATAGTATGCAGATGACAAACCAACAAAACCTGCACAAGACAGGAGACGTGAATGTGACTAGATGCCAAGATTCAGAGCCAGTCCACACTCTTGATAGTCAAGGTGTACACCTTACCGTCAGCAAAGAGCAACTGGACTTAGCGAAAAGTCCACAAGATACTTTCACCGGAGTTAAAGACATTGCCGATGCAGTGGTGGAGAAAGAAAGAGATTTAAATCGTAGCAAGGGGGAAACATCTCAGACTTCAAGAGTTTCTCCCATTCCAAAAGCTTTTCTTGAGACAGATGCAGACGACAGTTTGAATATAAACGAAGAATCCGCCCTCTCTTCGCAACAGATGGCATTAAAGGCTAACTGTGGTGTGAGTGATTCAACTCCTGACAGGAAGCTGTCTGTCATTTGTGAGGAATCTCTGAGTGAACTCAGTAAAAAGGGAATGAGTGTAGAGGAGGACGCTGATGTCACAGAGATGGAGAAGATGCAACATTCACGGTAAGTTTGTCTGTTGAGTTGAAATGGGATGATTCGGTTTTATCAACTGAGTTTATAATGTAAATCGGCCACCGTACAGAGTTTCAAAGCTGACGTTTCGAGCCGGCGTTACGTTTTCTTTGCATCTTTTTTTTTCGCAAAGCAGAATCAAGTTATTATCTCATGAAAATGCCAGGGTTTCTGCAGAAACTGGAATTGTTAAACAGGTGTAACAAATTCACTGGCTTTGCTGATATGTCGTTCAAAAGAGGAAAATTCCGGGTTTTTTTGTGGCACACTTTTTTTTTAGTTAGAGAGTGCTCAGATCTTAAAGATGTGAAGAATTAGGATATGTTTTTAAGGCTATCAGTACTGAATTGCTGGATGATATCTTTGTTGGTACCTCTGTATCTAATTCTACGATTTATGAATTACTAAGGTCACATAATCCAATCAGCGTAAGGAAAGAAAAAAAATAGCTTTGGGCCAAATGCTCGTCAACTGCAATTCTCTTAACGTCATATGATTTTGCTCGTAACCGTCAATTTGAAAAATGAACACAATCGTTGAAAAAAAGGTCCAGAATGAGTCTAAAAATTTCTTCCGAAGACGTTTTTGCCGAATCCTGAATTGTGACAGTTATGCGTCACTTTTTCATATGTTGTGATTTACCCAGAAGTAACTCAGGAATGTTATTTAATGGAAAAAAATGACAATAGTGATTTTTTTTTTGTTTTCAGACGTGCCATTACCCTGAAGGAGTTCCTTGATATTATAGAAATCGCTTTTATTACAGAGGTCAACATGCGCCGCAGTGTTGTACCATCTGCTGTGGTGAGTTTAGTAACGATGTTGTGTAAAATTATATGACTGTTTAACAGTGAAAGTTTTTTCAATGATTCGGGAAATAACTTAATTTTGAGTAACACTCTCTGACATTTTGTGGACACTTACCGCCTCCTCTGCCCCTCTCAATGTTGATCTGCAAGATGGTTTAAAATATTGGCAGCTCAAAACGATTAGAAGAGGAGAGGGCAAAGGTACATCATAGACTCTGTCCTGGAGAAGTGTCCCAACTAATTATTTCTGGGAGTGTACTTGCTGGAAAATAAACGATAAAAATCGATTTTGAATTTATTTAAGAAATAAAAAGTTCATTATAGTGAACATTTTCATACGAATTGGCCATTCTATCATGGTTCGGCCGAATGAATATGTTTTACCCTTTAAACCCTAACATCTGTATCCAAATTCTCTATAATATTTTCTATACATTTCGTTTGTTTCTGACAAGGAGAATTTGTTTAACAATCAAATATTCCTAAGTTGGCGATCATTTCCTCAATTCTCATGATCTTAATGACTGATTCAGCAGCATTACTGTAAGGAGAAAGTCGTTGCTGGTCACTCCATTAATCTTTATCGCATTGCTGAGTTGTTAGTTTTTACATCGCTTTTATTTCAGGTTGAGGCTCCTCAAACTCTCAAAGACAGGATGATATCAACACTAGTATCAAAACCAAAGGCTGTTTGCTACGAGGAGGCAATTCCAATCGTAGAATCGGAGATCACAGCGTGAGTATTGACACACTGTTTATACCAGTTAACAATGACGTTATACTCTGTAAGTTTGCGTGATAGCTATTAAACTTTCTGTGTGCCTCACTCTCAGAGTTCCGCGCGGCGTGCTCATATCAATTTTTCCCTCACCGATTTTCGTTGACGCGCGCGACGGTCTTCGCCGAAAAGGAGGAACTGCTCGGAGTTTACTGTCACGGAATTAACAGCGAGTAGCGTAGCCAAGCAGACTGCGCTATTCGTGGCAGTAGTCTAGTAGGTTTATGCTAGAACTGTATTTTATGGCATTGTGTTTTGTAGACATTTTTACAAAGATATCAATAATAGACATACCATAAATGGTGCAACAAATCGTGCGATCAAACGAATATTTTTAACATAAACATAATTTCTTTGATTGGTTGTGCTGATAGTATGAAAGGAAAAGTTGAACAGCAAGAGATGGAGTTGAATGTGTCCAACCCCAGAATATTTATGGAAGTACAAACCGCAAGCAAAGAGGAGGTAAGCCGCCATAGAGCGCTTTACGATTGAGTGTCGTGAAACCCAAACCAAAGTCATCAGAGCGGTCAATTAGAAGAAAGCAAAATTTATTTGAAGAGCCAATGAGAACTCAAAGTAAAAACAAGCCAACTGCTTTAGCGCGGGAAAACGCGGGCGACCAAGTCGTGATTGGTTTCAGTTTTCATCTGATTGGTCGAAAAAGTGGCGCGAATTCTCTGGACCAATCACAGGGTGAAGTAAAGCAAAAACAAAATAATCCCGGATTACTTTCGACACTCAGTTGCAAATTGCCCCTTAACCCTTTAACACCAAAGAGTGACAAGCATTTAAATTCTCCTTATGAGATCACCCCCCGAATCACACGTTATGGTCATGAGAATAGATGAAATGATCACAAAAAAAAGAAGCTTTTGATTGGTAACCAAATTCTCCTTGTCAGCATCTTAGGAAATGTATATAGAGCAGTATGGAGAATATGCATACTGATATTAAGACGTAAAAGGTTAAATGCTGCACGATAAATTGACCATGTTATCCTGAGGCAAGTTTCCAACAAATTTTGGCTTGTATTTGGATTTTTTTCTGTACGAGGTAACTTGAAGTGGGACACTTGAAAGTCTGTCAACATATCGTAAAGTTCCTTAAACTGTAGGAGTGCAAAACGAGCTCTTTTCTGGGATCATTTTTCAAGATTATAGAAAAAACAGGAACACTTGTTAGTCTGTTAACATTTCGTAAAGGTCCCTAAACTGTGGGGGTTCAAAACGAGCTATCTCTTTGATCATTTTTCTAGATCACACACAAAAAAGGTCCTTTGACCAGGTGTAAGAGGGTTATATGGAAATAAAATGTGCTATGGCTGGTCAGAATACAGCTAAAAGCAAAGCACTCTCGAAGTTTCGACACTCAAGTGAAAATCGTTCTGTTTATTTTTTTCCTTTTGTTACTTAGTTGTTAGCCCTGCAAAGTAAAGTTCGTCGCCTGCGTTCTGTGTGCGAAAAAACTTCCAAACGAGAGTGGAAAGAGAACAAAGGCCAGCTGAACAAAAAAGTACTATTAAAAATGACGGTTAGTTTTATTGTTTTTAATTCTTTCATTTGATATAACCAATTAATTTCGTTTACAGGAGGCTCTCGGTCGGCAGAGGAAAAATTCTCCTCGTTAGTTCCAGAGGAAAGTATGAATATGCATACTAATGTACGGGTGAAAAGAGTTACATGCAAAGCGAAAGCAAAATCAAATGGAGCACAAACCGAAAGTTTACAGCTTTTTTCTTCACTAAGAGTTTTCTGCACGGTTGTCTTTTTGTTCGGCAACTTTATGATTTCTTTGATTCAGATCGATGGAAGCAGTGAGGTATTGTTTGTACGTTCATCCACTTAAAAAAGTGCGATTTGTATTTTTTAAAAACATTTTCAGACGAATCACGCGGCTCTTGCAAAAGACGTGCTCGTTGTGGAAGAATCCGTTAATATGGTTGATGATTGTCTCAGTTTACTTGACAAAAGTAAGTGAAGAGTGGTAGCTGTAACTCTCTGTCTAGTAACTTTCCCATTACACATCCATTCTACGAGACTTTTTCACAGGCCTATGTATATAAACCATAAACGTTTTCAGAGTTCGACATTTACACGTTATTACCGTCTGTCAAGTTTTCCTGTTTCATTGAGCCTCATAAAGTATGAGCAATCCCTCCTTTTCGGCATAGTCTGTCGCGGTAATGAAAAAAAAAAAGGGGGTTGTTAGCCTACACTTCTGCATGGCGCGCTGACATCTATTTTTTTTCGCTTGCACAACGGACTTCTCCAAAAAGAAGGGACTGCTCGTTGTCTAGAGCCTACACAACAGGCCTAATATTTTTAGGCGAGCGGAGGTTAAGCATGAGTCATTTGTTTTTTCTCGCATTACGCTTTCTCTTTGTGCTTACCATCGCTCGCCCGAAACTGCATAAAACCGCCCGTTTTCATTCTTTATTTCCGCTTCGGGGAGAGGAAATGACGCAATGGTTAGAGCGCTTAAACTATTATTATCATTATTATTGTTATAGTTATCATTAGCAGTGTTCCATTGATTTATTTCTTTATGTTACCTTTTGACAGTGAACAGAGACTTTGATGAAAAAATGAAAAACATTCACATGTCACTCACAGAAAGCGAAAAGGTACCAAAAATCAAATGTCAGTAATAACTAATTTTTGCTATAAAAGCCTGAGGTGCTATAATACAATGCGTAAACCTTAATTTCTTCCTATTTAAACCTAGGAAATTCAGAGACAAACAAACATGGTTGAAGAATTGGCGACTATGTCAGAGGCACTGAGAAAGAGCGAACAAGGTAGAGCGAATGCTTCATATTTGGTGTCTTTCGAAGAGTTTAAAAGAGACAGTCGTGAGTTTTTTAATTTCGATGTAACGTTTCCATTCACAATGATGTTGACTTTCATCGTAGAACTCGCTGGTCTGGAAAGTACAAGGTCTAAGCTACAGAGGTGAGATCTTATTTACAAGGGGTAAGCTGTCAAACAGGATAATGAACTTGTATCACTTCTTTCTTGCTATGGATCAGTACTCGACAATGACTTAGAAAAAGGGTTTTTTTACTGGTAGTTATGGTTCTGTAACGGTGATTTTCCACCGGAGTAACTCAGGAAGTAGCTTGCAAGCATACCCTCTTTATAAGCGCATCGACATGAGTGTTTCTTCGCCTGCAGGAAAGCACGAGGCATTGAGCAAAGCGAGTTGGTTAGAGGTCTGCAAGAGGACTGGCACCAATTGCTCGCACTGGTTACCAGCGCTGGCTACTAGTGACAAACCTCTCCCCGACTCATCTCAAATCTTCACGCGGGCGGAGTAACGCGCTTCCTGCAGCGCTGATGAGCCAATTTTTAGAGAAACCTGACAAATTGAAATGCCGACTGAAGGGTTTATGCTTCAAGGGACCAAGATGAGTTACTCAATTAAATACTGATTATGCAAACATTATAATCCATTAATTTTAGCGAGAAACACGAGCTGGCAAAGAACAAGGACCAACTTGATGGAAAGATACTCGAGACGGAGGAAACTATTCGCTTGGTGAAACGAAAGGTTGGTTTCATTTATTTGGTCATTTTGGTCTAAATGTAACTCGAAGAAGCTGTCTTCTGTCCACTGAAATTTTATGTCGCGATCTGTGGCGTAGTGGAGCTTACTTCACCTCAGCCGATCAGAGCTAAGGAAAATATCAGAAAGAGCCCATGAGAACTCAAAGTACCAAGACGCAAACTGCCTGAAGCGCGGGAAAACGCGAGTGGCCAAGTCGTGATTAGTTATAGTTCTTATCTGATTGGTTGAGATGGTAGCGCGAGTTTTGTAGACCGGAAACAGTGTGAAATAAAGGAAGGGGTTTCGATGCTAAATTAAAAATTGCTCTACCGCCATTTGACATCCTTTTACAACTACGAGAATGGCATCTTTTTTCTCAACAGGACCCAAGGAGCAACAAACCAATAAGAGAATTGTCGCAGAAATTAGATATCCTCGTGAGGTATGTTTCGGAAAAATTTCTGGTTTGAATTGGTGATTGGATTTCCACGCAAATTCTTCTCTACAAATGCTGTCCTCAAGACGTGACAACATTTGTGAGAGGGAAAGATGTCATTACGTAACATTTTACAAGATATTGGCTTCAATAAGAGTTCTCATCACTTTTCATATGACCCTTAGAGATATTCATTGACCGTTTTTCCACAGTATGGATGGCTTTGCATACTGGTGATGAATTCATTTTCCGTCGAACGAGAAGGAAGCACGGCGTAATTTGATTGCGTGACTCATTTCTTTGTCTAGCATGTAACGCAACTATGACATTGTTGATCAGTTTGCAGGAATGGTCCTTAGAGGAGTGGAATAAAGAGCGTGCTAAATTTGCGTTCTTGAACAACACGTTGGAAATTGTCGTGGTATTTGCTCCAGAAACCACAGGTCAGAGTGCGAAACTTTTTTATTATTATTTGCAATTTTGAATTTCTTCCAGAATCTTTAAGTCACCATTTTACTGGAGGCTATTTGAGATGGTGTCTAGGAAGGTTTGAGGATGTGCAATTTAGTAATTATGACTTTCAAAGGTTTCTTGATTTTAATGTATGTGTTACCACTTTTCCCTTACCAATACAGAAGGTGTATTTCATCATCAGGATGTTAGGAGTGTTAAACTGAATTTCACTACAGCAGGTACTTGAAAAGGACTTTGATTACTAAGTTAATTTGTTCCTCAATGGAGGTATTAAGATACACCTGAAAGCAAAAAAATGTTGATACCAAGAATAATGAGACCCAAAGGCATCTGGTTATGCGTGCATGACAGCCACGGATATATGTCAGTATCTGCGCACTTGGGAAGGGTAAAGGCGAATATATTTTTTTAAAATTATTTTTTATGCCACATTTTGTATTTATTCAACACGACACCAAAAATTTGCTCTAGGATGAGATATTACTTTTTAGGCAGTATTTATTTTTAAATCTAGTTTATCAGTTATACTGTCATGTGTTACCCCCTCTAAATAAAGTTGTTACTTACTTATTCTTGTCATGCAGATACTTTTACTGGAAGAATGGGAAAAGTCCAAACAATTGTGAAAAAATTGGTAAATGAGGACATTCTCAACCAGATGTACTCTTCAAGGAAGGATTTAGCCAAGGTACTCGCGATGGACTAGAATTTCATCGAGGGGAGGAGAGTAGTGATACTCCTAGCCGCCTCATGCGAGGGAAACCGGGAAAACTTCTGGCCAGTCGGCTCCAATGCAAACTTTGCTTTACTAATTTTTGTTTGAATGGTTACACACGAGAGTCAGTTCATCTGCAGCCTGGAAAGTTTGAACCTGCTCATGCAGTTAATGAACGAAACTCTGTTTGGTAGCTTTTATTAAGAAGATTGTGTCAAGTTATAGTGTGACAGTTATTAAGGTGATTAACTGTGGTGATAAGGAAAAATTTAGGAGAAAATTTATTTCTGATATCCATATATCTTTCATATTTTGATTTGCTTCCTATAGGTCTTGGAGCACGTGTCAGGGATAATTCATAAGTCGAACGAGATAGGAGATGAGCTTTTTAGAATTGGTCTGTCACATCTTATGTCATTTGAAGAGGATAGGTAATGCAGTTCTTTGTCAAAACAATTCGTCCTTTCGTCTGAGACCTCGTCTGAACTATCGAAAATTGTCATCTAACTTTAGGTTGGATGAACAAGCCAAAAGATGTAACCTTGCTTTACAGCTGCGAATCAATTTGAATACCATTTTAAAAAGCATCGGCCTGTATCTTAAGCGTAAACGATGTTTATCATGTCCACCAATCAACGTGCCAGTTTTTTTTTTTCAAACTGTCCAATCACAGTGAACTTGGTGTCTAGGTGTCCTGTTATGGCGGGAAATTTCGACATACTTCAACCCATATTATAGTTGTTGTTGCATGCATTAAGAATGATTTGGTACTTTCTTTACAGACTTATTGTGGAGTTCTCAAGTTTGAAGGCGTTTGTGAAGTTTGTGTTGCATATACAAGTTGGGCTACCTTCTTATCCAAACTGTGTATCATTTACTGCATTACCAAAAATTGGACACCTGAGGTTTGTGCTACACGTGGACAATTTATCATATTTTATAACTAAACCTAAACTTAACGAATTCGTGATCAATTTATTTTCAGTTTGAAAGCACTGTGTTGCAAAATTTGCTTCAAGAGTGTTCAGTTCTGTGTAAAACCTCCTTGTCGTTACGTTGCTTGCTCGACGAGGTGTTTGCTCGCTTCGCATCTGTATTTCGCGCGTTTGTTTGTAAACGTGCTTCTTGTTTGTCCCGCCCATGTTCTACCATTTTTATTCTACCCGTGCACGCCAGGTACGTGTTTTCCTGCGCTTTGCAGCGAATACCTTTGCTGCCTTGTCACTGGTTACATGTTAACGGCTTTGTAAACTGGGATTTGTTTCCTCTCGCATATCTGCGGCACACAAAATTTAACGTTACGCTCTTGTAACGTCGGCTAATTTGTTTAAGGATGGACTGAACACCTCCATTGTATGGCGTTCTCCTAACCAAAGAATACTTGCTTTTTATTATCGTTACAGTCAAACAGAAATTGAAGAAACCTTGAATGCTGTCAGCGCTGGTCCACGATATCTGAGCAGAGTGGTGGATGCCGCTGATCAACTTCTGAGCACAATCAAACCTGCTACGTCGTCATAACCTTTCCACAGCTTGTGTGGGAAATCAATGTAGATTGTAGATACATTTATCGGAAATTTAGCATTTTTTTAAATTTCATCCACCGCTACATTAATTTATTCATGATGTTTTTCAATAGAAAAAAATAGAGTTGTAATAATACTTGTTATACGTATTCAGCTCGTGAGGGTGAAAGGATTGAGAAGAGTCACGGATCTCAAGTGAAGTAAAGCCTTTAAGCCGGAGAAAAATGTGTCTGGGTAGGGGGAGGTCATCACGGGCGTGTTTGAGCTGTCCAAACTAAAACTGCGCTGGATGCTTTTTGCAATCATTGACTGGTAAATTTTGATCTTGGCTGTTTCAATGGAGCTCTCAAAAGCGAGATTTTGTTGTGAATTGATAGCTTAGGGGCTTGTAACTTAAGTGCATGTAGTCTTCAAATGCAATAATATTTGTCATATAATATGCGGAATTATACATGGATTTGAAGGAAGACGCATTTTTGCTTCTTTTTTGTGTAAAACAAAATAATAAATTCCATGATGCTCTGTGTCTGAAGAGTAATAGACCACATTTGACGTCAAAATATGGTAAGAACATCAGTGATACACTCAGCTGCGCCTTTGTGACAGTTTTTTGTTCGTACCACATTTGACGTCATCTGTGATCTATTGCTGAATAAACGTGCGACAACATGGGATCTGTGTGTCGAAATAGATGGCGAGTAGCGTAGCCAATCAGATAGCAGCATTTTTGATAGATTGCTAGTAGATATATACTAATACCTTACAGAAGCACGGCAATATTGGACCTATCTGTTGTTGGAGTGCACAGACCCGTAACTCACCTTTTTCGAATTATTTCCTCCTGTAATACCGTAACTGGATGTGAGTGAAGTGATTTTTTTATACCTTCCCCTTCCCTTTTTTTTATCGTGATTTTTTTTTACGACTACGTCTTGCGTTTCTCTCTACACTTCTTTCGCGCTCTAGCCGCTTCCTGCGTGCTTTACAACAGAACAGAGCACAGTCAAGGCCTCTCTATCTAAAACTGACCGCGGGAACATCGGAGCCATTAGCATCCTACAATGCACTCTGGGAATGATTCAAAATGGTGGACGAGATACTCTTACAACAGTATTAACAGTATAACAACTGAGGCGAAGCTTCCTTGGTGGTGAATTATCACGGAATGAAGCTCTCATTAACCGAATTTTGATCGGTATGGCTCTTTATTTCAAAAGGACATTATGTTCAATATTATAATTGGCAGAACGTGGTAAAAGACAATCGTTGCCGCGAAACGATTGTAACCGTGAATCTCAGGGCTGCTGTAGTTCCCTTGGTAACTAGTTCAACCTTTCATAGAATGCTTTTTCAACCATTCCGCGTAGAAAAAGAGCAGCTTACGAACAAGTGTTGTAAATGGAAATCATGTTGATGTGTAATTTGGAGTGACAAGTCTGGTTTGACTCACGCAAAATGAAAGCAATTTATCACGTACGAACTGCACTGGAACGTTTGTGGAAACGAAAAATGGTGAAAGTTGGAGTCGTTTTGTTCCTAGTATTTGAATTCGTAGTATTTGTTAGATTTGATAAATTAACCAGATTATTCAACGAAAGAAACAAAACGGCAGTTGCACAAGAAAATTCGACCGGTTTGCAGATGACGATTAAAGAATCTCCCAAAGCGCTCAACATGTCAGGTTTCTTAAATTTGCATTTGTGGTCAGATACTTGTGCGAAAAACTTAGACATTTTGTGTAATTTTCCTATGTTTCCAAGAGCTCCAGCTCAAAGACTTGTGCTGAAAAAAACGGTAATTACGGGCAACTTGACACAGGCGAAGGAAATGAGGTTGTTTGGGTATATAAACCCGAACGAATCTGGCTTGTTTCTTTTCATGGTTAAATTTTGCACTGCTGAAGTCCATCTTGGCTACCACAAGAACTGGAAAGAAGCAATGAAGATCATATCCTTAGATGCTGGAAAATTTCCTGAAAACAAGTCAGACTCTCAAGTTTCCTCAGCAATTGATCTGGTAGCTGGAGAGAAATATTTCATAGACATAGTTGCCATTTGTGTTCACAGCATTAACAAGTTACAACTTTTGTGGAAAACTCCAAGTAGCTCTGGTTTTGAAATCATAAACTCAACATTTTTATTCCCAAACATGGATGACAGCAGCTCATTTAATTTGAATTTTTACGATGAACACATACCAGATTCTCAAGCCTGTGCTCTGAGAAGGAATGAAACAATTTATTTTAAATTGCCAAGTCAAATGAGTCACTTATCACATGAGCAAGTGAAAAATATCTTACCATATTGTGAGTATAAACCAAGTTACAATTTGAATCGCAGAGTATCGGGATATGAAGCTGTGACATATCGTGTTGTTCATTCATTTATATACCCATTTCCTGAACATGAACAACTTAGAGACCAAAAAAACTGGATTTATGCACTTGGAGAAAATGAGACAAAAGATGTTGTTTACACCTTCATGGAGGCACTTGGCAGTAAAGAACCGAGGTAATGAAATCACAATTTAGCAGTTATGGTCAAAATAAGAGTAGTGTGTCAGGAAATTTATTCACTTATTTTAGGAAAATTTTGACTCAGGGAAGGGTTTGTGTGTCAGGTTAGGCATAGCATTGTTATTATCCTGCCACTGCATGGACAACCAAATGCAAATGAAGAAGAGAACCTTGCAGAATCTTAAGAAATGTGTTTAAGGGCTGGTTGACTTGTTGAAGGATAGTTTGAACTGTGGCTAACCTGAGGCATGCTGTTGTTGCCTGGCATCTATAGATAAAACCATGAACTAAAGGTTTGTAAATTGGTGAAGTAATGAGTGTAATGAGAATGATAATAATGAAGGTAATAAGTAATGGTAATAGGACTATGATAATAATAATAATAATAATAATGATAATTAGGATGATAGTAATTGTGATAATAATAATTATGATAATTATAATAGTAATAACAATTTGGTGGTAAGAATACTAATGATAATGTAAATAGTAGCCACAGTGATAATAATAGTATTAATAATAATAGATATTTTTTTGCTTTCAACTCCTAAAATGTCTCCCTACAATTTCAACCCAGAATCAAACATTTAGGTCAAGTGATTAATGGAATTAATTGCCATCTTGAAGAAGCACTTGATTGTTAAACAAATTCTCCTTGTCAGCACCTTAGGATATGTATAGAGAACAGTATGGAGAATATTGATACTGATGTTAGGGTGGAAAGGGGTAAGGTATACTGAAATGCAAAGTGTACCTCGGATGCACTTTGGTCCATTTTGATCCATAAGGCTTCCTTTAGTGAAATGCATGAGAATATCTTAATTGGAACGGAAAATTGTCAGTAATCAGTGCTGTCGTTGGTTACTCATGATTACTGCCTCAATATCTGACTGGTTACTTGTTTCCTTAATAGGAGGTTTGAACTGATGAAAATAAGAAATGTGGAAAGAAAGACAGATCCAAAAAGAGGCGACCGATATCTGATCGAAGTTGAGCTGCTTGATCTAACAAGCAGCAGCAAAGTGATGTTATCTGAATATGTGTTCTTGGCCAAAGGAGAAAAGAAACTTTGTTACCCAACGGGATTTCAGTGGAACAGAACGGTCGATGTTTATCTGGTGGCAACAGCAAAAAATCTTGGAAGATGGCTGCATCATTTTATTAAAAACGTCGAGAAGATTATACATGAAACGAACGATCAAAATCTTCATGTTGTGATTTACGATTACAACAGCTCTGACATCAACTTGGAAAAGGTTTTAAAGGACAGTTCTCTGACAAATTACATGTTCAGAAGAGAGAGTGGGAAATATTCGCGGACGCATTCCTTTACTGAGGCAATAAAACTCGTATCAAACCCGCACAGTATTATTGTCATGGTGGATCTTCATCTCCATATCGCTGCGCCATTTATCAACAGCGTTCGAAAAGTAAGTTGAAATATATATGTAAAGAAAAATAAAATTGTGTCCGTTGATAAAAAAACAATGACTAGATAACCATAGAGATTTATCCAGCGGATATTGTTTTCCATCCTCTGAACAACAGGGTCTTGGAAAGGATGATTTCGGAGGTGATTGTGGTTTGATGGCTCATTTCATGCTGTGTTTCCTTTTTCAGCATTGTATCGAAGGTCGTATGGTTTACACGCCGATCATTGTTCAAATGGCCTGCGGTTCTAATCCGGCAAACTTGGTCGGACTGTGGCAAGTGTATGGTTATGGGATAATAGGATTATACAAGTCGGACTGGGACCGAGCCGGGGGATTCGGGATGAATAAAAACAGCTGGGGAGGAGAGGACTGGATACTAATGGACCGGCTTGTCAGTGTAGGACTGGAGTTTGAACGCATGCGCACTCCTTATGTATACCATTATTACCATTCAAAGAAGGGACTGTGGTGATTCAAGGTCTTGTTCAAATTTTTTAGAGCAATTATAAGTTGTTTAAGAGAATGATAATCGCTGGAGTCCTGTGGTCAGGGAATAAAGCTGTGCTGTGCAATTAATTTTTCCGGTCGTTGGTACGACGATTATACGACGATTATAAGAATAAAACAGTAACTACGGATCTATCTTCTAAAGATTTCGACGCGAAACTATTCGCACCATCCACTGGCTATCACGGCTTACCTTTATTTATTAATACAACTACCGTGAACGACTAAAACTTACTTTAGATATTGCGAACGCATTTCGAAAGGGTGCAACAGAAAACGGTAGACGTAGTTGTAAGAAATTCAGTGCAGGAAAGCTACGGGAACGCAAAAGGAACTTGGAAGAAAAGTACCACGGGTATGATACGGAGATGAAACAAGGGGATCAAGAGCAAGCGCTCTGGAAAACATTCAGGTCCGAGGTCTAACCCAAACCGCGGTTTTACGCAAGCAGTGGGCCTTACTTATTCTCTATAAGATGGTTTCTCTTTTTAATAAAATAAATGTCCTTCTACGGCTAGCTTTCGGCCCTGTTGACACTGTTCACGAAAATGAATGTTCAGATAAAAGATTCAGCCAAATTCAAGGTAGTTTGGAAGCAGTTTTGTTAAACAACAGCTAAACTCTTTTTGAATAACCAACCTTAGTCTTGATATAAGGGGGGGGGGGGGGGATTTTTCGAGTTTATTTGTGGGTATTTATGGAAATTCCTCACCGGTTATTAAAATTTCCCTCAAAGAAAACCAGCAGTGCAGGCGTCTTATTAGTACGAGCTAACGCTATAAGCTAGCGATCGTTTATACAACCGGCCGTGTTTGAGTTGGAATTAGAGTGGACGGTGGGGGTAGGGGGCGGGGGGAGGGCGATAAGTAATCTTCACCTCCCAACCCTACCCCTCTCCCTCTTTTTGACCGACGACCACCCCCTTGGTACAAATTTCTTTCCCTCCCCAGCCTTCCGCTGCTATCAAAAAAAATCACGCGCGTATTGCGCTCTTTCCGTTATTTGCTCTCTTTCGCGCATGTATTACGAACATTCTTGCAGATCCGTTGCTTTGCAGGTTAAGATTTATAGGAAACTACCGAAGCATTGAATTATTTTTTTCCTCTGTATTTCTTGGTAAGTTATCATTATCGATTTCTCATGAGCTATCAGTACCCTATAATGCACCACGGGAATGATCCAAGGTGGCGGCGGACAAGAGATTCAAAACAACAACGACGTCATAAATGAAGAGAAGCATATTTGGACGTGAAGTACCGCGGAAGAAGGCTCATATTAACCAAATTTTGATCGGTAAGACTGAATGTATTAAAAGAAGATGATTTCTCGGTTCCATCAGTTACAGAAGTACAAATGTTATCCATGAAACGATCGGCCGTGAAATCGTCAAGATTTCCGCACAGCACCGAAGTATTTTAAACAAAGTCATAGCCCCAAAGGCAATTTGTTGTTTTTTTAGAGGGCACGGTAACGAATCTTGCAATCTGATTGGTTCTTTACCCGGTCAGTATTTTCCTATCTCTGCCCACGGGCCACGGTAACGCTTTCGTGAGTCGCCGAGTACATCCTAACTTTCGTTGTCATTTTTCATAAATATACCTCGTTTTCCGGCTGGGCAGTATTTTTAAGCAAACACGTCGGTCACTACCTCAAGCCGATAAATAACTTATGAATCCTCTCTTTTCTCTCTATCAAATCACTTTGGTTGACAGAAAAATATTGGTTTCAGAATGAATTTGTATAAACAATTGCGTCATTACGTTGGTTGACAAGCGGCCTAAAAACCGTCTGCAATTAATTTTAATCGTTCACAAAAAGTACCCAGAAAGTTGAAACGTGAGGTATTTGGTCACAGTTAAACTGAACGATGGAACTTTCATTCATTTAATATCTGAATTTTCTCGAGCAATTTGTTCGTAGTGAAAGAGCGAGCGAAGTTTTAATTTAAGTTCTACAACAAATATACGCTCCTGGTGAGTCTTTCCAATTCCGTTCAATTTGGACATTTGTACCTTAAATTGCACAACAGAAATTGAAGGAATTTTTTGAGAAAAGGCCGCATCACATTCCCTTGTGTCTCGTTGGAGTGTGCCGTTCGAATTTAGTTTTTGTGAAGGAAAGATCAGAGTTAAACACGCCACTACAGCAAACAAACGAGCAAACTCTCACAACTTCAAAATAAAAAAATTGAATTTACTCACAATTACTTCCCTCGCCGTTTACTTAATGAACAGAGGTAAATCTTTGTACATGAATGAATGGTCGATGAGAGTGAATAATACTTTCCGTTAGATCATTAACTGATTTTGAAGAAAACATTGTCGTGACAGTCCTTGCCAAACTAGTTCTGTTGGTTTTCACATGTTCCTACGCTTTTTTTTTTTCTTGCGCGCTCTCTAATTGACAGGTGTCAGATTGTGACAGATACTTGTAAAAATGTTTCAAAGTTTGTTTGGAAGCCTTTTAAATCACCTTTATCGTTACGGAAATGAAAACGTTTCGCTGAGGCATCTCTCTTAAATTTGCATCACCTCTATTTTAACTACCATTTACTCACTCAAAAATTGTTCAGTTTATGGAAGATCTTGCCGTATTTACGGCCATAAATCATTGGGGTTCTTTCGGAAAGAATTTCGTCAAGTTTAAAAACAATAAATATGTTATTTACCGGCTAAGGGTCGGTCCGTATGGTGAAAAACTGTGACCTCGGTCTTGAAAATGCTGCCCTCGGCCTACGGCCTCGGGCAGTATTTTCAAGACCTCGGTCACAGTTTTTCACCATACGGACCTCCCAGCCGGCAAATAACATATATGTATTGTTTTCTACATTTCTATCTTTATCCAAGAACTGTATGCATAATGAAGCTTGGGGTCATACGGAAGTCTCACAGTGAAATCCCCCCATTCATCCCCATGGTAACCAGTTCGTTCTGTCATAGAATTCGCATTTACTAAACCACTTAGGAAAAGAGCGGCTATAGTTTAAATTTTGGTTATTTTAATATGTTGTTACCGCACGCTGTTGTGCAATTTCGTAGTAAGCCACTTATAAGGCCCAGTTCAGACTGAATGTAATAAAAGAAAATTAGTTTTTGGTTCCGTCAGTGGCAGAACGTAGTACAAACGTTACACACGAAACGATTGACCGTGAAATCGGTGAGATTTCTGCACAGCACCGAAGTATTTTAAAACAAAGCTATAGCCCTTAAGGAAAACTATTGTTTTCGACGTTTTTATCTGTATCTAAGAGCTGTATGCATAATGAAGCTTGGGGTAAAACGGAAATCTTATTATGAAATCTCCCCATTCATCCCCTTGGTAACCATTTCGTTCTGTCATAAAATTCGCATCTAATTAAATTACTTAGAAAAAGAGCAACTATAGATTAAGTTTTGGTCATTTTAATTTGTTGGAGTGAAATAAAAGACAATGGGGACTCAGAATTTTTTCTTCATCCAACGTTCGTGACAAGACGATTCTCTATAAGAGATAATGTTACGTGTTTCAAAAGCTGAAGAAATTGCCCGAGTCGCGCATTGATCCTTAATTTTACTCGCGCCCATGCCATTACTTTTTTGTGATATAAAGGATAAAAAAATTATGTTGTTACGACACGCTGTTGTGCAATTTCGTAGGAAGCCATTTAAGGCCTACTTCAAGCGTTGAATTCCACATAATTCCAAACTGCATGAATTCCACATGAATTCCAAACTGCAATTTTGAGTGACCCAAACGGATAAAGTTCGACCGGTTGGTCAAATGTCAAACATAATTCGTCAAACCGAATTCAGAGCAGCATGATTTCAAATGAAGCCATTTATAACTGATTATTTTAGTTCGTTTCATAAACTGAAAAGATCGACGTTTGTCCCATAGTCGATTTTCACACGATCTATCCGTTTGAAGCAAACCGATACAATATTTTGGTCGATCCTAGTTAAGTTTGGCAAACTTACTTAACTGATTCAAACGTTGAACTTAACACGGACTTAATTCTCTCGGTTTAGTGTTAATAAACTGTAAAACGCACAAATCAGCTAAATGATATTTTATTTTTGAACAGCAACGCCTCAGTGATGAAACTAGCCTCGCTAAAAATCGCGCACGCTATCAATGAAATCATAATACTTTTAGGCAAAGTTAAGCTGTTTCATTGTTTTCAATATCAAGTAATTTGGCCCGAGGCATTTTCCAAGTTAATGAAAAATACTCTCTGTCACAGCCAATCAACATTAAGTAATTTTGCCCCCCTAGGAAGTGGATGCTTTAATCGGAGGTCACATTGATACGTAGTGTGTAGTTTTCTGTTAAAATCTGGTTTGAAGAACTCACCCAAAATGGGAGCAATTTTTCATGTGCGAACTGCACTTAACCGTGTATGCAAACGAAGAATCGTGAAAGTTGGAGTCGTTCTGTTCCTGGTCTTTGAATTTCTAACCTTTGTTAGATTCGACAAGTTTACCAGTATAATCACCAACAGCAAAAAAACGACAGCAACAAGCAAAAATCTGACTGATTCGTATAACCTCACACTGATAGAAGAATCTTCCAAAGCACTCAAAATGTCAGGTTTCTTAAACTTGCATTTGTGGTCAGACACTTGTGCTAAAAACTTAGACATTTTGTGTAATTTTCCTATGTTTCCAAGAGCGCCAGATAACAGACTTGCTCTGAATAAAACTGTTATTGCGAGAAATTTGAAACAAGCGAAGGCGATAAGATTGTTTGGATTTATAGACCCGATCGAATCTGGCGTGTTTTTTTTCATGGTTAAATTTTGCATTGCCGAAGTTTATCTTAGCTACAACAAGAACTGGAAAGAAGCAAGACAGATCTTATCCTTAGACGTTGGAAAATTTCCTGAAAACAAGTCAGACTCTCAAGTTTCTTCAGCAATTGATCTGGTAGCTGGAGAGAAATATTTCATCGACATAGTCGCCATTTGTGTTTACAGAATTAACAAGTTACAACTTTTGTGGAAAACTCCAAGTAGCTCTGGTTTTGAAATCCTAAACTCAACGTTTTTATCAACAAAAATGGATGACAACAGCTTAAGTAATCTCAGTTTCTACGACGAAGATATACCAGATTCTCAAGCCTGTGCCCTGAGAAAGAATGACACCACTTATTTTAAATCACGCCGTGAAATAAGCTACTTATCACACGAGGAAGTGAAAAACGTATTACCAAATTGTGAGTATAAACCAAGTTACATTTTGAATCGCAGAGTAAGCAAATATGAAGCAGTATTTCGTCATGTGGTTCACTCATTCATCTTCCCGTTTCCTGAACATCACCAAGTCAGCAATTTTTCCAACCGGATTTATCCACTTGGAGAAAGCGAGGCCAGGGAAGTTGTTAACATCTTAATGGAGGCTCTCCGTAATAAATCACCAAGGTAGGAAAATTGCAAAATGAATATAACAAAAATGTATACACTTTGTCTAAATATGAAGTCACGTACTTATCATAAATTAGAACCTGACATAAGCAAATAGAAGAAAATAAAACTAAACCAAAGGTTGTCTAAGATTTTGAATACAATTTTTGGTGTGAGCCCCAGTTAAAAACGGTAATGACGAGAATGATTTTAATATTATTAATGCTAATGTAACAGTGATAATAACAACAATAATTGTAATAATGACAATATAATAATAGCAACTGACGATATTGATAGGGTTCGTATATCATGAATAAAGGGGGCAAGTTTCTAAAGAAACTGTGGTGCTGCGTCGGTGAGAGAGTATAGCAGGTAAAACTTGCTTTTCTTAACAAATTGATCGACAGTCAGCATTACAAACGGCTGAGAAGGAAAACACTGACTGCATCCCATTCACTCTCACCGCCATATGCATCTCACCCCTACAACCACGCAGTTAAATCTATCATTCTTAAAAAACTAAACTGCTCCAAAACGATTCAGAGATTGGCACTATCTTTTCACAACCCCCACTAATTGAAACGTGACAAAAACATAGGCAACTTTTTTTACAGAAGTTCATTTCAAACCAATGGCCAATCTGGAACGTGCGCTCGCTCACGATACAAAACTTGTCCTTCATTCATAACGTAGAGAAAATATCGGGACCCAAGAGATCCATTAAGATCACTGATCACTTTACCTGTACCTCCGCCAATGTCATTTACTGCATAACTTGCATTTATTGCAATAAGTTATACATTGGTGAAGCAGGAAGACGAGTAGGTGACCGATTCCGAGAACACCTTTGCGACGTAGAAAGAAATGACAAGGACGCATCCAAACCAGTCGCTAAACACTTTAATCTCCCCAATCATTCTAAACTACATATGGCAGTTTGCGGCCTTTTCTTATATCTTGGCAGTTCGGGGAAGCCGCAAAACACCAGAACAAAACTTTCTCCTACAAATCGGCACTCTTAATCCCCACATTATCAACGAGCGCTTTTCATTCAAATTATTCATTCTTGTTTTCTCGTCACCATATTCCCACCAATGACGTAGTTTCACTTTCTGCCTATAAACCCACACACAACCCACAATTCCTCCAATCGCTCTAACGAAGGGCTAACGCTCGAAACGTCAGCCTTCTAGCTCTTTACGGTGGCCAATTTACGTTTTCAACTCAGTTTTTAACACTAAATTATCCGTATATCATGACCGATAGCCAAATATTTTCCCGTCTGGCTCTCCCACTCAATCAATTATTCCATGAGCGTTCGCTGGATACGCGTTGAGTAGGCTATAACCAATCTCGTATCCAGGAAGTGCGGATGAAATCGTTGTTTTATTAAACTTCATTAAATCCTGAACGTTTGGATATCAGGAACTCTGCAACAAGCGGCATAATACATTTCCATGTAAGGTGACTTGGGATATGAGCAGATAACCGGAGTTTAGTGAGCCAATCGTAATACTAGAAATGCACCATTCATAGTTCAAAATTTAATGAATACATATCATTAAAAATTGTACATATATTCATACTTACATACACCTGTACATAAATATGTTAATCATCAGGTCAATAAAGGCCGAAGACATGATTTTACAGTATTTTATAAATACTGAAATACTGGCAAACTCTCTAGTTTTATCTTATGCACCAGACTGCTGTCTTATTTTAGAAGCTTAAAATGGTTATATTCTTATGAAACTGGTTAATTGTTTCTTTGATAGGAGGTTTGAATTGAACGAAATAAGAAATGTGGAAAGAAAGACAGATCCAAAAAGAGGCGACCGATATCTGATCGAAGTTGAATTACTGGACGTGACAAGTGGCAACAATGTGATGTTATCTGAATATGTGTTCATGGCCAACGGAGGAAAGAAACTCTGTTATCCAACGGGATTTCAATGGAACAGAACGGTCGACGTATATCTGATGGTAACTGCTAAAAATCTTGGAAGATGGCTTCATCATTTTATTAAAAACGTCGAGAAGATCATACATGAAACGAACGATCAAAATCTTCATGTTGTGATTTATGATTACAACAGCTCTGACATCAACTTGGAAAAGGTTTTTAAGGAAAGTTCGTTGACAAAATACATGTTCAGAAGAGAGAGTGGGAAATATTCGCGGACTCATTCCTTTACTGAGGCAATAAACCTTATATCAAACCCACACAGTATTATTATCATGGTTGATCTTCATCTTGATATTGCAGCGCCATTTATCAACAGCGTCCGAAAAGTAAGTTTAGTTCATAATTTGAAATTGATTTAGTCGCTGCTAGCTTGAAAGAACAAGTACGCACCAGAAACCCTTCTAATTTTTTCTCGGCCATTAAAATTCGATTTAAAAATTTACTCCTTACCTCGACTCGAGATTCAAAGAGAAACGTAACCACTTGATAGTTGTCTTAAATGAGCTAAAGATTCAACGGATGAACGTGGAAAACTGTAAGTAGTCCTGGCTTCATAAATTAAACATTTTTATTCCCAAACGTGGATGACAGCAGCTCATTTAATTTGAATTTTTACCATGAACTTATATACCAGATTCTGAAGCCTGTGCTCCGAGAAGGAATGAAACAATATATTTTAAATCACCTAGTTAAATGACAGGTGTAATTTGTAGTCTTTAAAAAATTTACAAGTGCCTATTACACCAATTTGCAAGAGAAATCATGTCATTACTTGTTAATAATGTACATGAATAAACATAGGAAAAAGCAAAGACAGACGAAATTTTGAAAGCGTGCTCGCGCTATTTGTAATTTGCACTCGTGTTACAACTTTGCACTCGTGTTATATAAGAATGCACTCGTTTTCAGCCAATCAAAAGCACGTAATTTTTCATGTACATTATTTCGGGAAATGATAAGAAAAAAGTAGTAACCTGGCCTGAATACCAAGAGGTTGGGAATAACATTGCGCGGTCATTGTCTTTTCTCACGTATTTTGTTTGACAGAGGAGATGAAATTGAGGGTTTCTGGATTTAACTCTTTCAGCCGTAAGAGGAGTCTGGCCTCTTATTTCTCCTAAAAGAATCAGCCTTGAATCAAATGAAAAGGTCATGGGAAAAGAGGAAATAATTATCAATTGGAGAAACTCCTGATTGTCAAAATAAAATCTCCCCGTCAGTATCATAGGAAATGTAAAGAGAACAGTGTGGAGTATATGAATGCTAATATTAGGATGAAAAGGGTTAAGTGAGATTTTGCTATATAGCGAAAACTACGAACAAAGCAAGCGGAAAAATCTTTAGCTTTATCTTGAAGTATTTCCCCATTTAATATTGTATTTTTTCAGCATTGTATCGAAGGTCGAATGGTTTTCACGCCAATCATCGTTAAAATGCGCTGTGGTGCTAATCCGGCAAACTTAGTTGGACTATGGCAAGTGTTTGGTTACGGGATAATTGGACTCTACAAGTCGGACTGGGACCGAGCCGGGGGATTTGGGATCAATAAAACGACCTGGGGAGGAGAAGACTATGCACTAATGGACCAGCTTGTCAGCGTAGGACTGGAGTTTGAACGCATGCGCACTCCGTATATTCATCACTATTACCACACGAAGAAGGGAATGTGGTGATTCAATATCTCGTTTTACCATTTTCATTATGGTTTCTGATAACGCGCTAGGTCGAATATTCGGATCAACTGTATTTTAATTGAACTAGGGGTGCATATGTATCTTGACAGAGTACTAATGGCGGCTAACCGTCGAGCTAGGCAGTACACCTCGAAAATATCCGCCTTATCGCTGGCTACACATGGTGAACTTTTATTTCTTTGTCCAACCGCGGTGAGCAAATAACAAATACTTCATGGATTATGTCCATTTTCTGGAAGAGCAGAAAACGGCACACTTATATGTACGAAAATTCCAGGAAAGATTTGGTAACTCAAAAGAAACAAATGGGTATTTATCAGATTACAATAAAAGTCTATATAGTAAAGGGAATTTTTCAGCTTTATTTGTGTTTGCGCTCTCTTGTGGCAACTCCTCGCCATTTATTACACTTTCCCTGAGATAAGTCTTCGTCAACCTTCTACCTCTTGAACGTGCAATTTCGATAAATTTAGTTGGGTCACTCTTTTGGACAAAAAAACTGACTTTTAAATTCTTAGGAAATATTGTATTCTTACGAACAGAATTTAAATGAACATTACATAAACAAGACAGATGAGACACAAGTGAAAAAGCAGAGAATAAAGTTAACCACACACTGAACGGGGAACAAAGTTTCAGTGTGTAACTGTGATTGACAGATTCCTTTAAGAGGGGTGTTACGCGCTTGATTTAACCTATGCGCCGGGGATTAAGACGTTTACTCTTTCTCTCATTTGCTCTGTCGCTCGCGTATCACTAACATTCTCGCAGAGTAGGTGCTTTGCACGGTAAGATTTACAGAAAACTTCCACAGCACTGAATTGTTTTTCCTCTGTACTTCTTGGCAAGTTATCATTATAGAGATCATGAGAGCATTTTTTGGTGTCTCAGAGGTGCACCAGTTTGTCTGCAGTCAAAACACACTTCCTAGTGCACCTCAAGACAAAAAAGGCAAAATTTTTGGGTGACCAAAGTCACCAAAGTCTAAAGCTGTCCAAAGTGTTCACAGTGGTTTTATTCAGGCTGTTCTAATGAGAAAACGAGACAGATCCCAAAAATTAAAGACACAACTGCAAAAAAGAAAATGTTGCATACCAGGAAAAACAGTCAGAAGTATTGCCTTCCCCAAATGAAAGAGTTATAATACCTTCGCCTGATCAATGGGCAACACATTTTTGTCTTGGTTACCCTATCCACCACCTTCACAAATAAAATGAGACTGAAAAAAATAACCAGTTATGAGATAACAAATTTGTCATTGAGCTGTTAAATGACAGTAAGTCATTACCTGGAAACAGGCCTTCAACATTTAAAGCTAAATAAGTAAGATTTAGACACAAGTTTTATCTTAGAAGGTTAGACTGCAATAACACTGCAAAGCCATGCAATATCCACAAGAATTTTTTGAACTTTTTTTCTTAACTTGTGTCCCTCTTGGTTTGCACATACACTGTTGTATGATAATATAATCTTATTTCTAGTGTATCTATTGTCTGTTATTACTCCTGAGGTATTATGCTTTATGATGTAGCAATTGGTTGGGACGGTGGTGGTGTCGGTTGAAAAGTTGCAGAGACATCATCACTTGGCAATGATGGACTTGTCGTGGGTATTAAGGGGGCAGGCATTGCTCCTGCAGTGATGTCGGTCATAAGTGGCGTTGCTGTGGCCGTCACAGTGACTGCAGAACTTCCAGCTGGTGTTGCTGAGGCAGCCGGCGTATTCATTGGGGCCACTGAGAGGAGAGGTGGGGTCATGCCCCCTATCACCGGTGTACCCTGGACTTGGGGTGAGAACGAGGGAACTGTCGGTGGGGCACCTCCAGGTGCTACCAAAGGAGTAGCTACTGGATATGTAGCAGCTGGAACAGGGGATGTGGTTGGAAAACTTGGGCTGAATGGGTTTATGGCTGGCGATGCTGCAGTTGTGTTGAGATTCAAGGAAGTCATTCCTGACTCCAAACCTGTTAGAAATAGAAAGCTGAGAACTTAAATACCACTTCCAAAGATGTCCCCAAAAAGCAATTTTCCTCTGAAAAATGCCACTTCAGTAATGTCATCTCTCTAAACATACATACATTTTACATTTGGCTTCTTGTACTTCCAAATATTGTAAGAAAATTGTATGTAAGAGTTACAGTGATTAACTGGAGGGATGTTATTACAGCGGTGCCTAACAAGGAAAAGAATGTATATAATAGTGCCCAAGCTTGTAAAGCAAACTATAAGTAATCTACCTGCTGTTTGTATTGGTGAAACTGTTGATGTTGAAGCTGCAACAAGAGGCACAGAAGTGGGCCCACTGAGAGGAACCTTTAGGAACAACAAACATAAAAACAATTTAAAAAATTAATAATTTTAAGTGAAAGAGCTTATGCAAGGCAACAGAGTATTGTGGTAATTGGTTTAATGCTATGCTGAAAACAAGCTTTCTAACACTCATGGCCAAGCTGTTAGGTCTCTCACTAAGGCTTGTGCTTCAAATTTGAAAACTGTGCCAAGTGCTTTGTGATATAAAGCAGCAAACATGCTGGTAATGTGGAGAAATGATCAGAACATCCCAGTGCTCCAAGTGCAAGGTTTTACAAGGTCACCATTTTCCAATGGAAGATCAGAAACAGTTCCCTAAAATTTAAATTTTAGTTGACAGAGGTCACCAATCATTTTTAGACGCCCACACAAAAACTAAAGACCCAACACTCACATAACTAGAGAGAATGAGGCAAAGAACAGCGATAATGATACCCTTGTGCAAATTTTCATCTCTTATTAACTTCAGATCACAAATGTTGAGGAATGCAAACACTTCAGTTTGCAACTTGACCCCTAGACACAGGCTCCCGGTTTAGCAAATTGTGCTGAAATCTTGGTTACCAAAATTTTTTTAATTATTTGCCATGATGACTAAAATGTTTGCTGCTTGGGAGGTTGCATCTATTTTTTTTTCTTTTTGTCGTGATTAACTAGTTACAACTCTGCAATTTACTTACATCAGAGAAGCCATCAGGAGCAGGAGATGATGATTTAGCTTGTAGGGGCATATCAGGAGGATCTTTGATAGGTATTCTGTGAAGATAGCCGTATCCTATGCCACAACCCATACTGTAAGATATATCAGAGCCAAAAGGTTAACCCTTTGTAAGGAGAAATTCTGTCTTGGTCACTCATGGGAATTAAATGGTTGAGTGGTCTATACTTACTGTTGTTTTTCTTTGGTTTCTGTACCAAGAAGTGACTAAAAGCTTGTCTACTACTCCTTAAGAGGATGTTGGGTCATTAAAAAATAGTCTCCCCTCCCCACCTCCCACCTCAGTATTTTGTCACACTTTCTTGACCCTCTCACCCTCAATATCTCATTAACAATTTTCCTTACTGGTTGCCATTCACTTCTCATGATGTTAGTTCCAAGAATTTGGTATTGGATCAACTCATAATCCTGTCATTGATATTTTTCTTAATTCTCATTACATGTCTACTTGATATTGTGTTGATAACAAGAGGGGAAATTTTGTCTTGGTCAGTCGTATGAGTTAAAAGGTGAATAGTTTGACTGTGCCCATATACAACTGGGTGGAGAAAGGCACTCTGAATGTTTTTTGTCTTCCTCAAGAACACACCAGAACTAAAACAAAGTGCACTACAAGACACAAAAGCAGTTACAAGATGTTACTCACCTTCCCTCACCACCCCAATTTTGGTTTGGTGTGATGGTTATCTAGAAAGACAGGTAGTAATTCAGAATTAGAACTACAGCTGGAGCTTTTTTCCAAGCACTGTTCATTTACATTACAACTTGCAAATATAAGGGACATACCTCTCTACAACCATCTGTTTCAGAATTGTAGACGTACAACTTAAGTAGTTTCCCTTCATGAGATTCTATAAGTTGGAACAGGTCTTCAGACTGAAGAAGAAAAAAAAAAACAGAATGGCATCAGAGATATACACCTCTGGATTTTAACACTATGTAGCTGATTGGAGTTGTCCTGAGGTGACAAATATGTTGCTTTCTAATAGAATTGTTCATTAAAAAGCCTCCACTGTTTTTATTTATTCATTACCTCATGTAGAACTGAATCAGCTCCAATGATGTAGTCTGTATTTGAACGCAATCCAGCGATATCAGCAGGCGAGTTTGGTTGAACTTCCTTCAGACAAAGGCAAAATTAAATTAATTGGTTTGTGTGACCCTCGTATGAAAAGTTGCAAAAGGTGACATCTTTCTAAGCTTTACTCACCAAAACATGCCATACATTTTCATTAGCTCCTTCAAAGGAACAAAAACGAATACTAACACCTGTAAAAGGTAAGAGACAATTTGTTACACAGTTTATACTTAAATTATATTCATCACCTGGGCACTATAGAGCCAACCATCTTCCAATTGCATAGGAAATGACATTAAATTTTCACTTTTCATAATCTCTTCCCTTCTCTGCTGTATAGGGGAATTCAAATTCCATTTTCAAAATTCACTAAATTCTCCCCTAAAAAAGAGATCTAACTTTCATGTTTTTTTGTTTTCAATTTTCCTCACAAGAGGAAAATAGGAAGCAAATTCACATTATCCTCTATATTTTTCAACAAACTTACCCACTTTATTTACATGTCTGGTTTCTTACCCAATCCAAACATACTTCTGATATTAACATACCTAGGAGACCTTGTCCACCCCACATACTGCTTGGAGTGATGCTAACCTCTGAAATGTGAAGGATGACATGAATTTAAAAACATAAGCAGACTACCACTTTTTCAACAATTTAAATGTGACAGTTCAATTCAGCCATATGTAAACACCTGAAATATTTATGTGATGTGATGTCTGTGTGATTCAGAGATGGGCAAATCAAGTGTCAGAAACCAAACTGAAAACCACAATGGCAATTTTTAGTTTTGAGGTTTAAGTGATTGTGCTGAACTGAATTATTTTTGGTCAATACTCAACTAACCTGTCAGAATCAAATCAAAGTATTCAGTGTTTCATTGGAAGGGCAATAGAAGAGTCTTTCAGACATCTTGGAGTTCAATCAGATAAGGAAGAAAGCTTTCAACAGAGTTGAAATAAATGTTTAACCCTTTAACTCCCATGAGAAACCAAGACAGAAATTCTCCTTAAAATATCAATACAATATCAACCAGATAAGTGATGGGAAAAACAAAAATATCAATTTGGAGATTATTAGTTGATCCAATACTAAATTCTCTGAACTAACATTGTAGGAATTGTATGGTTGGCAGCAAGGAGAATTACAAATTTGATCAGGGAGTTAAAAGGTTAATTATAATCCCTTGCTCGAGCTACAGTTAAATGAAAAAAATTTCATTTTTTTTTTGCCATATTATGATCCTTTTCTGATCAATTCTCTGTCTATTGAGAAGTTATTTCTATTAATAAGAGAACTAAGGAAAGGGTTTCAAATCTTGGGAGAGTACTGTTACAATTTTCATATTGCAGAAACTTACCTCTAACTTTGCATGTTTTGCTACTAAAAACAAGCATCTTTACAGGTTTTTCTGCATTAGACTTGAGGATTTCCTTCAATGTTTCATTATCTTGATCCTAAATAAATTAAAGGGGAGATGGGGTGAAAAATTAAAATGTGCATTTTAACATTTAACGTCTTTCTAATATACACAATTTCTCATCCTAAATGACTAACGCACAATTGCTCGTAAGTTGTAATGCTGTTTGCTTTTAAAGAATAATTCTAAAGTCATGTTTTACCTCCACTTAATAAAAAACAGCTGCTTACAAAAAAGACAAAAGAGCTTTTATGTTGATCAGCCTTTTTATGAAATTCTTTAGTCACAATCGTCTCCGATTTCATGAAGAGAGAGAGGGAGAGAAACATTGTGCACGAAAAAATGTAATACCAAAAAATATGTCATTTTCTAATTTCGGTAACGTCGAACTTTGCAAAACCACTTTGCGAAGGGCAAGCTTATCTTTGATTCAACCTACCAGTCGTGTATTTTCTATCGAGATTATAAAATCAAAGAAAGGCTCCAATCCTGCTTTATATCCGGGAGAATTTTCTTGAACCTGCAAAACACCACGTAAAATAAGCCGCGTTAAATGAAGAGGGTCAGAACTGGATCGAACAATTTGTGATCAACAAATTGCGCGCTGTTACAGGATAGCTCAAAGCATACGTTAATAGGATCGATTGCATTAGTCGTATATTACCCTTAATACATGATATCCTTCGGATCCACCGCCTGGGATTTCTGCAGATTGGCCTGCCCCCATGTTACAATTTCTTTAGATGGTCTCTGCTGAGTTTGTCCACTCATTCAAGATGGCCGCCAAAAATGTTGACGTGGACTTCCCGGTAAATCTCCCAGCAGCACCAGCGAGAGGGAAAATATTTTAACGGGGGTGGGGAGGGAGGTGTTTTGTTTACATACACAGATTTCAAGATGGCGGCGCCACGGCCATGTTCAAAAACTCTTTTTTTAAGAAAATCTCCATTTTCATACCATTTTTTTTTTAGTTTTGGTCACGCTCAACCACTAATATTATGTCAAGTTTAAATGCGATCCTACCTACGTTTTTATCAGCAGGTTGCAAAGCCGAATTGTACACAAAAAGAAAGAAATTGCGCTACATGGCGCTTCTGAACTGGTAAGCATGAGATTTTTTTTATCTCTTTTGTTCAGTAAAGTTTAGTGATAAATCAGCCTTAGGCTTTTCAAACTATTTTTGGATCTATCAGACAACTGAATACTGCATATCATTATTGGGAAAGAAGTAACGGATCCAGACATTTCTCATTGAAGCGGGGGTGGGGGGCTGTGGGGGGGAGGGGTGGGGGGTTTGCTGTGAAACACAATTTTGTTTTACACTGAAGCCTCAGGAACACAGGTAGGTGTTGATTACTTCATATTGAGTGATAACATGCAGTCATGATGTTTTAAGAATTTTGGTACCAGACAAGAAATAAAAAAACCCATAGTACTGAGTAGAAGTGGCGTCCAAACCCCTACAGACCCTCCCCTGCCACTTGAGAGAAATTATGAGAGACTGTACCCTCACAGTGTGTCTCTCTATGTAGGGGTACGTATGTGGGAAACTAGTCAGATACTCAGAGGGGGGGGGTTAGGGTGACGTGGACTTACATCCCAACTGAGGGGAGTTGGGATACATCGTGCTACAGAACATGGGGACAAGCTCCGAAAGCTGTGGGAGTCAGTCTCTTATGCTTGGAACTTACCTTTCTTTTAGTGGGAGATGCAGAGGCATAACCCTTTAACCACAAATAAGCAGGTTACACAAAAAACCAAAAAAAAAATAGCTACCTTAAAAAGCTCTTGATTTCAAAATACAAATATAATCGTTTGTCTCATGATGTGGTCACTTTGGATGTGCATACTGCTAGTCTTCTTGGGTGATGAGGTCGATTGTGTACCCATCTCCTATATACTGTTGTGCTCAGCTGTGATTGGATGGAATTCCACAGCTGTGATTGGTGCATCTTTCAGATCAGTTTCTTTTTGTAGTCTGCTGCTGTATGGCTCTCTTACTGTTGTTTTTTTTTTCTATCATTGACATCCAGGCCACTAGGATTTCAATTCCATTGTCTCTAGTGATGCTGTTAGGGTCGAGTCTTACATGAATTGCTTCCTATGTAAATTGAGAGATTCTGGTGCTGACATTTCCAGCATTAGCCCTTTGTTTTTGACTTATTTTTTGTTATAGAAAAAAAAACAGTTTCTCCATTTTAGTATGATTTGTGGTATGTTGCTCACACTAATCAGATCAGGGAATGTATCTTGCACCAATCATTTTACAGCACTGGAATATCTTGCACAAATCACAGCAATTGGGTATTGTTTTCTTGTAATGATGTCACAGAATTTAGGGGCCATGCATGCAGAATGACATTAACTAGAAATTGTGTGCTCATTTGATGAGTGAAATGGTTTTTGGCCTTTGTGAGAGCCTCCTTGATCAAGGTAGAGATTTATTGGAATATGAAGGGTTTACATTTAACTTTTTGTATCATTTTTAAATTACTGTAAGGGTATGTTTCATTCCTGCCAAGGGACTCATCCAAGGCATTTAGGCCATCTTGTTAATCACGACATCTGAAGTCTTACAGGCATCAAAGTGATGGTAGTAATCAGACCTGGTATTACTAAAGAATCCCAACTGTGTAACTTCCAACAACAATCACAAACCCCTTTAGTTGTCGTCATTTCTGTTATTCTTTAAGACTTTTCAAAACGTGGGACATAACACAAATGAAGATGGAGGAAGCCTTTTGCTCTATACAACTTCATGGACTTGAAATAATCTTATAATCAAAATTTGTATATTTCTAATTTAACCCTTAACTTCCAAGATCTGATTGTTAATTCTCCTCTCTAGCTGATACACATTTCCTTGTAAATCAATGACAAGAATTTGATATTAAATCAAGATAACAACTTTAACCTGATAAGTTTTGAGCATTCTCATTACCTGTTTATTGAATAATGTTTGAATATTGTAAAGAGTGGCTATATGTTAATCACTTGAGTAAGTTACAGGTTAGTCTAAAGCAAGTTGGGGGCTTGCTAAATATCAGTGTTTTGTTTATATGTGAGATATCCTTTCAACAAGGGACAGTAAAAATGTTACAAGTAACCCTTTAACATAGAGTGACTAGCATCCAATTTCTTCCTACTTTATCTCCCCTGAATCACGCATTAGGGTCATGGGAATAAAGGAAATGATCAACAAGTAAAGAGGCTCTTGATTGTTAAACAAATTGAGGTTCTCCTTGTTAGCACCTTTGGAAATGTATAGAGAACAGTATGGAGAATATGCATGCTGATGTTAGGGTGTAATGGTCAAGGGGAAAGAGTCAGTCCAAATGATAAAGAATATTTCTATGTCTCTGGGCGTGCTGCTTACTCATACATTGTAAATGTCGGCATGTTATACCTGTTTAGCCTGATTGCCATCTCTAATTAATACTAACCTTTGTTTTGCATTGGTTTTGTGGTACACCTAGTTGAACTTTACGTGACACATTGTTTTGCGTCAGTTAACTGAATTGATTTAAATACTACACCAAATATCACTTGTTAATCATACTGATCCTTTGTTTGTAAAAGTAGTTTGAGATTCTTACTTTTATTTCAATTTCTAAACATGGGAAATACAAATACTTGAGTCTGTAACATACTCTCGACTTTGGACCCTAATACCTGCATTTCTTTCTCTAGCTGATTGAGATATTTCAGTCTCACTGTTTAGATATATGTTAAATTTATAAGGAAATAAGTTGGATAAAATATGGTTGAAATAAGGACTTCATCTTGTTTTTGGATCAGTTAATTGCCTGTTCTTTTTCTCTTTGATCATAGTTGAACCTTCAAAAAAGTAGAATTTCCTTGTAACAACTTTGGCAGAGATATTAAGGTATGGATATTAAAACAGTAGAAATGTGTTGCAAAGCTTATGGAGTCAATACCTTGCAAAAACTCATCCATTTTTTTCTTTAAAAAAATTCTATTGTTTCAATATTCAGAGGGGATTTCCTTCGTCCAGAAAAGAGCTGTAACTCTGAAACTTGAACACAATACGCAGCTAATCACGCTCTTTTTAACTCACTATGAATTGTTCCGGAATCTCTCCTTTTCTCGGAGATGTAAACCCATGAATATTGAAACAATAAAAATTCGTTGATGAGCTCTGGGCAACTTGTAGGAACAACGAATTAAACTGAATTCTAAAACTCATTAACAGAATTATATTGCTTCAATATTCAGGTGGGATTTTCTCGGCTCACAAGAGAGCTGTAACTTTGCTTCTAGCATTGAATACACAGCTAATCACGCTCTTTCCAACCCATTCTATATTGTTTCGGAATTCGTCCTTTTTCCCAGAGATATGTACCCACGAATAATGAAACCATAGAATTGGTTAATAAGCATTTGGCAACTTGGAAGAACCTCGAGCCAAACCAAGTTTTCAAACTGATCAACAAAATTCTATTGCTTCAATATTCAGAAAGGATTTCTCGATCCAGAAGAGAACTGTCACTTTGACACTTGTATACCAAACACAGGTAATCACGCTCTTTTCAACTCATTAAAAATTATTTCGGAATTCTTTTTTTTTTCAAGAGAAATCCAACCATGAATATTGAAACAACAAAAGTTGTAATCTCGCTATTTCCAACTCATTGTAAATTATTCCGGAATTCCTCCTTCCCACTGAGTTATGTACCCATGAATATTGAAACAATAGAAATTGTTTAATGAGCTTTTGGCAACTTGGAAGAACCACGAGCTAAAACGGGTTCTGAAACTCATAAAAAGATTTTCTCGGCCCACAAAAAATCTGTAACTTTGACACTCGCACACAAGATACAGCTACATACGCTCTTTCTAACAAGTTATAAAAATTCCAGGAATTCCTCTTTTTCGCAGAGATATAAACCTGTGAATATTGAAATAATAGAAATCAGTTAATGAGCTTTTGGCAACTTGGGAGAACCACGAGCCAAACCGAGCTTTCAAACTCAGCCCACAAAAGAGCTGCTACTTTAACATTCGCACAATATACACAGCTATCACGCTTTTTTTTTACTCACCATAATTTTTCCGGAATTCCTCCTTATCACGGAGATATATACCCATGAGTATTGAAACAAACAAGAAAAAAATGGTTAACGAGCTTTTCGTAACTTGGAAGAACCGCGGGCTAAACCGAGTTCTCAAACTCATTAACAAATTTCATTGTTTCAATATTCAGATGGGATTTTCTTGGCCCACAAGCCGGAGCTGTCTTTTTAATACTTGCATACAATACACAGCTGATTACGCTCTTTTCAACTCATTATAAATTGTTCCGGAATTTTTTTTCTTTCCCGGAGATATATATCCATGAATATTGAAACAACAGAAATTGGTTAATGAGCTTTTGGTAACTTGGAAGAACCGCGAGCTAAACCGAGTTCTCAAACTCATTAACAAAATTTTATTGTTTCAATAGTTAGGGGTGGTTTTCTCGGTCCAGAAAAGAGCTGTAACTTTGACACTCACACACAATATACAGCTACTCGCTCTCTACAACGAGTTAAAAATTTTCTAGGAATTCCTTCTTTTCGTAAAGATATAAACGCATGAATACTAAAACAATAGAAATTGGTTAATGAGCTTTTTGCAACTTGGAAGAACCACGAGCTAAACCGAGTCCTCAAACTCATTAACAAAATTCTATTGTTTCAATATTTAGAGGGGATTTTCTCGGCCCAGAAAAGAGCTGTAACTTTGACGCTTGCATCCAACACAAATCTCATCACTTTCTTTCTTACGCAATATAAACATAGTTAGTCTCCTCTACTAACTATGATATAAATTGTCCCAGAATTACTCCTTTTCACGGAGAAATACTTCTGCGAATATTGAAACAATTCAAATTGGTTCAAGAGCTTTTCTGACGTTTGGTTAACCACGAGCTAGTTTGCACCACAAAATTACATCGTTTATATATTCAGAGGGGATTTGGAAAAGGTACTAAAGCCCTTTGTAACATGTAATAAATTGTCTCAGAATTCCTTTTTTCACTGAGATGTAAACGCATGAATATTGAAAAAATTAAAATTTGCTATTGAGCTTTTGGGGCACATCTTAACTCTGACCTTAAAAGTTGGTAGTGAATGAAAAAAGAAAATGCAAACAGACTTCTTTAAACGATTTGGCTTTATTTCCAAATACCCACTCCCAGAATGAGACAAAAATGTTCAAATTTAAGAGAAATTGCAATGGAAAATTGTTGTCGTTTTTTCTTTTTACAACAAACAACTCGAACAAAAGAGGTATCACACCATCATGCTTGCATCATTGCTTGTCGCGAATTGCAATTGCCTGTTTTTTTCATCCATTTTAAAATCGCACAATTCAAGCGCCTAAATTCAAGACTAGACCTCGATCGCTACAAAAATAGGTTTTTTTTTCTCACTAGGTAATAAAAGATGCGATTTAGAACAATAGCGCGAGCTGCAAATAAATCACAAAGATAAGAACCACTATACTCGAGGATCACGATGACTCGAAAGTGGATTCAGAAGGTGGGAAAATGACCATTTTCCCTTAAAATGTTTTCAGCTACTGTAGGTATCTATTTGACTAGCCAGTAGCACCGGATGGCGTAACATCTGGGTGGCAATGACTTTCAAGTCTGCTGCTCATTAACTCTGTGCCTTGAATACCAGTACAGCTGCAAGTTGATCCACATTTACAATCCTCAGGTACAATCGTCAGCTTTCTACGTCTTCTCTTTCCAATTATGTGCACCAGCAATAGAATAAACGCACACAACAAAATGCTCGCCAGGAGAGCTATCCACGTACTGTGCTGTTTGACAACTGAAGGGATGTCGCCTCTTTTACGGTTGTCATCCTCGTTACCAACCGATTTAGAGTATGGAACCTTGTTACTTAAGTTTCCGGAATCGGTGGACTTGGGACTGCCGGAATAGGCGAAATTCGGAGCAGATGTTGATTCTGGACTACTGTTTTTCTCGTTGTGACTACCACTTGCAACTTCGTCAATATTTTCTCCACCTGGTTTGGTTGGTTTCGAAGTGATATCACTTGCGCTCTGGTTGCCGCGATTGAAGTTCGTGGTCCGTTCAATCGTCGCTGGCTTAGCAGTGGAGTTATATATGTTGGTGATACTACTTGGGGTTTGAGTGCTGCCCAAATCGCGCTGGACACGTTGCTTTCGTTCCACAAACCAAGAAGCTAAGAGAAAGAGAGTAAATTTTTAGCATTTTTGGCCAGTGTGGAATGCGTTGAGTTTAAAAAAGTTGGCTTCATTCGTAACGCGTTATTGAGATCAAATAAAGGACGCGACGGATTAATTTTACAGAAAGCCAAGGTCAGGTGAGATTTGAAGTTTTACTGTTAAATTCATGACGCGTGAAATACTGTTTTAAGAGTACGTGTCGCATGAATTCCCTTAAATTTCGTGCGTACGTGAAATGGAATCAGGACCTCCCCCTAACCATCCCCCCCCCTCTCCCACCTTCCTTTGCTACCCTCATTAAAGTTGTGTAAGATGATGAGTACATGTTTAGAAAATTTAGGCATCTGATCGATAGAAAGCGATGAGATCAAAGTTGTTGGGGCACGTCCGTCGAAGTAGCTCCAAGGTTTTGACCTCGGTTATTGAACAAAGAATTTAATACAGTACTTCAAGTCTTCGTGAAGGACCCAGGAAATATCTTTGCCCCATGCTTATGACTAACGGTATAAAATTTTATTTGTGCCATGATAGAGCTCAAAATTTACCTTCTTTCATGTTCTATTTACTGTCTATTTTGCGACAGTTTCAATACAAGTAATGCCAGAAGGAAACGATACAATATAAGCTGCGCATTTCCTATTTAAAATCTCATTACGTAGGTAATCTTTGATTACATAATTCACCCATCTACAAACGACCGCCTTAAAAAACATGTTTTCCTAAGTTTAGTGTACTTTTTCTACGAGTTACGGCGAAACTAGAAGACAGCCAAAAAGTATTTGGTACATGGAGATCAAAAGTAAAGTTAGAAACACACGCTTTTTTTCTTGTCGAGTATTCAACGCCCTTTTTCGATGTGGCGGCTTCTAACATTAAATTGTAAACATTCTTAACTTCTTCGATTACAGTAACGAGGCATGCTGCTAAATGAAATGTATCTTACGCTATCCATCACCATTCTCCTAAAGTTCTAAGAAATTTGAATTCCTTTTTGATTAAGTAAGTTGGCCGCGAGAAGTGTAATCTCAAGGGTATCGGAATTTGAAGAAACTCTTCTCCTCTTTAGCTGGCGCGCAAATTCTGAAGCTACAAAATTGTAGTTCTTGCCTAAACGAGTTCTTAAGAAGGCTGAGATCTTATAAAGCTTTCATCAAAATCTCGCAAGAAGTTAGCGCTCCATATGCAAAAGGGTTCCCACTCCAAAATTTGCACATTGAGTCGAATAGCGTAACTGATCTGAAACCATACTAACCTTGTGCACGTTGCGGTTTGCTTAAGGTGGCTGCTGTGGGTTTTAAGACGATGGTAGAAGATAGACAAGCGAACAAGGCCCCAAGAATAAACAATGGGCTAAATGGTTTCATTTTGAAAACTGTTCCGCATGAAATCGTAGGGTGCCTTTATTCGTTAATGATGTCTGCGGTACCAAACCACAACTCACTGACCTTAGTGTGGGACATCTGACACCGATAGAGGATCGTATAACACGCGAGCTTTGAGAAAATGGACTTGTTGACGTTTTTAGTTACCACAATTATGGCCTTGCCTAATGACCATAAACAAGTCTCGATTGACCGCTAACCTCATCGTCTTTCACAACAAACACTTATTCGGATACTTAAGTTTTTTTAAACAAAGAGGTCAGTGATCTCATGCCCACCGCAGGGATAAATGAAAAATGCGCGGTAGCTTTTTCTTGTCGGGGCACGTGATATTCACTTCCTGAGAAGTAATTAACAGTGATATTTCCTGACAAATCACGAATTCTTTTTGTCCCGTGTTCTTGCGAAATAAATTCAAACGCTTTTCTTTATTCAACGACAGAGCTGAAAGGAGTCATTTATCATAACTTGCGTTACGGAGAATCACGTGTCCTTGATTAAGACAACGCTTAAAATAACCTTAAGCTTCAGTAGACAAACGCCAATAAATGCACACAAAAAAAAGTTGGTCAAAAATAGAGAAGATTAGAGCAGATTGCAATTACGAGCTTGAGAAAACTCGTCTAACTGTCTGCCCAGTACTGATCCACTTAACGTTAAATTTGTCCTTTTATTGATTTATTGAATGAAGAATATTATTATTGAATGAAGTTCTAGACATCGCTGATCTTAGCAGTTTTAAGATCGCGGGTCAAAGATAACATCTCTATGGCCTGTCTTTTATGAATTTTGTGTAGAGCCAACCGGAAGTCTGAAGCGCATTCTTACAAAAATACGAATGGTCCCTGGTTCGATCAGATTCTATGCTGTTTATCATGCGTGCGCACGGCTGACCCGGAAACTGAAAGTACAAATTCTCTAACCAAATGAAAAAGTTAATTAATTTTTTTTTAAAACTATTTTAAGTTAATCCACAATACGTTTATTAATAACAATGGAAATTGATATCTTTTTGTTAAAACTACGTTTGGTTGGCTAATCCTTCCTCCATGTATTAATAACAAAAAGCAATTTAAAAATCTAATTAACACACGAATAAAAAATGTTTGTAGAATAAAAAAAAGTTCGGTAACCTTCTCTGTTCGTTTGTTTCTTATCTGAAGAAATATCGACTCACTACAACCGATTCACATGAATCGACACCGTGACAAACTACATAACAAACGCGTCCTCAAATTAGATTACCTTAACCGTTTGCGCGTGAATTAGCGGACTTTAAACTCTTTTGCTCAAACGACCTTTGCGGTTACCATACTAATTCAGTTATCCCTGAGGTTAACGAGATTGTTGAACCGTCTCACATTTAGATATTGAGCTTGATTTGCATGACCTTGAGAAATCTACTTGGGCCGATAAAACTCACACGATCTGATCCACGCATTTTCAAAAGTTCATTTCGATCCTCTACAAATTATTTCTCTTAGGTATAATGCACGACATCAATGAAACTACACTATCTTAAATCCGTCACCTCTTTGTCTTTGTTATCAACTTTAAAAATTGCCTTATCCTAATTGTGACAAATGTTTTCACTTAATCACGAGCAAAATCGAAAAAACTGTCGGTTTTCAGGAAGTAAATTAACGCCTTCTTGACGAACTCATCGAGATAGAGTTTGCTTTAGCAAACTCGTACCACCGTCCTTTGTAATAAAGACGACTGTGTCGAGAGACAAAAAAACCTCATTATCTATCGCCGAAAAGGTTCAGACAGCAAACTGCAAGCATGCAAAAATCATGAAATTCATTTGCGTTTGAGGTAAAAAAATTGATAGTACGATCGGTCAGAAAATTTTATTGTTCAGCAAACTATGAAGTCTTTGCGTATATCGATAGCACAATGGCATGCAGAAAAACTTAAAAAATGAGATTAACTCATGCTCACAAAATGGTATGGGAAACTTTGCCTAATACAAAAATAACGTGACAGGTTTCAAGTGGCCTTAAATAACCTAAAAAAAAAAAAAAAAAAAAAAAAAAAAAAAAAAACTACTTATTGCTGGGTTAGTGGAAGGGTGGAAGGGCCGAACGCCAAAAATGTTTGGCTTGTGGTCAAGTATTTTCCCGTCTGGCTGATCTGCCCTAACTCTGTCATTGAATGTTATGATCACCACCCCTTGTCTTCCTTTCTCTCTTCCTTCAGCTCGCATCATGCGGAGCCATGGGTCTTTTTCCCGATCCCGGGACCTGCTACTGCCATCTCGTGGGGCCCTCATGAGGGAATTTTCTATTACACCACATTTTCCAATAAAACCGCGCGCGGTGTTTTAAGGGCCATATGATAATGGAAATAAAAACTTCTTTCCTTGAAATTTTTTCATTCTTAACAGAAAACATCTCTCACCAGTTTTTTTTCGACGCGTAGTTAACTTCGTGATGACGTCATCGAGATGTTCTCAAGTCACACAATAACCAGGAAAAAAGCAGCGATAACACTGTGATACAGAGCATTATCTAAAAGAAAAAAGGTTACATTTAGCAGCTGCACTCCTCTTGACCATACAAACACCAATGGTAAAATGGCAGACTAGCCAGCACTTTTGGTCCACACCTGCCAGCACTTGCGGCTATTCAACAATATTCACTTTGCCTTCGGCGAATAATCGTCAAATACAAGATCAGCGGATAACGTTGAAGGTGCGCTCTCATTGGCCACTCAAACTCGGAATATCTTTTGCAATTCACATCCGAGCTACTCGCGCAGGATTTGCGCCCGAAAATATTGTAATCGTTATTGTAACTGAGTCCTGTAGTGTATTATAAGTAGAGTGTAAAAATTTTGTAAAATGCCAAAAAACAAAAAAAATATTGTAATCGTTGCAAGAGTAAACGAGTTAAAATCATCTGTTTTTTGCTATATTATCTCACTGTTTTAGTTTATAATAAAACAACTATTCACCTCGGTGTCAATAGCTAGCAGTGGATATTTACCACGCGGCTTCGCAGCTTGTAAATTTCCAACACTGGCCACCTCCGCTTCACTTTGGTGAATGGTTATAACTAAAGTGTTCTGTGAACAGATTCTGGTGTTATACAACACCCCCACTTAACAAGTAAAACTCAAGTAAGTCTAAGAAAACTCTGGACTTACCACTAAATAACCATAGGGATTGACCGAGTCAAACTCAAATCTGGCCAACACAGCATTACCATCCATACTGATACAGTTCAGTGTGGATTCGTATTCACATTTCATTCGAACGTTCTTTAACAAGATCTTGGTGATCGCAGAGTAGCCATAGAACTGAGGATTGACGTAAAATAATAAGTTGTACCTGAAATGACAAAAGCACCGAATGAGACATAGTTATTATTTATCAAGAATAACTTTGACGCTCTGATAAGTTCACTCCTTTAGAATCCCACCCCCCCAATCTTAAATGCCCTTTTTTTCAACCACAGATTATTAATAAGTACCCCTCGATAACGTGCCCTCCGTCCGAAACTTCAGATCTTTAATAATCCATTCCTCTCAAATAGGCCCCGTCAAAAACCTTGAATTTACATAATGTCCCTTTCTTATAAAACCTCTCTCTCGCTATTTAAGCCCTAAGAATTCCTCTTCTTGGGGCTAACCTAACCAATCCGATTTAAAGTTAGTCAAACAACAATGCTTCATCAGATAAACAAAACCGGCGATACCCACCCTATGGGCATCTGACTCCATGTGACAATGAATCCGCCGGAGAATCCTCCTAATGCAGCTATGACGCCGCTTGCGTGACACGCGTTACTCGGTGTAATGTAAGTTGCCAACATGTAAACTGCAATCCACGTTTGGTTCAACACCAGTGACATGATTGTAACTAGGACGAATCGCCACCAGTTGTATGACGTGAACACCATGAAGTATGTCAAAACTGAGCATGCGATCACTGGTATGACATAGGCAGCGGATGTGCTAAGAAATGTCTGCATCACGTGTTCGTATGAGAAACCGACGTTTTCTGAAGATTCTATTTGTCGAATCTGAGAAAAGGGAAAATAAAAAGTTGCTCTTTAGAGCAAATTCAAACTTTCTAGTAGCTCTGTGCCGATTATAGTTTCCTAAAAACTATATATGCTTCTCTTAAACAGCCAAAATATTTCATCAACAAATACATTCCTTTAGTTCTGCAGACCATTCTGAGGTAAAAAGGACATCTTTCATGCTGTAAGGGAAACAGTTTTCGTTTTTTAAAAGCGTGGAAGGACATATGGGAATATACTGGTTTTTCTGCGTGGCGCTTTGCGCTTTAAACTCTTAACGTAAATTGGCCACCGTAAAGAGTTCCAGAGCTGACGTTTCCAGCTTTAGCCCTTCGTCATGCGTCAGAGCGAAGGATGTCGCTCAGCTGTGTTTTCCCGCGCTTGGCATCGCCTTACGAGGAAATTCTATGACGTATATTTTCGCTCTGGATATTACTTTGGTTCTGTCTGGTGATACTCAAATAAAAAACGCCATAGTTTTGAAATAAAGCTGGATACTGCAATAAAAAAAATTCTTTTTTTCACTCACTTCCAAATTCTTGTTGATTCGCTTGTGAAGAACCGAGCCCATGAATAAGAGACTGGGAATAGACGAACCGCAGTAGGCGGTCATTATTTGTAACGGCGTCTCTGCTTGCCAATAAACTATTCCAGCTGTCACTCCAAATACGAGGAACATGATTGGCAGGTACACTGTCTGTCCAAAAGTATTCGATAACGAGGCTCTGTAGTCTATCACAAAAAGCCTGGTAAGGAATCCACCATCTTCTGGACTAAAAACAAGGACAATTTGTTAATAGTATATGAAGCGAAACAAAGAATCAGCCTTCACTAATTTATTGACCAGAGTCAAATACAATGTTGTTTAAAGCCTTTGACCTCTAAGAATGATTAGCATCTAATTTTCAGTACAATATCACCCCTAAATCAAACGTTATGGTCACAAGGATGAAAGAAAATATCACCGACTCAAGAAACTCTTGATTGTTAAACAATTTCTTCCCATCAGCACCTCATGAAATGTATAGAGAACAGCATAGAGAATGCGCATACTGATGTTAGGGTGAAAGGGTTAATGATTAATGTTTGTTCCAGACATACCTTTCAGACGAAGATGACAAGAGATTCTTATTTGCGTTTTTTGAGCGGAAGTCGTCCTCTCTCCACTTTTCAGGCTGATTTTGTAACAAAGTAGCCTCTATCATCTTCTCATTTCGCAGAATATCTGAAATAATGTCTTCCAAATGGCGGAAATAGATCAAAAGGGAAAATAAATACGTCAACGGAATTCCTCAGCAAAAAGGCATCCAAAATATTACGTGATTGCAGGTAAAGAAAATCGTTTGAAGATTAAGTTACACTAGAATACAAAACGCGCGAATCCTAAGACATATCGAAGATTGTATTACCCTCTAATCCTCTTTTATCTTGTGACACGCGATCGTAGCAATCTGAGAGTCCTGCAGGGTCACCACAATATATAACCTGGCGGGTCAAAATTAAGAACACAGTTAACGTCTGACTGTCATAGAAGCTTAATGGGAGGTCCCATGCCATTTAAAATACTGTCATGGTTGGATAAACGAGAAACTTCATAGTGATGACGTTGTTTCGAAAAATTCCGTGGGGGAGGGGGTTGGGGTCCTTGCTTACCTGTTCATCAGCAACTAAAACCAGTTGATTGAACATCAGGGCTGTTTTACCAGGTAGAGTCTGCATGGTCATTATTACTAGGTGTCCATTGTTACAAAGGTGTTTTAGAATGTTCAGCATTTCTATGGAAGAGGCAGAGTCCAGACCTAAAAATGTGAAAATTTCAGCAATGAATGATACTGATTTATAACAGTGCTGCTCGAGATATATCTCATCCTTGGTGAGCTCTAGAGCTAACTTATATCCTATGTCATACCCAGTCTTTACTCTACCTGTAATAGGTTCATCTAAGAATATGACTCGAGGTCTGGTAATGAGCTGATTTGCCAGGCACATACAGCGCTTCTGGAAAAAATCGAGGAAGAGATTAGATTAACGAGAAAAAAAAACAAACAAACAAACAGAAAAAAAGCACCAAAGCAAAGGAAAAATATTATTTTAGACGGATAGAACCATCCTCTTTTAGAGAGGGGAAGGGAGGAATCATTGGTTTTACTTTGCTTTGCATTGTGATTGGTCAACGCCTGATACATGAACTGCTTTCTCAACCAATCAGATGCAACACTATAACTTATTGTAACTTTCCTTAACCCGCGCTTCAGGCTGTCATCTTTTTTTTGTTTCTTTAAGTTATCATTGGCTTTCTGTGGTATTTTCCAGCACTCTGATCGGCTGTTTTGATTGCTTGAGGTTTTTTAACGACGCTCGGTAGATATGTGCTTTAAAATACAAACAAACCTGTAAATCGGTAAGGTTCTCTTTACTCGACCCAGCAAACGTTTCCTCTGCTAAAGAATTTAGTCTCATCTGTGAGAATAATAAAAATACGCCGTTAATATCTCGCTCTCTTCCTAAACACCGTTTCATCTTAATAAAGGTCGCGGGTTGCAGACAAAATTTATCCACAAGCACAATCTTTCGACCCTCCTCGTTTCGTTTTTGTTTGAAAAGTCTCCTAATTTCTTTACTCATGCTTTAGTCAATATTTGTTTAAACATTTTTTTCGGCCATCTCTTTTTTTTAATCACACATACCTCGGACATCACCTGATCCACTCTTTCCAACTTGACCGCAGTTTTCGTTTTTCTGGACATTCGCATCAAAGCGGTTAGAATTAAATACTGTCTAACCGTAACCTCTCCATAATAAGGCATCTTAAATTGATTGAGAAAAATATAACTATTTCGAGCTTCCTTTTGTGCGCTACCTTGCATATTGAGATGTTTCTGTAAAATGAAGGAATGGCGATTAGTGACTTTTGACGGGATGTTACCAATACCAGCTACGGAGAGCCAGAGTCTGGGACCAAGAGTACAGCGGTAATCCGCGTAAAAATTACAAATGGCGGATGAAGACATGGAAAAAGGGTCTGAGCACCAGTTTTGGCGCAAGTGCTCTTCGAACTTAGTCGTCAGAGCAATTGTCATGGACGATAACTAAAGATTGTGTTAAGGGTATCTGACTTGAACTCTTATTTCAAAAATTTAGTTTTAAATAAATTGCAGGTGTGATAGATTTCGAGCCTTCGAAGAGGCGAGTGTCAGAAAACCTGACTAATCGAAGGTAAGGATGCTAAGATAGAAAAAAGCTCAAAGGCAACTGATTATTTTGGCTTCTTTTTCGGTTAGCAGCGAAGCAGCGAAAATCTAATTGTTGTCCGCGGACTTAACCAATACTTGTTGACTTTCATCATGAAATTTTTGTCGAATTATCTTCAAAACGGGATAATACTCCTGGTATTTTAAGAAGAAAGTTGTGTTTTACCTGCTTACATCCACACTTTAATTTTCCACTCAAAAGACTCAGTAGTTTTGTTTTACCAGCTCCATGCTTTCCCACTATTGCAATAAATTCACCTTGTTTGAAGCTCAATGTGGCGTTCTTGATCCTCAACATACAGGAATCTTTCTTTCCGTCTGTCCTTCTTTCTGGATCATTCCTGGTAGTTGAACGAGAAAAACCGCTATTTTCTTTATTTTCCGAGCATTTAACGTCTTTGCAAATCGCATTGCTTTTAAACTGTTCGTTCCCGTGATTTTGGAGAAATAATAAACGTAGATATTGCGCTGTTCGGTAAAATATTGTATTATTAGAGAACGTATCCTCCTCCTTCATTGATCGTTCTTTGAAATCTTCTGGTTCCAGATTTTCGAAACTTGGGGAATGATTAGAAACTTGTGAGGACGAGTACAGTAAAAGTGTTATTGCCTCGCCATAACCGGACACCTTAAACAAATGAAAAAGATAAAAATAGTCAAAATGCTTAATCCCAATAAAAATGACGACAAATATCATATAGTATGATAATTTGATTTTATCAACTGAGTTGATGATGTAAACTGGCCACCGTAAAGAGTTCCAAAGCTGACGTTTCGAGCCTTAGTCCTTCGTCAGAGCCATTCTCTCTGACCAAGGGCTATGGCTCGAAATGTATGGCATGTATGGGTACAAGTCACCTATAAACGGAAACATCCGAAATCAGGCGGATCTGTCCGAAAACGAAACCACCCGATACGGGGCGGACGTGTCCGCAATCGGACAGAACAGGCCAAAATCGAATGAAACCGCCCTTATTCGGACACACGTGTCTGAAATCAAACAGAGCCGTCCGAAAATGTTTGAAATCGGGTGCAACCGGACCAATATAGGATAAACATGTCCGAAATCTGACGAAAGCGTCTGATTTCAAACGAATGCGTTTGAAAGCGGACGACATAGAGCGATTCTGACGGAATTGTACAAAAGTGGAAGTTAGCATAATACCATTTTGAGCTATTTAGCGCTCACAAGCAAATCATCAAGAAAAAGCCGAGTTGCATCCGCATCGCTCGACCAGAATATTCTATTCTCGTCAATGGGAGTAGATCCCTACTTGCAACATAAACTTATGACTAGTACAATTTTACCTGCTGCGACTCCTTATGGTCTCCAAGATATCGCTTTTTATTTCGTGCCAAGAGAAGTAACTGGACCATAAAACAGATCTTAACCGCTACACAAACACCAGTGGGTACCAGGGACAAGAATAGAATAACCCAATTGAGCACCTCTCCCCAGTCCACAGCGGTGTCCACAAATTTAAGTGACTCCGAGCACGTGGGATTGCACATTGGTCCAAGACAGGTGTCAGTCACTCTCACAGATTGATGACGTTTCTCAAACCATTTTTGAAGAGTGGACTGCAAACTAATGATTTCGTTTCCACGTCCTATTGTTGTACGCAACCAACTTCCGGGTACTTTGGACAAGCTGGAGAAATTTTTCAGGAAGTAGTAAATTATTGTAATCAAAAAATTAATTCTCCCAACTATTTCAACGAAAAAAAGGAACGAACTAACAAGTGAACGAACGCACGAACAAACGAATGAACGAACGAACGAATAAACTACCGAACGAAGGAGCGAAGGCACGAACAAACGAACCAACGAACGAACGCGCAGACAAACGAATGAAGGAACGAATGAAGGAACGAATGAAGGAACGAATGAAGGAACGAATGAAGGAACGAATGAAGGAACGAATGAAGGAACGAATGAATGAGTTGACGAGCGAATAAACTAACGAACGAACGAACGAACAAACGAAAAGGCGAACGAATAAACGAACGAACGAACAAGGAACGAAAGCATTAAGTAACAAAAGAACAAACAAATAACGAAGACATGAACAAAAAAATGATCAACCAACGAAGGAACGAGGGAACAACAAAAACCGAATAAACAGAGACACAAACGAAAGCACGAAGTATAGTGATTGCACGACCAAAAGAAATAGAAAAAAAAAAAAACGTAATGAACGAGAGAATGAAAGAATTCTGACAACTCACCGGAAAAAAGCATTTCCCTGGTTGAACGTTCTACTGTAGTGAAGCACTTCTCCTTCATCTCTTAAACTTGACATGCCAAAGAAAGTGTGCTGAAAACACGCGGGCACAAAGTAACTAAGATTTGAAGATCTGGGTTCAATTGCAAACAAAGATTGGTTCATGGCACCCCCATATGACTCGATCAGAGTTATCAGATCTGTCACACCGTTATCTGCGACGGAAACTCTTTTCGACAAACGGGCGACAATGTCTCCAATGATATAAATATCATACATGCTGAACACAAATAGCGTTGGCACGTTTGATGGGTAGTATCCCCGTTTAAGCATACATGATGCTGACAAACAGCACGGATATCCATGAGTAGTATCTGCACATGCGCTTGATAACGGCTTACCGATGATGTAGAATTCCTTAGCAACCTTTGATGTGATGCTCTCTCGGAAATTCAAAAACCATCCACCGTCTATGATCACTGAAATGCTAACATGTAAATTCCTGGATGACATAAGGTCTTGTAACCATTGTACGTGGTTGATCGCACCCACCCCTCCCGCGCTGCTCCCAACTAAAACAACCTCACGCGCTCGGCTCAAACCTTGGTCGAGCAGCTCATAAATAGCGCTTTGAAAAATGATTTTACCGCTGAAAACAAACTGTTCCACACTGCTTGATGCTCTGTTTTGTGTTCCCAGCCATGCATCGCTGCTGCAATACGGTATCAAAACACGTGAATAATTGTAGAATAACTTATTCTCGTTTCGAGTTGTTGAGAGCAAGTCCTTCCCACTGATTGTGCTTGGCATGTACTTGGATGTCATTAGAGCGTTCGTTAACTCGCTCCCAAATCGTGCATGACATTGAGCCTTTGTGAGACAATACGCTCCGCTCTCCAAAAATATAATCCACTGTGATGGCTCCTGAACATCCATATAATAAATTGCTGTTGTTCCGTCATTACACAAAGCATCTTTGTTGCTAAGGGTCTTCTTGTACATCGTGTTAGAGCGAATATTTCCACTGGCAACCATTTCAGAAGATAGGATGCTGGTCGCTAAAAGGACTGTTAAGAACATCTCTATGGACGAAAAATCAGCTTCTATCCCCTTAAACTCTTGAAAAAAATTTCTTAGAACAGCGTAAATTATGTTAACTTGTTGTTAAAGTTGCCTGTGCGCAAGGTACCAATATCGACACAATTTTCACTCAATCCAATTTTCTCCGTCATGAAAATCCATTTAATAATTTGTTAACTGTCACTAAATCACTCATTGCAATAACGAGCACAGTGTTTAGGTTTCACTTCTGCTCTTGTTTAAGTATTTATGTCGTGAAACATTTTTTATGGATCAGTGTTCCTAATTTCGAGTTTTCTTACTAACGTGTCTTTACAGGTGTTTAAATTATGTTCTATTCGGAAAATTTGCAACTTTACAGTTTTAGGTTAGATTGGTCAAAGAAAAGGAATGGGTTATGGTTTGTCGGTAAAAGAAAACGAATTATTTTCAAGGAAGTTTAAGCACCTGATGGTTTCTAATGACGAAAGGAGCCCTCGGGCAAATCGATAGAAGCTGACTACTAATTGAATTTTCAAATGACTGTGAATATATGAAAACCATGTGTGTGAAATATGCGGATAAAGACGTGAATATGAAAGCGATCTTCGCAGTAATGAACACTACTTGCGCAGTAGTGAAAATAAGGCCTGAAAAAAAAAAAAAAATTTAGGCCTGTAATTAATTAAATTTTCATTCGACCCCCCACATATATGTGAATTCTTTAGATTTGGTTTTACGAAACGTAATCGATATGCGTTCACTTAACAATCAAGACCTGTTGTATGTTAGTCCTTCATTAGTCATTCGGTACCCGGCCTTATTCAACTGTCATTTGTTATAACACGATTTTTTTTTTCTTTGAAGCAGTTGTTAGTGGATCAACGATGAACAATCTTAATAATGAAAAACGTTGAAAACTGCAAACGACAATCCCAGCTTTGAAATTTTCATCTTGTTCTTTGAGAGGATCCCTTGTGAGAAGAAAAGCTTTCACATACATTATCCTTTCGAAATTCCTATCAAACTGGATAACATAACGCGCCTTAGCCGTTCAAAGTGTTTCCATTTAAGAAGTGCCACCTGTTCCTAGCCTCCTGTTTTCAGTTTTTCAATTCGCTTTTACTTTCTTCAATTTCTATTGTAGTAGTGTATTGTGGTGTGACTTTCAATATCGTAAAAATTTGTTTCTTCAATAGACAAAAATGATGAAGAAATTATGTGCTATTTACTTTGGTATAAAAGCTTGGCAAAGACAATTTCCACAAAGAGTTTGCTGGATTATCACCTCCTCAAAACCTTTAACAATTTTTGTTAGCGAGTCTTTATCCACAAGTACGCCAAATTTAACCTGAAACACCTTAGACTGACAAACAAGTCTTATCCTTGACTTTCACGGTCAATGGCAGTATCTTGTAATCAACTGCGCACCTACCCCTCCCATAAAAAATATTAACCCTAACTTGTTATCAGTTGAATGTAGTTGGGTTGGGGGAGGGGTAAGCGTGCAGGTGCTCAGATAATGACATTGATCCACTCTGAAAATGACTTCCGCTGAGGGTTTTAAAATCATCAGTCAGTGTGACGCAGATTGAGAGACCACTGGTTTCTTTGGAGAAGTCACATTGATGACGCTAAATACACTATTACACTCTTATGTTAAGATAGATCGTCGCATCTAAAAGTTTTTCCACTGATAAAGAATCTCTCACCCTGAATTCCAAACGTTTTATGTATCTTTTCGCGTAAGAAACCCTTCCTTAATTATTCTCCTTGACTTTAACGTGATGTCAACTTCCACTTAGGTTGTCAAAAGGTCAGCAGTAAGCATCGCCGGCAACAGTCCTGCCCAGGACTACTCTCACTTGGATGACCAACCAACACAAGTTCATGACCAAACCGTTTACTGTATATTCAGAGCTTCAGTTTCTAATCGTCTCAAATATTCTTGTTCTTAAAGCTCAACTAAATCGAGTTTCATTCATGTTTCCTATCATTCCTTACCAAAGTATACTGTTCTTAATTCTTTTTTATTCACTTTTCCCATAGTGTTCCGTGGCAACTCCTCGACCACCAACAAGACCGAGGGAATCTGGTATGGAACCATGAAACCGCTGGCCCATCGTTTCAAGTCTTCAAGACTCAATTTCTATGTGCGAACAAGCAGAGAAAAATCATTAGCTAAAAAAAAATGACAAACAAAAAGAATGAAAATGCAACGCCTTGTTCAGCCAGTAAAAGCTGACATGCCAGGATTTGAAAAACGTGATTTTGTCGCAGATGAAATTTGCTAAAGTAGATGACTCTTCTAGATCACTTTCTGAGCAAGCATTTCACTAGTGGTGGCTTCTGCCTCCTTAACAATTTTTGATTTAGAACAATAGCGCCCGATTTTTGACTTTGAAAATAAGTGTCCGATTTTTGATTTTAGACACCGCTCTTCGATTTTGGATACTAGAGTCCAATTTTTGATTTGTACCTTCTAGCCTCATTACTCAACCTTTGTTCCTTTCATTGCTATATATATTGTGTTGTATCAGTAGCCACATGCAGTCTTGGACTGCCTACTTTTCAATACAAGTGACAGATGCACACCTTGCCAGGACTCAGCGTGACAATTGCAGCCACACGCTCTCCCCACACGGGATCAGGTTTGCCCAACACAGCACAGTCTACAATGTCATTGTGTGATAAGAGATGTCGCTCAACTTCAAGAGCACTGCAGGGAAAAACGTTCACAAGAAAAATTGCTCATTTTAATTCAACAACAGTCTAAGAAAAATTCTCATTTATAGGAAAGTAGTCCTGGGATGTATTAGTGCCGCAGATAAAAATCACTCGGCGCCAGGAGAACAATAAGAAGTAATTCAACACAAATCGAAGCGATAGAACGTCTCTCATCTCTACCAAACCTTCACCAAAATATGTCAACACCGTTACATTAGAAACCGCCAAGAATTTTCGCGTTGCTTAACAGCCCAATTTGGCTACAAATGTTGGCTACAAACTAAAATCCATCGAACCAAATTGTATTTTAGCACAAGCTTCTTCGCTACATAAAAAAGTGGCCCTTCGTTCTATATTTCCAAGCAGAATTGAAACCTGAAGTATGGGATTATGCAGAGCGAGGAAGGAACTAGGAAAAATCCTCGGAACAAGGCAGGAATCAAACCCAGGCCACAGCGTTAAACTTACGCGGGTAACTGGCACTAGGCCGACCAAAACTCTGCTTCCCAACATGCATTTTGATTCTGACCTGATCTTGTATCCTCCACTTTTAATGATATCTACCGATGTCCTTCCCAGAATGCTGTACACTCCATTTGCATAAGCTGGAAAGTGAGCGCAACAAAAATTCTGACGTTTATTTTAGACGGAAAAATATCTGCAAGCATAACTCGGAGGAGAAAAAACTTCGCTCTGAGACTTAAAGCAGGAGCTATTTATTTACCAGCAGTGTCGCCTGTTTTAAACCAGCCGTCCTCTGTAAAGGTCTCTCTTGTAGCATCGGGTTTATTCCGGTAACTGGCGGAAAATGATACAATGATGTAAATTGAAAAGTGTACACTCTCGTGTGGTAAATAGAAGCTTCACGTGATTGTACAAAGTTTTAAGCCTGGTTAGTGCGGTTTATCTCAAAACCAGAGAAGAGCATGTCTGAACAACCTCCTAAAATGCCGAGGATGTTGGCATTATGCAGGGCTGCACTCTGCCTTGGAGTAACATCCATATCGTGGACTGGGAGATGGAAATATCCCTAGCAAATTCATACCACAGAAACCGAGATTAGCTTCAGCAGATAAGAAAGGCAGTCTGGTACGCAGATGTTACTTGACAATACCCAACAGCCTAAAGTGTACATCCCCGTGTCTTAGCCCTTTAAACCTAGGAGAGACCAGCATCGAATTTCTCCCTACAGAAATACTGCTGAATCATTCATTACGATCACGAGAATAAAGGAAATGATAGCCAACCTGAAAAACTTTGATTGTTACTCAAACAGTCTCGTTGTCAGTACCATAGGAAATGTAGAGAGAACAGCTTTGATAATACGAATACAAATGTTAGGTTGTAAAGGGTTAAAATAATTAGATGAACAAATGTATCCGTATAAGCCAACAACCAGCAATCTATTTCCTTCTACTAATTATACTTCGTTGACTGCTGTGGAAAACCAACACGCAGTTTATGCTGAGATAGAGACCAACCATTTAAACACTGATGGTCCACGAACTTGAAGCTCTCCTTCTCGGCCTTCGTTGAAAGACGAAACATGAGATCCATGTTCGTTCCCTTCAGCTATAACCTGATTGACAGGAATTAGAAAAAAAATTTCAAATTTGCAACCCAATAACTGTTGGTTTATACAAATATGATGATGAAAAATTCACGTACCTCTTTTTCACCATCCACGTTCTCTGTGACAACCCGAACTTCTGTTCCAGGTAAAGGGGTTCCCACAGAGCCCTGCGCTGACACAACATTTTATCGGTTAAATAAGTAGTCACATGATAAAGTTATGTGTGGGATTAATATACAGTATTCAACCCTATTTGGCCAATGAATTCCATGTCGCCGTGCGACTTTTCAGTGATAGCTCCCAGATGAATGCGGTAAGTCTTCACGCTGTCACTTGTCAGCCTCGTTTTCATGTTTCACGTTGGAGTCGATATATTATCTGAAAATAAACCTCTGTTGATTTTTTCTTCACGCCTTACACAAGACTTATTCCGACGCTATACGCTACAGCCACATTTCGAAGTCATCTCTGATCTATTATTAAACACATGGAACAACATGGAATCTATTTGTTTTCTACAATCAGTAGGCAGAAAGTTTTAATGGTGACGTCATTTCTAAGTCTGCCTTTCAATAGAACAGGGAGAGGAACCAATCAAAATGCGTGTATTATTATACTCACTATATGATTGGCTAGATGATTGCTACATCTTACCGCTAATCTTGGTCCACGCAGAGGGTTCGATAGAGCCATGCCTATCTCTGTCATTCCGTATCTTTCTAACAGTGTATGTCCTTTAGTAAACATAGATAAGCATCTTTAATATGTTCCGTATTCTTTTTATTCATACGAATTTTTAACAATGCCAATTATAACAATATACGGAATGCTGTCACATTTGAATCCAAAATCCAAACGTAAATGAGACAATTGTTTTAGCCTTCGAACAAGCCCTTTTTATTACCACTTCAGCACAAGTGTTTCTTCGCCTGCGGGCAAGAATGAGGCCTTAAGTGACACGAACCTGCGAGAGGACTGCAAGAGGTATAGCACTGATAAAACCTCTTCTTGACTCGTCTCAAATCTTCACACGGGCGGAGAAACGCGCGTCCTGCAGCGCTAAGATTAAGGACCTGCTCACTATCTATTATGGCCGTCCTCCCCCATTTCTTCATTACCAAAGTTGGACGTTTCCTATATTCTTACCAACGTAAGGGGGGGGGGGGGAGGGAAGAGGGGATTTTGTCGGCCTTAAGGTTTTTAACCGTATTTTTTCAAGGTTCCAAAAGGATTTTCAGGGATTGTTGGAATCGGCTTTGGATGTGTGAACTCAGTATTTCATGATTGGTAAGATTTACTGCAAGAATGATTTCTTTGATTAAAACTTAATCCTTTGACAACTTAGAGTGACTAGCATCTAATTTCTCCTTACAATATCTCCTTAGAATCACACATTAAGGTCACGAGAATAAAGGAAATGATCACCAACTAAAAAAAATACTGATTGTTATACAAATTCTCCTTGTCAGCACCTTGGAAAATGTGTAGTGAACAGTATAGAGAATATGCATATTGATGTTTGGATGTAAAGGATAAATGGTCCAGCTTATTATAGAAGTGTCTGTCGCACAATAGTGGTGAATGAGGGTGTGGAATCTAAAGGTTTAAGGTTTGATTCTTCATGGGAAGCTATTCATTTTTCCTTGTTCCACCCACAAGACAAGAGGAATGATATATTTTGTCAGATAAAGGAATGTTGGATTTTCAATGTGATTTTAAAGTAGTGATATTCTAAAGGGTCATATTTACCTGTTATTTCCTTCCATCTTTTCATGACAGGCTCAGGGAGAGCAGCTGAACCAGACACCATTAATCTGTTATCCACAGTTTGAAATCATAGACAAACAAACACACAAACTCATTAACCCTTTAACTCCCAGAGTGATTAACATGTAACCTCTCTCTATAATATCCATACATTAATCCACCAAGCAGGTAATGAGAATACCTATTCTTATCAGGTACAAGTTTTTATCTTAATCTAAAACCAAACACTTGTCACTAATAAAATATATTAAAGTTCACACGGCAACCAGGTGGACAATCAGACATAGTTTGAAGCTACATTAGTTTGCAGATTTAATGAATGTAACCGAAGAAGTTACAATTCATAGACCCAAGGAAATGTGTCGCAAGTATTGGGGAGAATTAAGAATTAGATCATGGGAATTGAAGGGTTCACATTGGACATTTACAAGAATACAATAACCATCACACAACTTAAATACTAGATCATGATAAATTCTTTTGTCTCTGAAGAGCAGCTTATACAGAAAAAAAAATGGAATTCCAGAAAAAGAACAAGAACACAAATTAAATCTACCTGAGTTGTTCACATCTAAATCTTATTTTCTCCTTCTCTTCTTTTGTCAGGTTCTCTTTTCCATAGTGCTCTATCAGTTTGCTGTAAATTGTTGGAACAGCCATGAATAAAGATGGGCGTGGCTCATCTCCAGTTAGGATATCCCACACCTGTGTATGAATATGGAGAGATAACTCTATGCTATGTTCATCATGCATGTTTAAAATCTCTTGATTCATATTTACTTTTTAACTAAGCAAGAGCTCATGATGTTAGGACCCAGTTCAGCTCAAATATTTCCCTCCTCCTACATGTGTGACTGAACTCAGTTGACCAGCTTTCATCACAAAACTGCTGCTTTGTCAATAATTTCCATCTATCTCCTTCTTCCAAGTTCTTTTACCTTGTAGACCTTACACTGTGCCATGTGGCTTTATGCAGCCCCGTTCACCCTATTGCAAGTTTTTTCAGAACAATGAGATAGCTGTTTTCCCCCATGAATTTGGACTCCCTTCCCCCTTCTCCCCAATTAGATAGGTGCTCCCCTGAATTTAAACTCCTCCTCCTTGTCGATGTGCCTCATGTCTTGTCCTAAAGTGAATTAAAACTATACGATCATGTGCCAGACACTTTTTAAGTTTTTTTTTTTTATATAAAAAGTGCTCATCAAGTTGTTTGGGTCATACAATAAAACATTTTAACGTTTGGACAGTCTCCTTAAAATAAAATCTTTTCAGTGTGCTATCTAAAACTGATGAAAGTTGAGTAAGATTCGGGCTAACTCTGGTCAATTTATAGTGAATTATTATATGAAACTCCTACCACAATATGTTGCAGGTTACCAGCTTTCTGATGTAAAGAGACAACAAATTTATGCAGTCAGCAAGGAGAATAAGCACTAACTCTTTTTTAATCATTTACCTTGTCAGGTATAAATTTAGGTAACATGTGACATGTGGCTCCAACCCACAAAGGGCAAAGAAGGACATTTACTATGCCATGGACATGATGAAGTGGAAGACAGTGGATAATATAGTCAGCTGCCTTCCATTCCCATGCTTTGACTAAAGCAGTAATCTGTGATCTGATGCAAAAAAATAATGCAAATTTAAGTGGTGCTGATGGTCGGGTAATTAAATACAATCACACTCACCTATTTAGAAGGAAAAATGGTAATTTCAAACCTAATAATATACATGAAAAAATTATGTGTGTCTGATTACCTGAAAATGAATGCATTTTGAAAGTGATTGTAGAGTTGTAACACAAGTACAAATAGCAAATGGCGTGTGCATCCTGCCAAAATTTTGTCTTTCTTGACTTTCTATGATACGTTTGTCATGTAAATTATTAACAAGTAACAACATGATTTCTCATTTTCAAAGACTACAAATTGCACTCACTCTGTGGGCTCTTGCAATTTTGTCATTTTTGGAAAAAAATTACTTGTGCTTATCACCATCAAAAAACACTCAAAATGTTACCAATACTAACTTGTTTAGTAAGTGTATAGAACTAAAATGTCAGTAAATTTTGAGCTTGCTTGTGGAATATGAAAAGAGATGTTGTTCACCAGACTAGTAACAAGTATGAGACAAAGAGAGTGGTAATAGGCTTGTAATGATCTAGATTGTTACTCTAAGCTGCAAGCAGGCCCTTATAGGTAGCCTGTAGGTGTGAGCATTTTTTCTCTCGCTTGAGAAGTCTGTCCATGGTCTGGCACTGATTAGCAGACCCCTTCCCCTCCCCCATTGTTCTAAAATTGTCTTATAGGTGAAGCACTCCTCCTGCAGCACTAATAATGAGGGCCTGGTTGCTTTCTACGTTATATTTATTGTGTGGTACAACATTGAAGTGCAGAATCCAAAGGTCTGGAGTGTTTTTGTTCTCCTTTGTTTGTGACAAGATAAGTAACAGCTTTCCTTTAGATTAGCTCAACAATATTCTGTATATGAGTTAAGTCTGCCCACTGGTCCAAACAATAACTAACCTCAAATTTCCATGTGTGGACAAAACACCTTTTGGCTGTCCTGTGGTTCCACTTGTATACACAATCATTGCATCACGCTCATCCCAGCATTGCTCCGTCATTTCCACTGCAGTGAGCTCTTCACTTGACAACATCTGATTAGCAGACGTTAAGACTTGATCGACATCTGTCAAAAACATAATAGTGACTTCTTGTCCCCTAGCTAGTGGTTCCAGTTTAGGCGCATAATCACTGGACGATATGACTAAATCGGCGTTACAGTCTTGTATCATGTAATCGTACATGCTTGTAGGATGAGAATTGCAGAGAGGAACTGCAATGCCGCCATTTCTCCAGATCGCCCATTGCGTAGCTACGTACGAAACGTCGTTTGGACAGAGAAAAGCAACACAGCGGCCAGAAAGGTCTCTTCCTCTGATCCTCTGTAAGATGCCATTCCCAATTGTTTGACTCAAGAATAGAATACGCTCGTAAGAGTGGCTTCCATTCGAATCAACGATCGCAACTCGGTCTTTATATTCTCTTGCTCTCAAAAATACCACAGAATTCCTCTCAGAACGGTTGTTGTTTACACTTGACGAAGCTATGTATCTCCCAGTGAGATTAACAAGACAACATCGGCGAGAAAAACGACGAAATTTACCCACAAAGTTAGAAATGGACGTAAACATTATGATGAGTTCTTTCAAATCGATGTGCTAACCACGAGCAAGAGTTCTCATTGGCTGTTAAATGATAGAACTTGACCGGAAACGGAAGTTTACCTTTGGCGGGCGTACTGAATTTACACTCCAGTGTGCTACAGTTACTGCGAGTTTTTTAACAAAGCAGCTTCTCTAAGAAGTAGTTTGAGCTTTCGTAAACTTGACCATGGAGTAATCTGATTCTGTAAAAAAGAATCAAAAAACCGACTATTGGTTTGATATGAATCCAGTTACCTGTCTTTGTGATCCTTGGGAAGCGTGTGGGTTCATACCTACATCCAATGCCGGTTTTGTTCCGGACGCTAATTCGGATGCTTCTGTTCGATTTCGAACACTGCCGTCTGATCTCAGGCTCTTCCATGCCATCCGATTTTGAACGCTATCGTCTGATTCCGAACGCTTCTGTCGGAGGTCATCGTCGGATTCCGGAGGCAATTTTCCGAATCAGACGCATCTGTCCGATTTTGGACACTATTGTGTAAGTTCGCACGCAATCGTCTCGCTGGGCGAGCGCTCCTGTCCGATTCCGGACGCTACTGATTCCCGGCTATGATTTTCCTAGAAATCCGTCGACGTATTTTTCCGACAAAAATGAAGTAGGTGACATTTTCAAAATGCTCCTGTTTTCAGTGTTTTACTGTTAGCTCTTCTTTTCATCAAACCTGAGAGATACCATGTTAGTTGAGCGCCACTCCATGAAGAAATCCGCTCCTAATAGAGCGCTGCTTCGAAGTTGGAAAAAATGCAATGAACGGCACGGCGATTGCGTTTTCTAGACGGAACGTCGGAGTGAGCATGACCAGTAGCCTATTATTCGTAATGGGCTCCTGGAATGACAAAAGGACATTGGGTGCAGTCATTACCAGACCTCCGCCTCTTTCTGATCCTCATTGTTATAGAAGAAAGATAAAAAATGTGACCCTCGTAATAACATTACTCTAGAGAGAGGGCGCAAAAGGATTTATACGTAACGCGTGATTTAGATTCAGGTTTTTTAAGTAAGCAAGCGCATTGCATCATTTTAAGGCGCGCGACGTCGTCCCAACGCGAGGTCCCTATTAGTTGGCATACGACTATGTTTCCGGGGAAACAAGCGTCGACAAAAATACATCGTTAGGCATAAAGAGGTATATTTTATTTGTCAATTCAATTTGTATACTATATTTCCAGAGACACATAGAGTTCAAGCATTAATTATTTACAATAATGACCTAGGAATATAGAAAAATCTTTGCAACGTCAATCTGTAAAATATTTTAACTATGGCAGTCATTCTTAACCTTCTTCTTGTCTGGTTCGTTTTTCTTTGAATACCTCAACAACTGGTTTTCTTATATAAGTCCAACCTTTAATATCATTCATGGCTTAGCCATGAAATCACAGCGCGAGAGGTACGAAATATATTGGAGGAAGTGAAATTACTTTCTACTCAAAAGGGATCAAAATATTGTTTTCTTCACAAAGCGGATTTCTTAACAAAATAATTCAAATTGTTAATTCCCTGTCATCTGTCAAATGTAATTTTGTTGTTGTTTAGTAAAGTAAGCAATAGATCTTTGACCAGTCAGAGGGCACGTAGCAGCACAGTTACTCAACAATACGCAACAACGTTTCATTTCATTTTTCATCTTTCTCGGAGGCGACATCTGTAAGTGGCTTAAACGCTACATAAGGTATGAATGCAAAGTACTTCAGGCAAGCAAGTACAGCAAAGCATGTCGATAGTATTATTTTACTTAATGTAATAGGAGCACACCAAAATATAGCGGGCTTGTTCTTAAATGACGTCGTCATTTTTCATCGCTGTCACATGACACGGTTTGCAACAAAATCGAGAGATTTCGTCGGTTCCAACTTTAACTCTCTGATGGGCCTGGTAATGACTTTTTTATCTTGAGAAACACAGCCTGGAGGACCGCGTCTGCCTGGTGACCATCTCCGGAGCAGCTGTAAGAAAACGAATGACACAGATACGAGGATGAATTCAATAAGCAAATTTTGGTGGGGTGGTAGCGGTCTTGGTATAAAATTATCTCTTCGTACTTCTTAAATGCTTTTGTAGCTGCACCACTAGATTTATATTCACCCGTTCAACGAAATAGTAAGTAAATATATTCTCCGCGTAGCTTTCTTGCGCTCTTCAGGACCTAAAACTTTTACGCAGTTATTGATCAAATTTGGGTCCTTTTCGGATTGCAAACTAACGAAGTGCTAACTCATTGATGGCTTTCATTTTTCTTGCACCTACTCCATATTAGCAAAAACTTGTTCACTGATGTTGTGTTGGTAAATTTCGAACTGGTATTCGCGCTATTCTATTATTGAAAATCATTAGCTGTTATTCCTACTCGGCTTGGAATCTTAAGGTTCATAGCCAGCAAGAATGGACGGGAACCATAGAGGAAAGAACAAACAAAAGTAGGTTTGCAATGCATGCATTAAGTTCCTAATTTTTTTCCCTTTTTATTTCCATTCCTCATTCTCTAGTCCCCATTCCTGATTTTCCAGTATCCATTTCCCAATCTGTTTCCCATATCTCATTTTCCAATTCTCCACTTCCACTTCCATTTACAAGCCGCGACCGATGAAGTTCCTTTGATAAACCTAAATCAAGCTTCTATGAAAGGATTAATCAGTTGCAGCAAAAATCAAGACACTGCTTTTAATACATACAATTTTTGCAGTTCAGTTTCAGCGATTTCAAACCAGGCCCAGTCCCTTCGTCGCGTAGCTCGGCTCATATTGACCAAGAACTCCACATGATGAGTGCTGACCTGTTGCCTAGTGTCTAGTTCGTCCTCGTCATTCACCATTTGATGGACTTTGGAGCCCAATGACTTAATTGTGTCCACCAAGTGCAACGCTTGCTGTTCTAGTCTAAGTAAAAGACAGCCATAGAGGTAGAAGATAAATATTTCTATTTCAAGGTTTTGCGCCCTAAAAAAGCTGTTCCTCACCAAGGCCCCTAGAGGTTTTTCTTTAGCATACACAGGATAATTGGCGCGCGGCTGGCAAGAACTTATTCCATCGCACATGCTTGACTTTTTACCGCTGTGTTCACACACCCGTGGGATTTCCACTGCATGTAGCTCAGCGGTAGAACGGGAACCGGAAGTTCTTAGATAGCAATCTTCTTAGGAAACTCAAGTTACCTCTTTGTCCCAAACTCGAGACAAACAGACAAATTAATATCTTCTTTCTCCACTGTATACTTTCATTTGTTAGAATATTTTTAGAGGGGAAGGGATGAATTAGGGAGCACTAGAGTCACTGGCAGGCATGGTAGAAAAGTTTTCAAAGGGTAAAGAGAAATGTTCAGGTGCAGACTTCAAAGCATTTCTCACCTGAGACATCTCATCAAGTCCTTTGCTGCTAATGCCCGGATGAAGCCATTGTAAAGAAATTGTAGGGCGGTTAAGTAATCTTCTGCTTGGCAGCACATCCAGTGTGCATCTAACAAACTGTCAACTGAGATCAGGGAAAAAAGCTTCAGTATTGAAACAGATTTTTCTTGGAGAGGTGGGTTCTCGCATCAAATTTTGAGCGATTTTCGATTGAGTTTCGAAAGTTATTCCGGACTATATCAGTTATGGTAGAATTGGTCCTTATTTTCCTTGACAACTTTTGTTTTGATTGAGAAAGAAACTACTTCAGAAACTTGTACCCGAAAATAGAGTAAGAAGAGACTGTACTGGCGCGCGGGGAAGGAAGGAAATACGGGAAAAGAGGAAAGTGTGAGGGATGCACGAGGAAAGTGCGCTGAAAATGGTGTAAAAGTGCGATAAAATGTGATGAAAATGCGATAAAAGTGCGGTAAAACGGCGGGAGAATTGCGGTAAACTAGGGAGAAATGCGATAAAGGTGCGATAAAACTGCGGGAGAATTGCGGTAAACTAGGGAGAAATGCGATAAAGGTGCGATAAAACTGCGGGAGAATTGCGGTAAACTAGGGAGAAGTGTGATGAAACTGTGGGAAAAGTGTAGTAAAACTGCGGGAAAGAGGGAGAAAAGGCGGGGAAGCGCGAGGAAAGTGCAGGGAAAGATCAGGAAAAGTGGTTAACTGGTACGTGATACCTGCACACGCGGTTGCCTGCATGTTGCTGTACACCATGGAGACCCGATAGAAAGCTTGGGACGCCTCGCGCCAGTGCTGCTCTCTACACGCTGCTGCAGCTGTGATACTGTACAAGACAACAGACCATGTGGTGCCTTTACTAACACTGGAAAATCTGCAAACACAGAAGGTTAAGAAATTCTTATCGTAAACAGTACGACGCGAAAAGTACCGCTCAGTGGCTTTCATCTGAATGGTCACACTTCAGGGTTTTATCCACAGAATGAAAAGTTAAAACCACTTTGAACAGTATAATTAGAAACATCGCATATGAGCACTGTTAAGTAGCTTTGTAGAATAGACACAGACTGGGGTTTCACACACCAACCTAAAAGTTAGAAGCACCCTGAACAGCAATAACAAAAAAAAACCCTTTCACCCGCAATATCTCGATGAAATTCTCCTTACTGTCTGACATTCATTTCTTATAAAATTTGTTCAGAGAATTTGGTGCTAGATCAAATGATGATCTCCTAATTGATAGTTTTCCCTATTCTCATCACTTGGCTGCTTGATATTGTATTAATACTGTAAGGAGAAATTATGTTTTGGTCACTCTTGGGAGTGAAAGGGTTAAAGTACTGCTCTGTAGCTTTCAGTTAATTGACAAGAATCGTAATAAAAATGCATTCGCAATTTATAAGAAGATACTTAACTCACCCAGCTGTTTCGTTGAGAAGACTTGTTAGAGAGTTGTACGAATCTTCTATGTCGAAACTGCAACAAAAGAAGAGTCGTGTAACGAAAGATGTTGAAGAAGAAACCAATTGTTCAAATTGTTTTGTATCATTACCTGGCGCTTATCTGCTCTCTGCGATATGCTTCGTACACATCCACAGTTTTATTGAGTAAGAGGTCTCGTGTAGCAAACAACTAAAACGTACAAAATAGACAAACATTCAAATCAGTCTACTAGGCGAGACACTATCCCAGCAAAGCCTACTTTCCTCAACGCGTGTGAATGGGATCTCAAGATCTGCTGTGAAACTTGAGAAATAACTTCGAGGTTGCCTGTGATACACCAGCAACTAATCCTAGAGGAGAGGCAACACTCCATGTTACTTCTCGCTACAGAAATCAGAAATAGCACCGGAAGTGATGATTGGGACACCCACTTAACACATGACCTTTACGCTGACCGCGTTGTCTACAGGCACTTACTCCTTCAAGTTTTCTTATTTCTTCCAAACTTAGTGTTGTAGCTACGACGTCGCTATAGAGTTGAAGCGCCCTTTCACGGTCTCTTAATTGAAACAGCCTCGCAGCAATCATCCTGGTTAAATGTAACAACTTGTTGAGCTGGTTTTCCTGCGAAAGTAAAGTTGGACAGTTAACCCCTTTGACTCCCACGAGATACTAACATACACACTTCTCCTAAAGATTCCGATATGTCATCTTACAAACGGGTTATGAGAACAGAGAGCTGATCAGCCAGAGGATGTCACCTTGACATTACAACATATTCCCTTCTCTAATTTACAAGGTAACGTAAGATAACCAGAAGGGAGAATAACAAATTGGATCTTGGGAATTCAAGGCGGATTAACAAAGAGAACGAGCGTTCTATGGCTAGGTTGAAAATCTGAAAAAAGAAATCTCATCTTGCGAACTGTTTTTCCGATCTTCGAATAATGAAACAAATTAAACAAACAAACATACAATCAAACATACAAAAAGGGTAATTGTCCTACACAGAGCAATAAAAAATATTAGCAAACATGGCGTGCGTGACTTTTTCAAACACGTGATTTGCACACCTCAGTTTCTAGCTTGAGCCAACGCTCCACAGGTGTCAACTCGGCCAATTTTGGCTCTACGCTTGCTTCCACATTGGGCGACTGGGGCATAGATGAATCATCTAATGAGGTTTGTTGCATCAGACCATCACACTCGTCTTCGATAGACGATGGATCCACCGCTAACATTCTTTCTTCTGTTCGGAATTTTCTAATGTTTTCCCTCAATCTCTCCGAAGTGCTCGGATCTCTTTCTCTCTTAACGCTCTTCCCACAGTTCTTAGAGGCCGGCTTTCGTTTGAATGTCGTCCGGCGGGAGCCACCCTGCCGTTGTGTACGAATTCTCAGAAGTCCTCCATCAGTGGAACTAAATATGAAAATATAAAGAGGTCATATAGCTAAAGCCTTAACACACTTCAAATGATTTATCCTCGCAAATTATCCCACGAGTCTGTCGCGCTGATACGAGTTGAAGAAGTTGCCTACTGCAACAGTCTCGTCCAACTTTTCCTTAGCAAGTTTCACTGGTTAAATGAAGCCTTGTAGATGGCCTGTTGAGAAATGGACTTTTCAACAGTTCTTGTCACACAGGCGTCGTGCGATGTATTCATTATAAAGGGCATTTGACAGAGCAACATTACCTACGCTACGAAATTTCGGATAAGCTTTCAAAGAGAGAAGGCTCGCACCAAAATGCATAGGCAAATCAAGGAAGAGCGGTAATGGGTAAGAAAGATTAAGACAGATTTTTCAAGAATTCAGTTGAAGGAAATTTTGTAGAGGTCAAGCCTTTGACTGAGTAGAAATGACCAAGATATTTCCACTTGAAAAAAACCTGAGGGATGGCTACCGCCGCGGATTAAAATACCAGTTTTAAATCTTAGCAAATTTAAGTCACTTACTCTGTTTGGTCTTTATCGGATTCTGAGCCTCTGCCTCTGTATCTATTCCACGCTACACAAAAATAAAATAATTTTCTTTCGTTTTATAATAGTTGTTCTTTACGAAAGAAAATGGCAAGTTGTCAAAAGTTGACGAGAATAGTCAACAGTTTTAAATATCCCTCTGCCTTACGTACTTGGATGACTTCTTCGATTTGGCCTGAGAAAATACATTAAAGGGTACAAAACTACTTTCTCATTACTGTACCAGTCCATCATGGAAGACGATTTCTGTTATCTCATATTCGTTATTTCCCACAAACCCTTTCCCCCTCAATATCTTATGAATAATTTTCCTCACTGTCTGCCATAAAATTCCTATGATGTCAGTTCAGAGAATTTGTAATTAGTTCACTTAAGAGTCCCCTAATTGATAGTTTTCTTTATACTCATCACTTGTCTTATTGATACTGTATTGATATTGTAAGGAGAAACTATGTCTTGGTCACTTGGTTTGTCCAGTAGTCCAGTGGTCAGTGCACTGGGCTCCGAGTCGGACGACCCGAATTCTAATCCTGGCCGGGGCAAGGCATTGTGCCATTGAGACGTGCGGGAAAAAAATGCGAGCTCCGCTTTTAGGCTTGGCTAAATCTCTATATTATTGTAAGGAGAAATTATGTCTTGGTCACTTGGTTAAAGAGTTGAGATCGGCGATCACCCAAAGGGGCGAAAGGGAAAAAAACGTCACCGAGAACGATGGTGGTTCAAGCTAAAAGTCTACAATGTCGCCACATACATTTGGATCAATATCAGTATCTGGGCAACTGCCCACCTACCCCTCCCCTAACCCAACATCAACCTTAACTTGTTGTCAATTAACTGTTGTTGAGTTAGGGGAGGGGTAGGTGGGCAGTTGCCCAGATACTGATATTGATCCATACATTTAACATTGTCCAACCTTTGAGCAATCCAGTTTTTTTCTTGGTATGACACTCCTTTATGCTCTTGATCCAGAGTTCCTTTGTATCAGGTGAAGATGCCTTCAGCAGGTAAATTTCAGCACCTCCCAGCTTTCTCAGCCACACAGCCCACTTGCACGGATCGCTGTCCACTGATTCTGTTTGGCCAATACCTTTGGTCTGGCAAGAAAAAGAAACAAAATAATTGATATAAAGCCATTAACTTCATGAAAAAGTAACCAAAACTGCACACGCGCAATCCAATGTACAAACTTAAGCCAAGATTTTCTAGTCTCGGTATTTTAGTTTAAAGAGAATTTTGTCCCAGAATCTCAGTTACCTCTGGCGCTATGTTCAAATATGCCCACCTGTATCGAGATATTTTTAAGAGCGTTTCAATCTTACACGGTAGTGGGTTTCTCTTACATTTTCCTTAATAATTTTGCGCAGGAAAAAAAAAAACGCGGCAGACCATAATTGTCCCTTTTTGCGCATGCTTTACCCGTGACCGCTGCGCTACGATAACGCTGTTGAAATGTCGTCTGCATCAGTCCTTTTCGAGACCAACCCCCACCTCGACAGTAACACTACAGTACATGGACACTACGGCTGTTCATCGTATCCGATGTTGACCGTGATTTAGAGGTCGAGAAACTTTTCTAAAAAAAGTTTTTCTATAAAACTTTTTGTTTACCTCACTAAGCCATTTAGAATTACAGATATTTACCTTCATGCTGTGCATATATCTAAATTCCGGAAGACCACCTTCTCTTGTCATTGGCTCGCTAAATATAATGATTTTTTCAAATAAAAACACTCTTCTTTCTCTGCCTTTAGTCTTTGCTTTTCCATCAACCACCATAAACTCGTCCTGGACAGGAAAAAAAAATATGAAAATGAAATCCTAAACACTGACAGATGAGAATAAAGGTTGGGCAGAACCACATTTTACCTTTTACCTGCAGTGAAGCTGTGCATTCCATCTTAATTTTACAAATTTCCTATATAATCTGACGTTATTAATCTATCATTATATACCAATCACAGCAGTGGAATTCCATCCAAATACAGCTGAGCAAAACAGGATATAGGCGATGCGTACTCAATCGACCTCATCGCCTGAAAAAGACTAGCAGTATGCTGTCGAAACGTCACGATCCACTTCCGAAGTGACCACATCGTGAGGCAAACAATTATATTTCTCTTTTGACGTGTTATTAGAATAACCACATCCTATTTTACGACAGAATTGTTTGTTGTTTTTCCTTTTATTTTTTATTTCATTTTCGCGAACAACAGTACAATTCTCACCTGAAGTAAAAGATCTCCTGTTTCCTCGGACTTCACCTGAAAGAGTTAAGTTCAAAGGTAACTAAACCCTTCAATTAGATGGTTTCCATTTAAGGCGTTAAATCTCAGTGTAGGGTTATGTATGATAGAAATGGAACAAAGACGGCAAAGTAAAGACGTCTTCTAAAGATAGACTTGTCTTGCTGCTTGGCGTACACTACACTCGCTCACCTCGAATCCTTGAAGCATCCCCACGTTAACCATGTCATTTGTTCGCTTGAGAATTCGAAGGGCAACTTCTAAAGCTCTCTGAGATAAAGAATAGAACAATAACTTTGAGAATTTTCTTGCATTGTTCAACGCCAGCGGACTTAAAGGAGAAATGAACGAGAAACCCGAGTTGAAAATAATAAATCTAACCTCTAGTTGCTTACAATCCTCTCCAGCTCTTTCTGTATGCTTCAGAATGTCCTGAAGAAAACCGAAGTAAAATTACATTTGTCCTAATGAACACCGATACATGAATGAACAAAACAACAGTTTTTTCTTCTGAGTGTAAGGAGAAATTCAAGATTGCATTAGTTTGCTTTATCTTACTCTGTGATTGGTCGGAAAAAAACTCGTGTCACCCTCTCAACCAATAAGATGCAAAACTAAACCTAATAGTGACTTGGTCACCCGCGTTTTCCCGCGCTTTAAGCAGTTCTCTTGTTTTTACTTTAAGCTCTGATTGGCTCCTTGTTATATTTTCCTATGTTTTATTGGCTAGTGTGGTTACGTTGACTTTGGCTTTACAGCACCCAATTGAACTGTGCTCTAAGATAGTTAATTCACGTAACACGTAACTTATTTGAGTAACTTTACATTAAAAAATATGTCTGCATTATTCTCACAATGAACAAACTATCATTTATACAAGGACAAACATTACCCTCAGACAGGCTCATTACTCTCATTGCAAAAACCATACATGTGACAGAAATAATTATGATATTAACCTTTAGCAGCAGTTGATATTTCGTTATCCTCTGAACAGGTTTGATAAGATAATCAGCCAACTGTAGTCTGTGGCCGAGTCTTTCCTTGCAGCTTTGGAAAAAGGAGTCCGCATATTTTTGGACCAACAAGTCCGATTTAGGTTTGTTTCTGCAGTACTCTGAGTATAGTTCTTCAAGTTTGTGTTCCTGTCATGAATTCAAAAATAAAATGGTTTAAATACGAGGTAATCACTTTAAACAAATGTTCCTAACCTTTGGTACCGATTATATGGGCAGGTTTCACTTGAGTGTCGAAAAACCAAAACCGACGCAATCCCAGCGATCAATCAAAACAAAATTTACACTATCATTAGCCAATGAGAACTCAAAGTGAAAACAGGCAAACTGCTTGAAACGCAGGAAAACGCGGGTGACCAATTCGCTTTGATTTTTTTAGTTTAGCATCTGATTGGTTGAAAGGATTGCGCGAGTTGTCTGGACCAATCACAAGGCAAAGTTAATTACAACCAAAGAAATTCCGGATCACTCTCGACACTCAATTGGAAATTTCGCCATTTACCTATAAGAAGTTTTTAATAACTTAATAAAAATGAAAGAAAAGTGTTCTTCGATGGATATTATTAATTACCGATTCTGCAAAAACTTCACCAATCTTATCAGGCTCATCTTCACAGGACTTCAAATGATTGCACAATTCGCTGGATGGCGAGAATGAAAGAAAAAACTCAGTTAGTTCGGACTATAACTGGATGGCAATTTTATGGGAAAATATAAATAAGTATATTTCTAATAGTGATTTATATCCATGTCTGAAATAGAAATGAATTCAGTACAAAATTTTACGGGAGAAACCTCACCGCAAAACATTTCCCTTCACACTTGCTTGGTTGTGGGAAGAGGTGTATATGGTATGTATCAAGCTACATTTCAACTTTAAAGTTGGTATGTGGACGTTATGTGTCAATTAATTTTTGTGCGGATTGTAGTCGCATCAGTTAATATCATAACGTAGTTTTTTTTCCTCTACCACACAAGACTTAGAATGTGTTACTCCGATTATCTGCGGGATCATAACTAAACGGGCAAAAAGTATCCTTACCTTGAGTGCCATTCATGAATATCTTGAATATTGGAAAAGATTTCTCTTCCTTTATTTTTTAATTCTACTGGTAGATTGCTTGAGGAAAATTCTGGTATGTAACCCTGAAAAAAAGAAATATGTGTCTTTGATCAGTCAAATGAGTGATCAAAAAGGAATTTCTCCTCTCAATAACATAACATCTTGATGCAGAAGGTATTGAGGAGAAAGAACGAATTTAACAAGTTGGATGTGTAGTGTCTACATTTGGATCAAGTGGCCCATCCAGCCAGAGATTATTCCAGATAATTCCATGAAGCAATGAGAAGAATCCCTACTCCCCCCCTGGATGGGATGCCAGTCAATTGGAGGTAACCCCCTTGCATTTTATCGGGCTTCCTTGATTATTTGATGGTATCTATTTATACTCCTGGGTTGAGAGTGGTACTGTGAGAGAGAAGTGTTTTGCCCATAAACACAATATATTTACTTAGGTACGTCTCAAACCCCACCCTCTCCACTGGGAGTCCAATACATTAATCATTGATTAAGCTACTGCATCTCTACTGCTTGATTTAACACAAAATTCTCAAAGCTGTAAGTATGAGAAATAACTAACAGACAATATGGAGCATTGATATTCAGATTGTGAAGATCCAAGGGTGAAAAATGACTTCAAAGAGCTGAACCTCGCTTATCTGATAATCACCATGTCCAATGTGCCATTGGCTGAGTTATAAACATAAATTAAAACTCACTCACAACAGTTGTTTTGTAATACCATTGCCATGCTGTAGAATTCAAAGATAAATAAAATTCTCACCTTGACAACATAGCCAAGGTCTTGAACATAACTTTGCTCTGTGTCTATCAGTTCAGTCACAACATATCTGAAGTTTAGAATCAGTGAAGTGTTGAATGATGAAAAGAAATGGACACAATTCTTGCAAAATCACGTGATTTCCAACTAAACTCTTTCACAGTTCCATTTTACAGTTGCATGCTTGGTTACCAAGCCTCTGAACAGAAGTGAGGCTATGGTTGACCTTGTTATGACACAAACCTTACTGCTTTCCAAAGATAAATTACTTTGTTATCATGCTAATTAGATACTGGTCTCTATCACAACAAAATCACCTTCAGCCTCACTCCAAACAAAGGCTTGGCAACTAAATACACAACTGTAAAATGGCCTATTATACAGGCATTTTGATGGGTTCTTACCTATGATCTATGGGAAGACTGATGCATAGATGATGTCACCATTCAAAACAGTGCTTTTTTATCATATAAAATAAATACATCCTATGTTTTCAGGGGTCTGTACAGTGATAGATCACAGAAGACGTCACTGAAAATGTGGTATGAACGTCAGTGACAGACTCAGCTGCACCTTGTGCACAACATTTTTGTTCTTATTACATTTTAATGTTATCTGTGATCTATCACTGAAGTTACACACAGCAACATGAAATCTATTTGTTAAATAAAAAACACCATTCCTTATAACAGACATACTCTAGAGCAGTTTTTTTCAGATTCACATTTTGCTACTGGATTCATTTCTGCTGTTTACAGTACTGCAGATCTGGAAAATTCTTCTCTAGAACAATCTTAGTCTTAAAAACTTACCCTCTCCTGATTAGTGCCTTCTCCTGTGGACTCCGAGGAACCTCCTCAATAACCTGCTTTCCACATTCAACGACTATGTTATGAGTATGAACAACATTTTCTGAACCCCCTAGACTACAAACACTCAGAGAATCATCACTGTCCACTGTAGCAACTTCAAAATCCTCTTGCATGGCTTCTACACATTCTACTACACACATCTGTATATCATCTTGTGCAATCTCTGCTGCACAGGACACTGATCCTTCAGACCAATCTTGTACAACTGCTTCTTCTTCAAATTCCACGGGTGAACCAAACCTAACATCATCAGACACAGAGCTCTCAGAAGAGGCCATAGAGTGTTCCTCGACAACAGTTTCAACAGAACAAAATGACATAGATTCTTCTTGCACTACACAAATATTTGATTCATCAGCAACATGAACATCTTCTGATGCCTCCAGCTCTCTTTGATTAGTTCTCACTGACTGGCCATTTTGAAGACTCTTTGTTTCTGAGTTTGTGGCTGGATCACTGTCAATAGAAATCGTTGTCACAAGTCCATTTTCTTGAATTCTACAAGAATTTGTTTCACTGTAACCATTCATTAATTCAGTCTTCTCTCCATCTGATGTAATCAAACCTTGCCTTTCCTTCTCATCTTGTTTAGTTTTATCCTTTAAGGAGTCCTCTCTATTTAGAGACTTCTATATTTAACAAAAAGAAAAAAGTTAACATTGTGAATAATCAATTCATTCCAACATGTTGTTTGGCTCGCCAAGAGTAGAAGTTTGAACAAATGAAGAAGAAGAAGCTTGAGTGATTTCTGATGGAGTTCGTAATTCTCCATGAAAATTGTACTTGTATTCCCATGGAAACAAGAGAAGAAGTTAATTGGCCTTTAAATGTCATGTACAGCTTCACTTCAAACATTCTATCATTTAAAACATATGTACATTGTATGCTCAAGGGATTAGTGAGGTTCCAGAAAAAAATATCACTGTTTTCATTCTCAAAAAAAAAAAAAAAAAAATCTTTCCAGTCTAACCAATCTAGGAAAGCTAATTTCCTAAGAATTAATTATCAGATGGCTTATGTTGCTTTTGCTAAGCCTATAGACATGCCTTTATTAATAGCCCTTTGGCATGAGTGTTTCTTCACCCACAGGAAAGTATGAAGTCTTGACTAACATAAGCCAGCATGAGGTCTGAAAAGAGACTGGCACTGAGTACCAGACTCCTGGCACACCTCTCCCTAACTTTTCTAGAATCTTCTAATGGGCAGGGAGATGCAAGTCCTGCAGTGCTTATCACTGTATGAAGACCTCCTTACAAAAGCTAAGGAAAATCATCTGCCTTCCAGAAAGGGAGAAAGAACACTGAAACCAAACTGTAATTAAACATGCGCATAGGCAACAACATGTAGTTTAAGTGAAATACATACCTGTCTACAAATTTCTTCCTTTTCCAGAGGAGATAAAGATGGTAACTTGGATTTTTCAGTAAACACATGATTGAGTTGTTCCTTAGCAAGACTGATTAGGGATTCAAAACATTCCAAAGCAGCTTCATCGTCGCCAACAAGAACAAGACCTATAAAATTGCACATGCATGTAAAAAAGATTACTGTGTTTACTAAATTATACCGCACAGAGTTTATTAATTAATGGCATTTCACAAAATTTAATGATGAGTGGGATTATAAATCTAAAGGTATCTTAATACTAAAAGCTTACCTTTTCCTGCTTTTAGAAACAGTGACATTGCCTTCCTTGGGTGCTGTACCTTACTCTGAAATGCTTCTCTCATGGCTGCATGAAACTCTGTTGGACAAGAATAATTTCAAATCAGCCCAACATGAATTGAAAGGAAAAATGAGGAGAAGGTTGAACTGGCAAATGATCTTCCTGTATCCATAACAGATTAAAAAAAAAATTGTACAGTAAGCATAACAAAAATGGAATTTCCTCACTGCCCCTCTTGAATTCTTTTTACCTTTTCACTCTCAGGTCTCATTGGTCATTCTCCTTACTGTCTGCCACTCAATTCTGATGACATCTTTTCAGAGAATTTTTTAATTGAATCAACTAATGATCCCCTAATTGATTATTGTCTTTATTCTAATCACTCTGCTTGATGTTGTATTGGTAATTTGTAACGAGAAATTCTGTCTTGGTCACTTATGGGAGTTAATAACCCTTTAATCCTAAGAGTAACTAGCATCTAATTTTCCGAATACAGGACATTTCACACAAAAGACTTTTCGCACAAGTCTGTTAGCACAAGTTTTGGACTGTTCGCACAATTCTTAGTGGTCATTTTGCACAATAATTATAAGTGAGAAACATCAATATAAAAGGTATACTAATTGATACTGATAAGACATTTCACCTTCGCATGTCACTTTCAATAAGATCCAATGGTGAGAATGTAGACATTTATTTACGTAATAACTTCAACTAGATCAAAACGCTTGTGAACACGATCACTATTCTTACTTGAAGAAAGGAAAAAAATCTCTCTCTCCTTGTCATTGTAGTGACTAGATCTATCATTACATCAACTCTGAATCAAAAATGTAGGTCATGAGAATAGAGGAGGTGATCACCAACTAAAGCAGCTCTTGATTGTTAAACAGATTCTCCTTGTTAGCCTCATTGAAAATGTATGGAGAACAGTTTGGAGCATCTGATGTTTGGGTGTAAAATTTAAGGTCATGAGAATATAGAAAATGATCATCACCACTGAATCAAAAATGAAAGTCATATATTTGAACTGCGGAGAATGGAGGATCCTCGCAGTGATGTGCACTACTTAGGTGATCACCAACTAAAGCAGCTCTTGATTGTTAAACAGATTCTCCTTGTTAGCCTCATTGAAAATGTATGGAGAACAGTTTGGAGAAAATGCATACTGATGTTTGGGTGTAAAATGTTAAGGTCATGAGAATATAGAAAATGATCACCAACAAAAGAAGCACCTGATTGTTACACAAATTCTCCTTGTTGGTACATTAAGAAACGTATAAAGAATATTATGGAGAATATACCAACTGATGTTGTGGTAAGAAGAGTTAAAGTGATCATTTTGTTACCTTGGCTATCCTTGACGGGAATGGTTTCTTTGTGTGAAGTATCTCCATTTTCTGCTGTGTCTCCATTGATGCCGCTCTGTTGATCTGCCTTGGAGAGAGGCTCATGGATGACTGGCTGAAATACTGTGCCGTGGAAGATGAAAAAAGAAAGATGTGGTATGGTTTAAAATGAGTCTCAGGTAAAATTATTTCAAAATTATTGAAAGTTTCCTACTTGGTCCCAGGTAACTCATGATTGCCTTTCAACAAATCATTTTGCTGAAAAAATATGAGGTCAAGATGCATCAGAGGTTTTGTAAGCCAGATAAAAAATACACCCCTGCCTCCCCCCAAAAAAAAATCCAGTGCCAAAAAAAGAATGAGCACCAGCAGTTTCAGAAGTTCAAGAGTTATTTATTTCAAAAGTTCAAAAGCAAATAATAAAGTTAACTTCACACTCCCTCTCTCTGGAAAAAAAATTCTACACACGATGGACAATATATCCAAAGTTTTCACTTTTGGAGAAAGGCTGCATTCAAGCCTGAAAAGTCTTGAGCCCAACATAAAATTATAAACTTAAGGCAACTGACAAAAAAAGGCAATTCAATATTCCTTACTCTTATCTATAGAAACTTGATATGATCTAACATTTTTCTTCAACCCTTTAACTCCCAAAAGTGATTGAAATCTAACTTCTCTTTTTAATATCCATACATTGTCCAGCAAACAAGTAATGAGAATACTCATGCTGATCAGGTAGATGTTGTTTTCATGAAAAGACACCAAATTATTGTAACTAATTTATTAGGAAATCTTTAGCAGCCAAAGAGGAGAACAGTCAGATCTTGAGAGTTAAAGGGTAAACCCACAGGAAGTAGGACTGTGGTTGTTTTGAGTGAGTGCAGATCAGGAAAGTCAGAAGCTTGTGTTGAGCAAGAAATGCATATAAACTGAGTGATTTAGTTCTTGCCATCAGAAGGAACAAAACACTTCAAGTGAGGATCAAACACAGCCATCTATTTTTACATGGTGACAAATCGGTTAGTTATCAGCAGTTATCACCTGACACATGTTTTCACGATATTAATTTTTTTAAAGAAGATGATCCTGTGTTTACAGTAGTCTGTGAAATGAAAGGGCATAAACTTTGACCAGAGTTCCATGGTTTTCATTAGAAGCATTAAGTTTCAGGAGAATATTTCCACATCTAAATGGATAATGGCCATGGTTATCAAAAGTTAGTAAAGGAATTCTTTGTCCTAACCAGAGAACTCTCTGATCTCTGATGCATGAAAAATAACCAGGTATTTTGGAAATTACTGACAAATTTTTATAAACACGATCAGTCTTTGACTTTTGTATCTGTAGCTTGTCTTTCATCAATTGTCTAATTAAAAAAAGCTATTGTCTATGTGTTGTCTGATTAAAAAAGCTATTGTCTCTATTGTAGAACACTTGACAGGGGAAGGAATGCACTAATTGAATTCAATTGAAAGTAAAGCAGACAGTATGAAGAATCAGTTATGAGATTCTTGGAGTGAAAAGGTGAAGGCTTTAAAAAAGACACCCTTTCAATTGGTTTTTCCTTGTTTAACTAAATGTAAAATTTGATGAGTTTGAGTTGCATAAGAAAAAACCCCTAACTGCCTAATAACCATCATCAAATGAAGTCTGATTCCCTAAAAATGATTGTTTGAATTTAGAACCAGCACTGCACTGCTGACCAACCAGCAGAGAACAATCAGTTAGCCCTTTAACTCCCAGAAGTGATTGTAACTTCTCCCTATAATATCCATACAATATCCAGTAAACAGGTAATAAGAATACTAAAATTTATCAGAGTGAAGTTGTTATCTTGATCTAACACCAAATTCTCACAACTTATTGTCAAGAAATTGTGCAGCAGCAAGAAGGGAGAATAAACAATCAGATCTTGGGATTTAAAGGGTTAACACCATGTTAAAAAGGACCTTGACAAAGGGAATAGAAATAATCCTGAAAATTTTTGTTGTGAACCACACATTTATTGTGAATAGATCTTGAATGTTATGAATAGGCATGGTTGAAAAATTAACGATAAACCAATACTTTTTCAATTCATTTAAACTAACCCCTTGTTTAACTTATTCATTTTCAAATATGGCATTTTTTCTGCTATTATTTGCAAACTTGAAAAACATTTTTTCACTTTGAGGAAAAATTGAATTCAGTAAAATGCTTTAAAAGGATTTATAAGGACAATAAGAGGCCCTCTCTTGAACGGAAATGCATGTTTGTAAAATTATATATATTGGGCTTGTGAACCATAACATCAATCAATATGACATAATTGAAAATATCGAGAAAAATATTCTTGACCCAAACCCAAAATTTAAATTCTGGGATGAACTGTCACAATCAAATTTTCAGAATTTTCACCCCTTGATAAGAAATTAAGATCAAGTCTACTTATTTCAGTGCAAATTCCTAAACATAATTTCCGTCCATCAATCGCGAGAACCTTCCAGTTACCGCTGTCTGCAAATTAGCATTTCAGATTTTAACTTCCTTTTGCAACGAAAACAATGGCTTAACCATTAAATATAATGTAAACAAGGGAGACAGTGTTAAGCTGTTATAAAAATTCGATACTGGAGGCGATCGCTCGAACAAAACTGGAAGATACTTAACACGAAATCATTTCTTAAGACTTGGTTCAATCATTTTAAACCCTTAGAGAATTTTGGGATAATTACGGCTATTACACGTTTCACCCCTTTGTACAAGCTAATTTTAAATACACATATATATACATTTCGATTTTTGCAGTTTTGATCGACGAAAACATTTGTGTGACCTTTCTGTTCAACCTCGGTCACTGAACTACAAATTAGCAAAAATAAATTTAAACAGAAATACCAAAAATCTCTCTGGTAATTGTGAATTATTGAGAAGTTCTTGTTCGTGCAGTACGAGACTGAGCATGACCTTGGTTGTATCATTCAACGGAACCCACAAGAACAAGCAAATAACATACATCATATATGTTAAGAAAGATAGCATTTCTCCGTTGCTAAATTGAAAGCATACTCAGTGAAAATTGTCATCAATTAACAAAGTTGTAAGTTCACGTAACTCTGTACCGTAGAGCACTGTTTCGTGATGGATAAACTTGGCTAGGTTATTTACAATTATTAAAGAAACAGAACCAAACAGAACCCGAAGATTCGGATTTTTTTTTAGCTTACCACAGTCGGTTCGACCGACAGTATGGAAGATTAGAAAATTTTGCAAATTGCTACAGATGGAAGCGATAAGCAGATTTCTCGTAAAACACGCTCCAAGGTACACGTAAGCAAATATATGTCGTTCATTTGAAGTACTTTTGACTGAGTAAGCTCAGCTAATAACATTTTCACCAAGTTATCGGCTTGAGACATTTTCGTGAAATTAAAGTGTTATTTCGTTAGAGTGGCACGTAAGTGTCAGTGGTTGACACCGATCCCAGCAATTTTCATTCCAGAGTTCAGAGAGAGGGGAAAAACACAAAACGTTCAACCTTACCGTAGGACAAATCCCGCCTTTGAGCGCAAGCCATTTCCTGCCGAATAGAAGCTTGCTTTTAATTACCGCATAATCCTCGCTTTTCAAAAGTTTTTGTCATCTGTGCGAACTATCATCGCATTTCTTGATCCACGAAAGTCTTTTCATTACACCAAGAGGCGCACTGAGTATCACAACGACACGAAATCGAAAGCCAGCGTGTCAGCCCACAGACAGGATACCAGTTTGCCGATCACTTGTTCTCGAACAGACAACCTCCAACTGGCCTTGGTTGCGTGTTTAATGAAGCGTGAAATGAGCGTGATGTAATCTGCGTGGCGTGATGGGACCGTGACAATGAAGGACTGTGCCTTGTACTAAACGCACATTTCCCAATTATTTCGAGCGCTGAGAATTTTACGTTTCTTCAACACTTAAAATTGTCACTTGGAAAATAACTCTGCATATGGCAATGAAATTTAAAGGTTAAATTTATGATAAGTGACAGTGACTTAAAAGTTGTCAATTAGCAGCTGTAGAGCTTCAGCGCTTCAGCGCTGATAAGAAAATATTTGGGAAACAAAAACGGATAAATAATAAATGAAGACTACGTAGAAAAATAAGAGAAACAGAATCGGTCTTAATACATTTTGAAACTAATTTTCCTTTTATTTTCGATAATCTACTGGACAAATTTTTGGTAATCTTTGGAACGAACGTGTTTATCGATCGCTATAAGTAAATATTATTCCCTGATCGTCTTATATTGACATTTAGGGAACGTGTTATTTTAAGTTACCAAATCCATTCTAAAGAAACTCGACATATTTCTTACAGAATTCACCGATCAACGTGTCTCTATGAATAAGGTTTTTAGGCCTCAGAAGTGTACTCTAAATTCAGATTGATAGTTTCGCAAGATCGGAGGTGACTAACTGTACTCGAAATTTCACGCAATGGACACGAACCAATCTAAAAAAAATTGACCAGCTGTTACGCGCAACGCGCCAAACTAAAAGAGAATGTAAATCATTTTTTAAAAACCCTCTCACATTGAAAAACAACTGTGATCAGCGCGCTATTAAGGCTGCCGTTCCACTGCAGGAGTTCTATTTGTATTATGGAAAGATATTTTACGTTTCTTACGATAACAGTATGGTACATGTATTTAGGAACTCACAAATATTCACCGAAGAAAACATCTGCGACCTGCGCTGCATGGTGTCCGTCTATCGCAAACATACAGAGGTTATAACGAACTATCTCCAAATTTTTGAAGTGATCTGAAACTGCTGAGACGAACAAGAGCTGCGTTTTAACCAACTTATCGACTAAGTTTCGAATTACGAAACACTTTCATATGGGTTTCTTGTGCTATATTTTCATTGACTTGCGATTTCAACGAAAAGACAAATACCGTCTGACAAATCAAGCTTCTAATGCATGACAACAATTGCTTTTATTTCCATTAATTATTTTGAAAGGGTCCAGATGCGCCAAAAGGTTTTTGAAAGCTTACAATGTAGAGCATTCAATTATCCTTAAAAGCTGACTCTCAGCAGCAAACCCTATTCAGCCAAAACATATTCATCACCCACACCCAAACTGAGACTATTCAACTTACCCTCAACTGTGCGTGTTCGGATATTTCCGTATACCGCTAAAACAGCACACGAGACGTTCCGACTTCAACCGAAATAGCCTCGGCGCATTTAACCATCTCCTCCATGAGCCCCACATGAAATGTCCACTCGCGCTCCAAATGAACCTCGCCGGCAAGAGGAATCTACTGAAGGTTCGAAGTTATATTGAGGTAACTGTACGCGTGAGAGCACTGGAAGAAGTGAGCTGTGTTCATCGCACATATTCGGGTTCTGCTTTTTGTTAGATTTGATTTGTTTTATTCTCGAACGATGAACAGTAACAAAAAAAAAACCGTCAACAACAAAAACCAGTAATAATAAAATTAAAAGGATGAATTTACGATAAGCCGGACAGAGTCTTAAAAATTGTCAATTAGCAGCTTTAGAACTTTGGCGCAAAAGAGTAAATACTTGGGAAATAGAAAGGTAACATTAAAAAACCACAGACCAACTGAAGTGAGTCGAAAAACAGACATCACTCTTCCGATGCGGCCGCAAAGCAGTCCTCATCACGTGATATATTCACTTGACGTGTGATTATCCACGTGACTTAAAATATGCTCTGTGCGTTGATGAGTTTTGGCTGGTTAATCACAGGCTTAGAAGTACACTCGTTTATGTAGGACAGGCGAAAGTACTGGCTTTAGCATCTGCACACATTTATATTCAGTCACCGCTCCACTCAATTCAAAGTCGACGGAACGATGAAAAAAGCCCGGAAAATCAGCATGACACTCTCTGCATCATAGTCTTAAACACGACTATACTTAACCTCTGTACCAAGGATCGGAAATGCTGTGCTGTTTCAACTGCTTGTACCTTAGCGGAGACAAACGAATGGGCAGAGTAGATAGGAGAGAGACGGGGGAGTAGGGGGGGGGGGGGGGAGTTCTTTATTAGAGGGTCACCCTTTATTTTTTCTCATTCACTTGTCTTCCTCTAATACCGCTCGTTCTCGCAAACTTGTTAGCCTGGAACTGGACTCGATCGTTCTGAGGAGAGAACAGAGGATTAAGACCAGTGCGATGCCAAATATGTCGATAGGTGCAACAGATTAATTGGATAAAAGACTGAGAAAGCTACCGGCGTAGTTTCTGCGCATTGGAAACTTATCACCTGATGAAATCTAGTTGCGCTTTTATTTTCTTCTGAAGCATCCCAGTGGGCCGGAATCTTAAATCCTCAAATTTGGTCGGTCACATAATCGCGCGTTTGTAAACACAGTGGTGGATCTAGGGGAGGGGCCTGGGGCCATATTTATCACCTGAAAAAAATAAAAAAATCGCAGAAAGAAGAAAAGCCGGCAGGGCAAGTGACAAAAAAACCGCCTCCCCCTCCAGCTTATCGCACTCCGGACCACGATCTTTCTTTTTTTCCACGCCATTCGGAAAAAGGACACCAGCTGAAAAAACAGTAAGTTATTTACCGTCTGTATCGGTCCGTAGATGGAAAATAACTGTGCCCGAGGTCTTGATTACGTAGCTAAGCTTTCGGCCTAACACCGCACTCAAGACCTAGGGCATGGTTTTTTCCCGTACGGAGCGACTTAGACATGTAAAGAACATATATATTTGCGACCATTATGCATCCTCTTTCCTTATAGCCCTGTTTTTCTTGTTCCTTTTTGTTATCAGACTGATATTTTGTAGTTTCCGTTACCATGAAACAATTACGTTAATTTCCTGCGTCACAACACAAACGACTCAAAGCATCGTGACTTATCAAAACACAAGGATCCCGGCTAGCTCTCTCCACTGACCAAAAAGGAATTTCTCCTCTCGATCAATACATCGTGAAGAGGAAAGGTTATAAGAAGAAAGAGGAACATCGACTAGGGGATATTCCTGACCAAACACTAGATTCATAGTTGTAAAATCACAAGAAATGTATGGCAGATAGTGCAGAGAATTGACATGTAGATCACCAGTCTTGAAAGTGATAAGACTACACAATACCCAGACTCCGTGATTTCAGCTGAGCAGTTGTAACTTTTTCATACATCTACAACCTTTGCCGCAAGCTAACCACAAGGTCAAAATAACACGATGAGAGAAAGAAGTCGTCTGAAATGTCTTTTTTTTACCCATGTATAAGAAATTTCCTTCATTGGTTCTTCATCATGATACCGAAACGCTAAAGCTGTTAATCCTTTAACGCCCATGAGTGACCAAGATAGAATTTCTCCTTACAATATCAATAAAATATCTAGCAGACAAATGATGAGAAAAATGGAAAATATAAATTGGTTGATCCAATAATAAATTCTCCAAATTAACCTTATAAGAATTGGATAGCAGACAGTAAGGAGATAGTACCGAGATCTTGGAAGTGAAAGGTTATTAAAATCGTTTCTTTTGCCAACAACGCATTTTATTTTTACAACAAACCTATGGTTAAGCTACAATTTCTCGTCAACATTGACGAATTTTCTCTGTTATGACCTTCGCTTGACGTCCATAAATTACTTGCCTTCGATTCTTTTATCAGACGGAAATAAATTAGAGTTGGAGGAAACGCGATAAGGTTTAAGACAGAAAAAACATTTCACTTAAAATCTAAATCAGTTATCTAAACATTGACGTGGAAGGTATCAGTCGCGAGCGAAATCACCCGATCTTTTGCTAAATTTGTGACACAACTTAAATTGATGAATGAATGTCCTGATACTCTGGAAAGAACGATCTATAAAATTCAAGTTTTCCACTAACACACACACAGACACGATATGAACTCAAGACAAATTAGCTGATTAGTATGGCTGCATTTAAAAGATAGGACATTTACTCGTATCTTTTAAGGCGCCAGTCAAAATTTTGCTAAACATCTATATATAGTTCTTAATTTTAGTTCTTTCAATTACAAACTGCTTTCGTTTTTTTTACTTTCTTTCTTCCGCCCTCGCATGAATAGTATTGTTCAAAATAACAAAAGTATTATTTTATACAAAATCTAGTGGTACAGACCCTCACAAAAGCCATCTGCAACTCACTTTATAATTTACTTTGTCTACACATTTATAAATCAAAATCACAATTCACCTGTCTAACTGATCGGAAAGATGCGCCTGACACTAATTACACTTAAAGCAAATATATTTTCTGATTTCGAGCTTTTCCTTGCTAATAATACTTATATTCGCCAGGATGTAACAATAATTTAGGCGTGATGGACATAGTACCGAAATAAAAACCGAATATTTGAGGTTATTGAACGAGTAAGGGTATATTTCAAAGCTGGAGTGAATATATTGATCGATAAACAAAACCGTGACCAACAGAGGTCAAGTTCCCGGATGTTTTAAGCAGCAATCCCCTGGGTTGAATAGACAATTTCAACACAAACACTCAGCTATACCGGCTCGAGTTTCGGCTTAGTGAACTCTTCGCAAAGGAAAGGATACAGCTGTCTTAAGGGTGTATTTCACCGGACTGATCTCCGCTTAAAACTCGCAGAATTCCTCGACAATCAACGGTGAAATTCATCATAGAGCATTGCGCTTAATCGTGAATTGTTTCGCAGTGACAAACCGACATCAACACAGCCAGAACTGCTCCCAGACAATCAAACGTGTGTGATATAACAGCTTAAAAGACACGCTCAATTGAGTGTCAGATATGTGAGTGTTTTGAGGCTGATATTGCTTGGCGTCGAAGTGCTCTGCATCAACAAATACCTTAAGAAGTATTGTTTAGAATATCATAGTGTCCCGGTTTTAAACTGAGTCCATCTGCAAACATGGCGAGTTCATTAGGTAAGGTTTGGATTGTAATAAGTAGTCTGTCTTTTTTTGCCATTACATTGATTCAATTAACGCGTACTAATTGATTGAACACCATTGCTGCTGGTTTTATTTTTTTAGGGCTGTTTTTGAATCAGGATGACTTGGATGAAGCAAACCGATTGTCCAAGAAAATCGACTATGTTCACTTAGAAGACTATGAAAAGGATATGGTTCGGAATATTCTGGAGTTCAACTGGGACTCTCAACACCAAATGGTGTCGAATCTGCTGCACTTTCCCCGCATCATGCCTGAAGATAAGCGAGTCAAATGGATTTTAAAGGGATTAAGGGAAGAGAAACAGTCTTATTATGTTCTAGCAGCAGCTACCGGAGTTGCAGGTCTAAAGCTTCATGGCAAAGATTCAGAAGAAATCGTGGAGCTGCTGAAGAACATCTCGACTTCGCAGAACGGAATGGTAGCTCTTCGGGCGTTCATGTCACTTGCCGATTATTTGAAACACCCGAAAGATACCCCCTTTGTGATGAAATTCATGAAGAAATCCAAGTCGAATTTGAGATATAATTCGCTGGACTGGCTGATAGAAAATGTCAAAGATCGAAAGGAGCTGTTGTCCTTGTTCGAGGATGAATCCATCCCGGAAGATGTCAGACTTGAGGCCGTGGAACGAGTTAACAATTCAACGGATAGTGAGGCGCAAGGTAAAGTAAAAACAAGGTGTTTTTTTTCAGGTATTTTACAACGTCTGTTCAAAATCATGCGAATATCAAAACGTTTTGGATGTTTAATTAAGGGATTTACCTTAGGCGAGGTGATCTGTAAGTAATGGACACTGGTCCTGGCATAGATCGCACTTTGATTAACTCTTCTAAGCCACGCGAATAGATACAATTCTTCGCTCTAGGGCGTTCGAAATGGTATTACAAAAATGCGCAAAGTACATTATTTTTATTCTTAATATCCCGCTACGTTTATTTGCAAAATACTCAGCAACTGCGCTAAAAAGATCCATTCGTATATAATTTTCTAAAAGCGGCTGGCAGTCTTCCGCTGGTCCGGGGTCTTTTGAATTTCAGCCAACAGAAGAAAAATCGCACTCCTAATTATGAAAATTTATCCGGTTTTCATGAACGTTTTCTCAATAATTTTCGGATGGGTTTACAAGATTTTTTGGAGGTCTTTCCGCGACATAGACTGCTTTGGGGTTAAGAAGGGTACTTTATATAGCCAAATAGGCCCTCGAAAGATCTGTTATGATGTCTTTCATCAAAGAAGAACGAGCAAGCGGAATTAAATATCACAAATTGCTAGTTTTAGTCAGGTTTTTTAACAGGCGGATGTAGAATATCAGAGGTCTCAATCAACGGCATTTCTTAGATTTACCGACACGAGGTTTTTTAGAGGTTTCTTTACATGTGGTCGCGGATTATAAAAATTTACATAAGCGCCCTTCATGTCGCATGTAAACAAATCACTTTTACTAAGAAAATAAACACGCAGTTACACTTGTTCTGACCCTTCATCTTAAGAAATAATCTGAAACTTCTCTGTCCAACATCTAATGAAATATCGTTTAAAGCGTTTCGTTAAGTTCATGAAGAGCTTTTTCTAATATAGTTTGGCACTTTTTCGCTCTCCTTTGTACAATTTTATCGCTTGAATGCCCTCTGTCTTGAATTACAATTAGTTAGATTAGCAACTGCCCGTTTTTTAAATGAACAATGAACTATTTCGGTAAAGCGAAAATTGTTTATTTTGGCTTCAAACAGGAAAACCGATAACCCTTGGACGTAGTATAAAAAGATGGTAAGAATACAAGGCGCCAGAGAGAATATAGGCATCGATAAGCAAGACCACTTACTCCTCACTCAGTAGACACACTAATTTGCAACTGAAGAAAAGTACACGTTAATTGACCGCATAATATAGAGTTACTCTTGGTAATAAAGCAAAACAACCATATCGGTCAAAGAGTGCTGACAGCAGGCCTAGCTGAAATGAAAGGTCGGTTTTTTCAAAAAAAACAAACGTGCAAGCAGTGTGTTTTGCTAATTTGAACGCAGGTGGTCTCCTATTCTACACAAATTTGCTGTGATATTTGCAAAATAAAAAAACAAATGTCAATACGAAGAAGCTATAATTTGTGTGACCGCTTTTTAATTAGGCGTCCGCATGTCTGCAAAGTTCTTTATCGCTGATTGCAGTGTAATTTTCGGACAAATCCGGAACAGTGCAAGAGAAGAGTAGGTAGTTTTGAGAAGCGTGTGAATTAGTTCCTGACTCGGAAATTCAAGTTGTAAGGTGTAAGGCTGAGGTTGAGTGTTTGTAAACAAACAAGATTTCACTCCGTTGGGGAAAGAAGAGTAAATTTTGTTCAAGAAACTTGAGCCTGTTTTTTTTTTTTAATGAAACAAAGGATCTTAGGAAACGATTAGCAAAAAGAACCTTGAAAGAGGATTTAATTGAAAGTTTAAAGAAATGCGATCAAAAGGCAATTTATTCCTAACAAAATTCATCACATTATGTAGATCGACTGTGCAATAAAGAATGCTTTATGCATGAGTCGTAACAGGAAATTTGAAGAACTGAAACGACATTGGTAGGCAATCATCCCTTCAAAAATTAAGTAAGGACAATGTAAAACTCTTAGCTCGTAAGAAGATCAGGATTACGACAATTGACAGTCTTAATACCTGATAATCTGAACAGAATTTTACTAATGTGTAAACTGCATCAGATGAAATATCAAGATAAGAGGGATTGTGCTGTGGTTATCATGATCGCATTAAAATTTCCTGTAATTAGGTATTTGAGAAATTTCATCAGCTAACAATTTTAAAATGGATGCTTTCTGGAATATAGCTGTGCAAAAGAGTATTTACTTTGATCAAAGCCTCCTTTTCGTTGTATTTTTGAGAACAATTTCATAAACCTCTGAATTAATTTTTTTTTCAAGTTCTTGTTGTCGTTTGTCAACAGAGTAGGAACGAGTTTAAACTAAAACTCTTAACTTTTTTTTGGCTCGAACTAACGTAACATTAGATTTCAGGATAAGCCAGTGACGTGACTCAGCCTGCATAAGTAACTCTTAAACTCAGTTCTGTCAAATTGTCCGCCATTTAATGGATTCCAAGGCGCGGTGGCTTGGTGGCATGAAGCGTATCTCAGAGAGAAATCCCAGAGATCTTTGAAAACTATAAATAGGCAGAGGCCAGTCACGTGACTTAGCCTGCATAAGTAATTCTTAGACTCTGCTTTCAGATTGGGCAAATGAAGATCTCCACCATTTCACATTCGTGCCAAACCTGGCAGAGTTTGAAGCCATGCGGACAAAGGAGCAGACACTCTCAGAGCTTTTTTCCGAGCTCGATCTGGATAAAGATGGTTTGATCGGTGCAGAAGAGCTGAAAGATTTCTGTGAAGACATTGGCCAGGACATCAGCTTGGAGAGAGCAGCAAAAGATATTGCGCTGGTAGACAGTAATAAAGATGGAAAAATTGACAAAGATGAGTGGATCGAACTAATGTTTCCAAAGTTTAATGTTCAATGAGAATTGTTCATTGAACTCTAATTTATGAACTAGAACCAACAACTACTTCTTCATAGGAGTGGCTCCATAGTAGTTTAGAGAGGATTAACAGTTTCGAACTCACTTCCCTTTGAAACGCAGATGGAAAACGCTTTCCACAATTGTAGTCTTAGATAGGAATGGCCATTTGGTGACACAGAAGTGATAATTAAACTGTTTAGAACATAGCTAGCCAGTTAGGAACTCGCTCCCTCCTCTGTGAAATGCAGATATATAACGTTCTCCAGGGTCCAGTCTCTGTGTCTTCCTTCCGTGGGAGATCCGAGGACTCCAAAAAGAGGCTGTTTATCTGACCCGATGGTAGTCTTGTAACCGTATTCGAACGAGATACGAAAAGGAGAGAAACGTTCTTTATTCTTTCTTAGTACGTGGGTTAGGACCAATTTACAGATAGAATTTTTTGATGGAGAAGGGAGAGGAGATTTTGTTTCTGATTTTTTTTTAAAGTTCCTCCTACTGATCTTTCTTCCCAAAGATTAATCGACTTAATCGTAACCTTTAGGAATGGATACGAGTACGTCGAGCACACAGGAAGAAGGGAAAGGCTACACAACTTTGTTTGTACATAGAGCAACTTCTCTCGAAGACGTTCTTTTAAGAAAGCTTTCTCTATGACAGGAAAGATTGTGTGTGAAAATGCGAGTGTAATATATAAACTTTTTGTCAATGAACAGCTTTAAATACCATAATGCAGTTGTGTTAAGTTATTAAACGATCAAACAGAGCGAAGAAAGTATTAGAAACTCCAAATGAGTTTTTAAGTAAAAACAAGAATACTGCTTGAAGCAAAGGAAGTCGCAATTAGTTTCAGTTTGGTATCTGACTGGTTAAGAGGTCAGTGCGAGTGTTTTGGACCAATCACCGATCGCAGATTACTCTCGACACAAAATTGTTCTCTATAATTAACGAGCAACTTTAAATTGAGCCAAACTCTGTTCCATTAAAAAGCCCTCAAATACTGTCTGGAGGTCACCTGTATATCACTTTCTTTTACACATAGATTAACCGGAACGTACTAGACATTAAAATGCAAACTAATCCAATGGAAGCCGTACCATAACTATGTTATTCCCATGTCTCTTACTAGCGACGTTTCTGCCCTTAGAGGAGAACTGGGAGCTAGTTTGGTTGAGGATATTAGAAACTGTCGATCATACGAGAGTCCATCTGTAAAGTACCTCAAACGACCCTCGTTTGCGTAATAAACTTTTGGCTACTTACATGGCATCATGTGGGCTTCATTCCTCTTAGTAACAGTTTCAAGTCAACAAAAACAAGCTGGAAAATTTCAAAACTTGAGCATTTTATTCTATTTGTTTGGTCTTTTAAATCTCAACATCTTTTACTTTCTAGGTTTCTCTCTCCTTTTCCCTTTCCGACTTTTGACACATATCTAAATATTAACATTAACGCGTACATGTTTTCATATATTCCTGTACAGACCTTGTGACGCATTCACTTAAATTCATCTCCAGTACTTCTCTCTGTAAGTGCAATCACGGACGGTTTTAGCTTCAAAAACTGAAGCCACATGTTGTCTTAGTCAAACTTCACATTTGATTTACCCGCAAAATGCTCTTTAAACAAACCAGGCCTTGTGACACGCATACGGGAGTCTGGATATAGTTTGTCTCTTTCAAAGCAGAGAGCCATTTGCTCACAACCGAGGCTACTCTTCCTGGTTGCCAAGGTGATACGTCAAGGAGCGACACTGCCGCTGCAAGCTGAATGGCATACGTCACTGTTGGTGAAAAAAAAAATTAAAAATTAAAGGAAAACTTTAGAAAAAAAGTGAGGGGAAGGGCTTCTTAAAGGTTAACGAACAGTTTTTTCAGTACCTTTCGAGTCTGGTGATGTATTATCTATGAGCCCACATAACATGTCGATTATTTCTGGCACAGGATGTTGTCCATTTTCAACAGCAATTCTGCATAAACCGCCTGAAAACAAAAAGATCTGAGTTTAAGAAAGTCCTCACAGATGCTTGTCTAATCGCAAGATACTGCTGATTGTGCAGTAACCAATTCACATCCAGGAGCAACAAGCAAGTTATTTGTCCTCACAACGTCAATCTAACATCAAGGAGACTGGTGATGAGAAGAAAGAAAATGTCGATCATGGGGAGTTGCTCGACTAATCTCCCAAATGTGCTGATTCTATAAGAACTGCATGCCAGTCATTAGGAAGAAGTTAACTCTAAGAACATTTCAGCTTACATCGGTTTCAGTAGTACGACGCAGGTTACCTCCCGCCCCCCCTCCCCCCCAGCAATTCATCAAGTTTCCCAGACAGTTAGCTGGTAACGATTTCATTCGAGGGGGGGGGGGGGGGAAAGAAAGGCACTGTAAACTGAAATTAACCTGTAAAAACTCATCTCGTTTTATGGTTTTCATCCGTTTCTCCAACATCGACTACTCACATACTATTTATTTTCTTTTGCGCGTAAACTTACCTAAAAGGTGAATACACACAACAATTCGCGATTCAGGCAGCCTGGTTTCTGTGGAATTCCCACACTTAAGGCAAATCCCACACACTTCCTTTTCGTCGGTGAAAGGTTTCTTCCCTCCTTCCTTGCCTCCTGTTGTCATAGAGGTATTTTCCTTACTTATTTCGTCTTCAGTGCTGAGAACCCTGGGCATTGCTTTAGAAAAATCAGAATTTTTGTCCTTGTCGGTGACCATTAGACAAATGCAAGTCGCTTTGCTGAACTCGCCTAATCCAAGACCTTGACTGTGCTCTCCAACTGACGCCGTTTCTCGTTCACCTGTGCGAGAACTTTCTGCCTCCTTCTTAGCCCACGATCTTAATATTTGCCAAATGTGGTTCAGAATGAGATCAGTTAAGGTCCATTGCCAACCAAGTACACAAGATAACAACTCAAAGGATTTGACAATCTCAAAAGAGTAGTTGTCGAGGACAAATCTTCCTTCTAGGAGGGAAAATAATACATAGGACGTGAGCCTCTGGATGAAACCCACGCGCGTAACCATTCAAATGAGAACTACCGAGCCATACTTTCATGTGGTATTGTCTATCATACAGGCACCAGTTGTGCGAACGGTGGATGACACTATCTAATGGATAAATCTCTATCCAGTTGATAGCGCAATCAGTTTTGCTGACTCTTATCTGATAAACAGCATTTTATGTGTTGGATAGCGTTATCCGCTCTTTCAACAACTAGGTGCGGTACCACTAATTCTAACTTTTAAAGTCTGCGCATTTAAACTTTGTGAGTGTCGATTCAAATGAAAGGCTGCGGATGATACCTTAGTGTACGACTTTTCAAATGAAGGCTACCGAGAAGCAATTGCAAGTGGTACAGTTTATTAATACTAAAATATACAAATTGGGTTTAACTAATCAGTTGGTGGATAGAAACTGATAACTAATCAGTTGGTGGATAGAACCCTGGTGAATGACCATTCATTTGAAAGCTTTTGAGCAGTTCTTTCATATGGTGCTATTTATTTTACTCAATAAGGTGGTTCTCACTTCTTTTTAAAGTCTATGGATGAAACTCTGGTGGGTATTGAGCGTATGAGCTGCTACTGAGCGCAATTTTAACTCAAGAACTATTAAACCCTTAAACACGCATGAATGACCAAGACAGAATTTCTCCTTACAGTATTAATACAATATCAACGGAAAAGTGATGAGAGTGAAGAAAAATATCAATTTAGGGATTATCAGTTGATCAAACACCAAATTCTCCAAATTGACACCGATAGTATTGTATGGTAGACAGTAAGGAGAATTATTAATGAGATTTTGGGTGCGAAAGGATGAGAAAATCATCATGGACGACCTACCAAATGAGTATAGCTAGCAATCTGACTTATTCAACTCATTTTTGTTTCAATATACAAACAACTTCCTTCACTGTACCTTTACCAACACTAACAGAGGCGCCGCTCTCTTCATGCAACCACTTGGCAAGCTGTGATCCAAAATTCTTCAGTTCTTCATCCGTAGCACAATCACCTTCCCAACAGCATAAATTACGCAGAATTTTCCCAAATTCCAATGACGGACACTTGTTGGCCCAATTCAATAACACTAACTTCAGTGTACAAGCTAGAGGCGATCGTTCAGCCGACAGGCAGTCGGAGGGCGATCGTAAGACTTCGGGCCAAACTGAAGCTATGGTAACAACGAGCTCTAAGGCCGCGTTGTGGAAACTGTATAGCGTGCGCATGACATCATAAAGGATTGTTCGAGCATTGGAAAGATCGTCTTTGAGTTGACATAAGGCTGTCAGGACACGGCTAAAAAACCGAAAATACAAACAAGAAGCGTAATCTCGCAATGAAATTGTGACTTTTCGAGAGAGAAATTACATTTGAATGTAATAGAAATGTCTGCACAAGACTTTGAGAAAAAGGGTCCTGCACAAAGCTTAAACGGTGTAATGAAACCGTAACATTTTGAGACTTTTACCCCTAAGAGTACTAGCATCTAATATCTCCTTTCAATATCACCTCAGAATCAAACATTCGAAGGTCACGAGAATAAAAGAAATGATTACCAACTAAAGAAGCTTTTGATTGATAAACAAATTCTCCTTGTCAGCACCATAAAAATGCATAGACAACAGTATGGAGAAAATGCATACTGATGCTAGGGTGTAAACGGTTAAAAAAAGAATTATATTCGACTGTTCGGAAGAGAAAAGAAATTTCCCACGTCTAGATATTGTGTTTTCGCCTTCTGACAGAGTTGACGAAAGAAATTGCGTCTGCCTTGACATTCTAATAATCATTTCAGGTCTCGATGAAAGGTAATACTTACCATAATGACAAGTTCCCTTTTATTTCCTCCTCTTTGAAAGCACAAGAAGCTTCGATTAAACTTCGAGAACACAGGGTAACCAACTGCGCGATCAAGTTTCCAAATAAAGCTTCACTGGATAACAGGGATACCACTTTCAATAGACGGGACTCAAAACTAGAAATAATAGGTTTCCAGTTTAATGGTCTCCCTTCAGACTGAATCTGCTCGAGTTGTTCAAGAATGTGAGGCATAAGATCGTCCTTTCGTTTTTTCAAAAAATGGATTATTGCCGAAGCTACCGGCGTACTGGACGAAATGCATTTTTTACTAGTCAGTCTACTGAACACAATTTCCAGCTCCACATTATTTTCATAAATGCGGCCAAGGCATTTGATTACATATTGGACTTCTGTCTGGTAACCTGGTCGAACCGATAAAGGTCGAAATTTACTGTCTTTATCATCAGTTGCCTTCGTTGAATCTTTTTTACGTAATTCCTTCCCCAATATTGGCCGAACGTTGCTATTCTGGTCAACCAATGTTACTCCCTTGTTGCTTACAAATACTGGTCCCTTATTACCAACACAGCTCTCCAACGGTTGCTTCATTACGTCCTTGTTAAGAGCAACTCTAGAGGCAACCAAACGTACGCTCGACTTTGGAGATTGTTGTTTGTCAGTAACACTGAGATGTTTTTTAGCTCTTTTGCTTTGAGGCTCATTCTTTTGTATTGCTGAATCAGACACTGATCGTTGTAGAGTCCGTTTTGCCGAGACGCTTCCCTGTGCACGGGATCTCAACAAAGGCGTTTGCAAAGGTCGTTGCAACAGGACTCCTCTCGTTGGCGAAGAAGTTGATTCCGACGTCATTGTTTTGGTCTTGACAATAGTATTTTTTGTCGAAATGTCCTTATTGTTAAAACTTGTGTTACAACCAGACATGTTTTTGTTTGGGTTTCTTTTCAAGCTTTTAGAGTATGGTTCAGTCAAGCCTCTTTCGTCTCGTTTGCCTGGACACTTATCATGTGCATCAGACATCAAGATAGTAACGTCATTACCATCACTATTTGAAATAGGAGAGGCTGGAAGTACAACAGTTTCGTCGTCTGAAGGGCAAGGAGACGGAGGCAGAGGCGATAGCGATGGAAAATCCTCTAAGAGGCCTTCGAGGTTGTTCAGCAAAGCTTCGATTGGGGGGTCATCCTGCAAATCATGTGCTGTCGCCGAGGCTTTGGGTGATTCCCTTGTATCAAGGGTCCCTAACAACTGCAAAGCTTTTTCACTGCTTTTGATTTGAGTTCTTTCTTGTTCAGGAAGAGCTGAAGAAGGACTTTCTCTCCCTTCATGATCATTACCATCATCTTCAAAGGAGGAAATCTTATCTTTACAACCAGAAAGTTTTCTTCTGTCGCTCGATGTGTTACAATCGCTTTGGCCGCTATAACAAGGCATTTGCCTCTCCATGTCGGTTCTCTCTGTTTCCTGCCTGGAATTTGCGGGGCAGTCTTTGATCCCGTCTCTGAAACTGGACGAAACTCTTATCACATCAGATTTTATCCGTACCCCGTCTGTGGAAACCAAAGAATCTGCAGCAGTATTTCTACAGGATTGCAAATCTCCGTCAAGTTCAATAGCCACCGGAGGCTTCCTTTCATCTTTATTGGGAGTTCTTAAAGACTTCGTATCTGTTTGAAATTCGGAATACTCCCTTCTCTTGCCTTTTGATAGCTCTCCTTCTTTGCTCGGCGCACCTTTACAGGACGCTAGATCATTCTCCAAGTTAGAAAGCGTCACTCCCGTAGGAAACGTTAATGACCCTTCCTGAATCATTGCTCTTGACAGAGATATCCTGTCTTCATAAATTGCATCTTTAAGCTTTTCTTTGGCGGAAATTTCCAATTTTGTTGAAATTTTGGTGTAAGTCACACTTTTTTCCGTGTGAGTCTCACTAATTTTGCCGTGAGTCACACCAGTTTGAGTCATACTCCTTTCGGTGGGAGTCACACTTGTTTTGAAGCGTGACACTCTAGTATTGCTATGTGTCACGTTAGTTCCCGTGTGAGTCACACTAGGGGTGATGATGGTGGTAGTTGCCACTCTACCTTTATGCGTCAGAGAAGAACATTTCGTCGCGGAATCGTCACACAACGCTGTAATTCCTTCTCCCAAGTTGGCCCCTTGATCTGTAAACCTTTCAGTTCCGCTATCTTCAGTTGAGCTACCAAGCTTCGCTTCGTCGGACGCAAAGCAATCGGCGTTTCTCTTTGAAGCTAGTTGTCTGTTTACAATGATTTCCTTCATGTGGTGACTGTCTATTGAGGACTCTTCCTTTGTTTTCACAGTGATAGTACAAGAACGCTTCTTTGAGCAAATTGCCAGACTGGTTTCGATTTTTGCATCGCCTGTCAAAATTTCAATTGGACTGCATGTTGCTAATTTTCCAGTAGCTTTGCAGCCGGAAGAATTTACATCACTCTCCTTTTGATCAGAACCAGTGGTTTCAAACACAGTTTTATTTTCACGATCATCATCGAGAGCACTACACACGCTTAATTCACCCAAATCTGAACTGTTTCTTTCCGCTGAACAACTTAAATCTTCCTGATTCTCCTCAATAACGGCCTCTGATTGGTCACACCAATTCTCATCGTCGACAAGAATTGAATCGACCTTTGAATTATTGCGTATGATTTGTAAATTGTCCTCAGGAACGGTGTTATCTGCAATCTCCTCGCTTTTAAACCTTGACGAGTGCCCGCTGTCAGTGGCCTGAGGACTACTTCTACTGTCTCGTAAATTTCGGTCGTTTAGTTCATTTGTCTTACAAGCTACAACTTTCGCGTCCGCTTCGATGTTTTCAGGTTTTATTGAAACACAAGTACAAGCGTCAGTTCTATCGCTAAGTTCGGCTAAAGAAATATCATTATTGTCAGAACTGAACTCTTTCGACGGGGAAAGTGGAACGGCAGTCTTAATTTGAGATTCAGAAACGCTCTCAAGTACAGTAGACATGTTTGTGGTGGGAACATCAACCGCTGATAAGAACGCGTCCGAATTTTCTCTTAGGACCTTTGGTTCGACTGAGCCTGGCAGCGGAAATGCGGAGGCACGAAGCTCATCATCGTTTCCACGGTAACAGGTAACACCACCTTCCGTTTCCGTTGGAGGTACACGAGAAGTGTTATCATCGTCTAATTGTTCCTTTGACCCTGAAAGCGAGGCTCCTGGGCATTCGCGCGCGTTGGCGTAGTCATGGTGAGGCGTGACGTCTCCAGCATCGCCATTGATAGCTTCAGACAGCGAGTTCGAGCAATTTCCTTGATCCCGAATTTCGCGCTGGTTTCTGAGAGCTTCCGTAAAGGAAACGAAAGGAGCTTCTCTCTCATCTCTGTTTTGAGTACCCTTTGATTTTCTCTTTTCTATTGCATCAGGATTACGTTTTGAGCAAGTGTTTGTTATCTTAGAAGAATTTCCTAATCTTATATTTGACTCTTTTCCAGTTTCTTTCTCTGATGAACTGTCACCATCAGACGAGGAACTTAGCTTCATCGCTTTAGCCCTGGATCGAGTCATGACCTGGGGATTCGGTGATGTCATTCGGCGCTTGCCCTTTTGCCGAACACCAGGCGATTCCGCTTTGTTTATCGCTGCGTTAAATACTTGCGCAGTCTCAATGGGTTCCGTATCTTTCTCTAGTGCATATTCGCTCATTTGAGTTCCGGTATGATGCGCTTGATGAAATGTTTCCCGTTTTGATGTTTCATCTCCTGCATAGTCGACATTGCAGTTCGTTTCAGAGAAGTTTTCGGATTCTTCAAGCACAGAAGCAGTAAACTCATTTGGGGCTTCATTCATCGAAGGTTCATCCTTGTTGCCTTGAATATCATTATCATTTTCACCCTTCGCTGCCTCTTTGAAACTGTTTTCCAAATCCTCGTCGAAGTCTTGACTACTGTCTCTAGTTGCCAAAGATTTTCCTACAGGATTTTCCGCGTCACCCTGATCACCAGTTAAAATATCCGCTAAATCACCTAAACTATAATCGCTGTCGCCATCTTCGCTGCCAGCATCGTTGCTACTTTCACTGCAACTCTCTTCCGCTGGGCCAGGACTTGGTGGAAGGGGACTGAGAGCTGGGGCCATATCCTTTAACGCATTTAGCTCTTCAATTATATGTTCCAGGTGTTCTTCTGAATGGGAGCCCGAAGATGAGGGCTGTTTATGTCCCTCAGGCGACGAAGGCGGCTGACAAGATTTCTTTCTTTGCCTGCACGGAAAAAGAAATCTTAGCAAGGTAACGTGAGCTCACGATTTTACAAAACACATATTAAAAAATTCGAAGAACTGTAGACCGAGAACGGCACCATTCGGTACTGCTTTATTTTGGAGTGAGTTTAAAATGCGGTAAAACTTCGGTAAAGTGCGGTAAAATAGCGGAGAAAGTGCAATAAAAGTGCAATAAAACTGCGGGGTACTTGCGAGAAAAGTGCGGGGAAAGTGTGAGGAAGCGCGCCGACTTCTACGCTTGAACGCAAACTCAACGGTTAACTACCAGCGCTCAAGAAGACGAACGTCATCGACACCCAACACTACCATCAACTAAATTGCTCAGTACCACAACAACCGAAACTTTACGGCCTGTCGAAAATTGAAATATTGTTATGGTTCATTAGTACATGCGACTTAAAATCGACGACTGTCGTGTGATCAAAATCCAATCTTACCTCGATTTTGGTGTCTTTTCTGTCCTGTCTTTCCCATAAGTTCTTGCTATAGGAATTAAATAGAGAAAGAGATCTGAATCCAATGTGAGGTGTACAAGTGTTTGTGCGTAAAAATAATCTTACTTGATACAGAAATAGGAGAATATTGAGAGAGGGTCTGGTGGGCTACATAACCAGCAAAAACCAATGAAAACCGAGGATGGAAAGAATATTATTTCAAAGAAGCGACGCAATTTACTAAAAGCATGGAAACTAAAACTAGTTTATTTTCAAAGAGAATGCGACTAAATTTACAGACAGTCAGTCAAATCCAATCACAGAAGTCGTTGTGAAGCTACGTAAGGAGAGAAAATAAATATCGTTTAACGAAATACTTGAGCTAGTGCGCCCATAAAATTTCAATACATGAACAATTCAAAGAGAGGCATATAAGTCAGTTTTCCTTACCACATCAATACAGATTTAATTAAAAAAAAATTATGGCAAGAAGAATGAAAACATCAACAAAAGGATTTTGTCTGTTTTAAGAACAAATTCTCAGAGCTAAGTTATGAAACATCACGAAATGTGAATGAGAGGGCTGGAAGATTTGGGAGAATAAACTTTAAGTTACCCAATTGTTAAGCCCTGAATCTTTATTTATATAAATATCTTGTAATAAAGGAGGTTATTTTCATGAAACACCAAGTTCAATACTTTCTCCTTTCTGTTCATATGAATGTAATAAAATGAAACACAAAAATTAGACCGCGATGCATGTACAAACAAAGCTGAACTAACCAAGTCGGGCTTCCAGCTTGAAACTTTGGATTTCATCCTGTTTAAGAGGATAAAAACATGAAAAAAGTTACATGAAATAAGTTTAAAATACGCTGTGAAATTCATCTACTCTACCATTACTTCCTTGAGCTACGCTTGCAAAGAACCAGACGCACTTTCTAGAATTTGAAAATTTATGCATTGAGGTGTTTCCATCACACAGAATGACACCAAGCCTATGAAAGTTTGGACAGCTCGCTAATGAAAATTTTGTACTCCAAAATCTAAGACAAGTTTTTGTTCAGCAGCACAGACATTAAATTTAACCAGCAGAATGTTAATACCAGAACCCTCAGGAGTTTGGTGCCAAAAAGGTGTGGTTGCATGGCTACGCCATATGACAGCTACAGGATGCAGTTCTGGATTTACAAAAGGTGCATTTTCTGCACTGGCAGATGGTACTGAGCCACTGGCAATGGTTTACCCTGCTCATTACGTTAAAAGCAAAATAAATTATCTCACTGTTCTGCATAAATGAAATATTTGGTGGAGGCAGGGTTAAGTAACACAACCAACACCACAACTCATCCAAGGAGAGTTGCTACACCTCTGCTGGTGTCATGCAACAGAAACCAGAATCAGCAGTGTTCACCAGTTGGCTCCTGCACAATAGGCCGTTTTTGATATATCAAAATTCTAACATGGCTCTGAGGCTAGGGGTAATAGAACTGAAGAGATTTATTATTCATCCCTCAACCTTGATGTCATTTCCTTTGTTTTATTCCCCAAAGCCTTGGAGCTAAGTTTGAATTTTAATATATCACAAATGGCCTATTCTTCAGAGAACAAATAATGAGGAATAGCAAAGAAATGTTTCGTTTCTTTTACCTTGGATTTCTCAAGCTGTTGCTCCAACTTTGCTGCTTTTCTATTCGCCTTATTCAGCAAACTGGACATCTCCTTGTTTTGCTCTAAACAGCACGAGACATGATCACCTTAGACATATGAACAGCAAACAAAAATGCACAAAAAGTCTGAGAAATAATTTAGTCACCTTTCTCTTTTTTGATCTGTTCCTGTAGCTTTGCAATAGCAGCTTCACTTTTCTGCAAGCTGAAAAATACACCTTCATGAGAAGTAAAATCACAAGAAATTAGCTCCTACCTCAGGAAAGGATCACTGTAATTTCACAAGGGGGGTTCAATTTTGCCATTATTTTTTTGATAGAAGTAAAGATCTCCTGTCACTTTTTTTGGACTTACAGTGTATTCCACTGCTGCAACATACATGTAATACCAATTTCACAATATTTTCACCTTTCAAGGTGCCAAGAGCTTTGATTCATCTTCGAGTGTGTCGAGTGTGTCTTTATTGTTCAAAAGATAAAATTACATATCTTATGTTACATTAAAAAAAAGGATGTAAATAAGCTTAGGTGTATCTAAATAAGATAAGTATATACGTGGAAACAAATACAAAAGTCTAATACAGGAAGTACACTTTTACAAAGCTACATTGTACTTAAAAACAATTCTATTAAAAAATGTATTCTTAAAACGGTTTGTGCGAATGGCGGGCATGACAGGGGATTTATTTCTCAAATTATACCTCGTGATCTTGGTCTCAGGGAAGTAGGCTCTAAGAGGATGGCTCAGGATAGTTGAAACCTTGCGACAAATTTTGTGATCTTGCGTTTTAAGTAAGTCACCTATCACTAATTTCTTAGATATGTAACTACGTTTAAAACAACGATCTAAAAACTGCTGGGCTATAGTTAGCTCTGACTCAGAGGCCCCATGCACAGAAATATTAGGTAGGACAATGGAATTAAATAAAACATCTACTTCTGCTTGGCTACATCCTTCTTTGCGGAGGCATCTGATAACGTATAAACATTTATTAGCTTTACCTAACTTTTATTTTAGGTGAGTACTAAATTTGCAGTTCGGCTGAAACGTGAGGCCAAGAATGGTAATTGTAAGTCTGAGGTATGCCATACTTTTGTAGGCCTCAGCAGTGTAACCAGCAACAAAAGGAGATGATAAATGTCACATCCCTTGTGTAGCTGGCATTCTGTGTGCCCTTTAACCATTTGGCTCTTAACCCTTTACCTCCCAGATCAAATTTGTAATTCTCCTCACAGTCAACTATATAATTCTCATAATGTTAGTTCAGACAATTTAGTATTGGATCAACTAACTATCCTGAAATTGATATCTTTCTTTATTCTCATCACTTATCTGATTGATATTGTATTGATATTGTAAGGAGAAATTCTGTCTTGATCACTTGTAGGAGTTAAAGGGTTATCAGTGACAAGGATCTTATTTCTCCTTACAATATTACTCTTGAATCAAACATTAAGGTTACCAGAATAAAGGAAATGTGATAGTGTAGTGCTGAGAAGGACTGTTGTTGCTAGTGGTGACTGATGTCACGACAACCTGTGCAGAAGTCGTCATCAGAGTCAAGTGAATGGTTGTGGTCATTTGAATGTACTAAGTCTGGTTTGTGTAACCTTACTGGTCAGTTTTGCCATCATGTTATTGGCTGTAAGACTCAAGTGGCATAGGTCCATTGTGATTGGTCTGTTTTGATCCGTGACCAATCGTGACTGACTAATAACCACTTGACTGGGCTCCTAATTATATGTATGTTTATCAGATACCTCTTTTTTTGTTTTTGCATCTCATGAGCCTGAACTTGTTTCTCCAATCTCCACTGGCATTCCTGTTCTTCTTTGAGTTTTGTAACACTCAGTAGCTCTGAGTTTGTTTTCTGCAATTGATAATAAGATCAACAAAAATTAACAAGACCAGGACTGATTTGGTGTGTATTTTGTTAACAGAGTAGTTGTTCATCATCAAAAAGCAAACAAGTCCATGAAATAAGATTTCTGGTAATCCTGAGCAAGAGCACAATTCTGTTACTCTCAATAAAAATGTCAATATGGAGTAACAATGAAAAGAAAGGAGATAAATGTATCAAAGTTTCTTTCATATCATACACAGTGTGTCCTATTCCATTACTATACAATTTTACGGCATAATATTATCATGAGAACATACAGAATATGCCCCAGTATTACAGCATAGAAAGAGCAAAAATACAGAACAGCAAAATGGCTGCACTAAAAGATCCAACTTTGATTTTCTTTTCAGTTTTGTAGGGTTGACTATTAAAGAAACAAACTTTTTAGTATGACAGATTTTTTGGTGGTCACAAAGAACACCTCAGTGGTTTTGCTCATGTTGTTTCTGTCTTTCACATACTTCCTATGCAATCAATATGATGCAGAAATGCAGAGGGTCCAGATAAGACTGTAGGATGTATTTTGCAAACTAAAATCAAAATACTTTAGAGTGAAATAATAGTGGAATTATAAGTCCCTTATTCCATGGTTTAACATATAATAAGCATGGACATTTTTCTCATTGTTTTTATTCTTCCTTTACCCTTTAGGGCTTGGAAAAATACTATGCAAATTGCAAAATAACTGTGCATATTATGAGTTAAACCATTGAAAAGAATGTACTTATATAATCCCATTGGTGGAGTACCTCAAATGTCTGTAGCTTTTCTTGTAACTCTGCAATGGTTGAATCAGCTAAGGACTTTTCCCTGTGCAGTCGTGCTACATTCTGAAATAAACAAGAGCACTTCCAACTTAAATTGAAACAAGGTAAAATATTTTTAAGTTAGGTAAATGATGATTTATGATAAAATGAAAAGTAGAAGGGGGAAGAATGGCTTGAATTTCTTTGAGGTAATCCATGATTTCAGAAAGGGTCCTGCTGGGTGATTTTGAAAAAATTATGTGAATCCTACAAATTATTACCAATCTTTTTATCATATTTGTTCAAGAAGATTTAAAACAGATTGACAAGAAGTAAACAAATGAATGTCTACATGAGCATATCTGTAGCAACTACCATTCAGGGTGGAAAGGGGTGCGAGGTAACTGATGTTGAAAAAACCATACTTCTAAATATAATCCAACTTGTAAGGTATAAGATCTGCATCAAAATTATACTAAAGATTTGAAAATCAGTCTGACCTAAACCTAGGACCACACAAGACCATCAAGGACTGTAAGGTAACATGGGGTTCTGAACAAAAAACTCTGGCTCCAAGCAAAGCCATACACTTGGTAGGATTCTATTAACATTCTGCTACTTGTGGAGCTCAAAAAAAAAAAAAGGTTCTGTATATGTAATCAGTAACATCACGTTATGTGTAACGCAACCAAAATGGCAGGCAGGGATGGTGTTACAATATCAAACCAACCAACTTTGACCCCAGGAATTTCAAAACAGGCTGGTGACAGCCAGAGTTCTGCTGGCTACTTGATAATATGCTGCTGGTTACTCTGATCAAAATAATGACCTTTTGGCCCCTACTGAACTTTTCAAAATCATTTACTTTTGCCAAGTGTGAGTCATACTTCAAAACATTTCAAAAATCCTTGTAACCCCATCATCAAATTTGACCCCTAGGGCATGGGATTGGGTGTTCAATTGACATTCAAGTCAGATCATTCAGCACACTCTTAAATTAGTTATCATAAGCCCCATGTTTGCCACACTGTTGAAAAACAGTAAAAAGAGCCACCACCAACAACATCAACTTCAACAAGACAGGTACCTTCCTCAGAGGTTCACTGGAATGCAGTGCCCTGTCCAGCTGGCCTTGCAAAGTTTCAATTTTCCTGTATTCATAGCACAAAATTACAATAAATAAAACAATTCCAGATATAGTTAAAATTTAAAGACTAAAGATGGCTGAACATTTACTTTCCAGCAATTTTAAAAATGCTTAAACTTAAGCAAATATTCCTTTTTAGCATACAGAACATTTACGTCATACAACACAATCAATTAATTTCTTATCTCCCAACAAGGGCTTACAATACTAATAACTATTAATAATTAATTAATATATAATTAATATAAATTATTAATATAATTAATAATTAAACAATTTTTCTTAAAATTTATCAATTTTCATATCAAATCATTTTACTTTAAAAACAAATCCATCATCAGCATTCAATTTAGACTGAAGCAGTTCTGGCTTTTAAAACCTAACTCCAGACAATCTTATATACAATGGCAATTGCATGATTGTATCATTTCAAATTGTCTTACATCTGAGCTGCTTCCAGTTTCAGTGTGAAGTCAGTGGCTTGTTGAAGATGTTTATCAGATTCTACAACTGGTCAAGAACTCACTTCAAAAGAGAACTTCATTAACTTGTAAGTAAATATTTCTAGAGACAAGTATATGCAATCCAAAAGGTCTTCACTACCAAGTATTCAGTAGACTACACAGAACTTATACCATACAGAATCTTTCAGAGTTTTACATGTAGTCATGGTTTTGTTGCACATTCCTAAGTTTTCCATATTCTGAAGGGAAAAATAATTACACTTAAGAATTCTAACTCATAGAGTACCATTTAAAGGTGCTCTGAGCACCAAGCACTAAATTTTAGTTGGAACTGATCCAGAAATTTTTGATGGGGGGGGGTTTAAAACTCCTGCTTCAGAACACACATTTTGTTTTTCAACTACAGCCAAAATAAGCTAAGAAATACTTCAAGACAAGAGAATTTTGAAGGACACAGTATATTAAATGCTATCCTGTAGTTTAAAAAATTTTGCCATCTGAGGAGTAGCACAACATCCCTGTTGCCTGGTTGGAGAGGGTCTGGATACCCCAATTACCCAACATTGTGTAATACCTGGTTCAATAATTTGACGTACTTTTAAATTAATTCTGGTAATAGGACCAAGTGAAATCCAATTCAGTCCATAATCATACAAGCAATTAACAAAATCCATCGACTGCAAAGCAGAAGTCTGATTTGTCAATCACAAGTATGATTACAAACAGAATTGGACAACACAAAGTCCTGTTACCAATAAATCATATCCATTGCAATTTCCGAAAACAGAAAAAAACATTTAGGACAAATATTTCTCGTAGAAACATTGTCTTGGTAAAAAATTCCTCAATTATGGAAATGCCATTGTTTTCTTGGGATAAGTGGTTGTTGCTATGGTTATTGTGATCAATTCTGTGGTCAGTGGATTTGGCTGAAAGGACTGATTATGATTATTGCTTCAACTGTCCAGTAACAGGTATCCCATTACAGCCAACTGTTGGATTACACTGTTCGATAACAACTGCACAGAATGACTAGTGAAAAATAAAGCAGGTAATGCACCAATCACATTTGAGGAAATTGTAACGGTTATGATTGATCAGCAAAGAGAGGGAATGATATGGACACTAGTCAATTTCAAAGTTTTGCAATAAACAAGTAAACAAACAAAATTAAATACATTGTATTTATCTTCAAGAAAACATTGAAAGGATACCCAAGCATTTCTCTTGATACTTCTTGATAAGCTCACTATGATAGCAAAAATAATGAGAAACTAGTTAATTTGGGAAAAAATTGAAATTGTTTTCTTTCTTCTGACTCTGATTTTCTCTAGATTTTGACTCTGCTTACAACCTGATTTGCAATTAACACAAGGTTGAAAGTGCTCCAGTGACTCCGACTATGACTCTGTCTCCAGTGAAAACTAACCTCAAGGCTGTTACCTCTAAAGAGGAGCTGCTCAGACTTAAACAACTTAAGAAAATAAGTGACTTAAGCAAATATCTTAACCTCTGATTCAAAATGGAGTAGAGTTCAAAATATTGTACCAAGAGAAAAAAAAAAGCAATAAAAATTTAAGGGCTGGCTACAGTACATGTAATATAAGAGTTGAAATTGTCTTTAGGTCAGGGGCATAAAATAAACAAATATGGACAAAGACAACAGAAAAATACAAAATAAAGCTAACTACCTGTGGACTAAAGTTCTCACATTGCAAAACAGTACTAACACTGAAATGTATTTTCATAAAGGGAGAGAAATATACACAAATCAAAAAATCTTTGATTTAGTGGTTAATCTCACTGTCTTGTCAACACAGACACCTGGGTTAATCTTTTTAATAACAGGTAAAATTCAACTTACTCTGTTGAAATAATCTTTTCTTTGATCATTCTTAGTGTCAGTGTATGTTCTTTCTTAGTGGCCTCAAGTACCTGAAAGAAACCACAGGTAGCGATGATCATTAGTGCCCTCACTGCCCAAAAAATTGACCAAAAGGTACTAATTATGAAATTTATTTAGTTCTTCTTAGAAGCTCAAACCACTTGTACATGAGAAGTGCACGTGTATGTATAGCTAGAACATACACACACTTTTTTCCGGAGTGGTTGTCCCACAAAGTCTTAACATTACTCATATTAACATTGCGACAAAGAAAGATTATGGAGATTGTGGTTATTTGTACATGATTGATTGAGAACACTGTGATTTAACAGGATAAAAGGAACATGCATAATAATGAAGCTTGTCAGTGTACTCAGCTCTCTTCTTGCAGCAAAGCACATGTACATGAAAACCGAACATTCATAATCAATGAAGGCGTAATAAAACAACGCCAACCTTCGTGGACCGTTCTTAGCATTGTCAGAATCAATCGGAAAACCGTAAAAAACACAACTGGTGTCCTTTAAGTGAGAACCTCATATTTGTAAACTAAACAAGAAACAAGACGTAGTTTGGACGTTTTTAAGGGTCTGGAACAATTATTTTAAGAAAAAGACCCAACAAACCTCTTTCATTTTTGCACATGAAGAGCAAGTAGAATCACTGGAATTGTTTGAAGCTGAATCAGCCATTGTTGAATCAGACACTGCTTTCTGACAGCTTATAACTTCTTGCGATTTTAAACACCACGAATTTCCTCTGCACAATCTTCTGCCATTTTGACTTCACGGCCGAAAACTGGGACGAGAAAGACTATCTCCACACCAGTCTTTCACGGTGTGTGCTAAAATGAAAGAACTGGAAAGGATATGAGGGTCTGAGGATTATCAGGATAAGATTATTGAGATAAGATTGTATTTTTAAATACAAAAAGAGAAGTGTGCCCGTGATTCATTCCTTCATGAAACAAGATTATCAATATAAGTTTCCCGGTCTCATTTAGTAAACATACAACATGCTTACAATTATTATTCAGGAATATTTTACTTATCGATTATTGTTCACAATTAACGTTAAAGAAATATCTAGACAATTCCTCGTAACTTTCTTAAAATCTTCTCATCCATTCTGGAATGTTATTTTGTTCTCAGTCTGAATTACGTGACTCAAAGTTGTTACATTGCGTGACAGAAGTATGTTTGTTTTTAGTATGACATTTCCTGATGTTCTGTCAAGACTGGTTGAACGTGTTAGATTCCTATGTCGCGCGCGTAATTACAAGTTTTATTTTTCACTGCTTCAAGCAACAGCTCTACGGAAATGTCATGGAAATATGTACTCGTTGCAGTTTCTATCCTTCAAATTGTTCACAGAGTCAAGACGCTGGGTCAATTACACAAGACGATTATTAGCACTCAAGATGCAGTCTGCAACGACAATTCGCGTGCGGTGTTCTACATCGGACAACGACGGACTCATAACTGGATTATTTTCTTTGAGAGCGGGGGTCTTTGTTCGTCGAAGGCAGACTGCAACAAGCGATATTTGAACAAGAATTCGACTGTGTTAATGTCTTCGAAGTATCTGCCCGAAAAAGTAATCGGAAGAGATATCTTGTCTTCTTCAAAAAGTGAAAATCCGACTTTCTACAACTATAATCATGTACTGGTCCCTTATTGTAGCAGTGACCTGTGGCTTGGTAAAAAATCAACTCACCGGAACGGATCCTTTGATTTCGTGAATGACCCGTCCGTAGATAACTTCAGTTTTAAAGGCCATACGATTTTTCGTTCAGTATTCAAAGATTTACATAAGAACTACAACATCTCATTTTCAGAAGAGATCGTGGTTTCGGGTAGTAGTGCCGGAGGGATAGGAGTTTTAAATCACGCAAATTGGCTTACAACAAACTTTACCAGTTACTTATCATCGAAGCCCAGATTTCTTTTCATAACAGACTCGGCATGGTTTATAAACTTCCAGGATGGCTTTAAATCCAGAGTGAACTCTGAATTTGGCAAATTAACGAACATTTCGTCGGCTGCATGTGCAGATATGCGATATGGTTACGCATGTTGCCTATCAGCGTCGTGTCTCCTTACACACCACATTTCGACCGCAATGCAAATGGCGTTTGTTTTTAGTTTGTACGACATTTATATGTTTGCGGACGTGCTTAAAAGGCTTGAAAGTCAGGGAAAGACAGCCGAAAATCATGTAGCAGATTTTTTATCTGCAGTAAGTATGTATGGCGGAGCCATGAATGAGTCACTTGAAATTCCTCAAAGGCGTCGTGTTAGTTTTTTTGTCCCGGCTTGTTTTCAACACACTTATTTGAGTACGTCAAGTCTTTGGGACAAAGACAGCGTTTTACAACCTTTGGTAGAAGTTACCCGAGACAATGGAAAATTCAGGTAAAAAGAATTAATTAAATTAATTTTTCGTGCTTGCGACAAGTTTGGAGGTACTCCAAACCCAAATGAAGTAAATATCTCTGTTCCTTCCTGTTATCAGGTGACCTTTCACACACGTCGGATTATCATGGATAAAATACTTGAATGCACTACCTTCCGGTACAGACAGTGCTATAAAAAGAAATGCAAATCGATTGAAAAAGGAAAAAAAACCAGTTAAAGCGGAACAAAATAGGGATCTCGATAGCTCAAGACACCTTGATGAAGAGAAAAATATTCCAATCGCTGCCCTAGGGGAATTTTTGGCCTAACCCCACTCCCTTAGCCCATAAAAAGGACGAGTCCGTTCATGTTTGGTGTATGCCCTCCTTTGAAAATGTGTGGTTCTCATGTGCAAAGTCCTTCTGTTCATGAGTACAAATAAATACCCGGATGTAAGGGTGGAAAAATGTCCTCGTTGGTGGGGAAGAGGGGCTGGTGCAACAGCAGATGAGTATCATCTCCTTTGGGGCACTAAGAATTTCTCTTTAACTTTGCTTAATTTACTTGTGGGAGACATTTCATTTAACGGGATATTGTCAACATAACAGGTTCTTTTTAGCCTGTGTCTATTGTGACAAAATAGTTTTCCTTTTTCCTTCATAGTCATAGAGTTAAAAGTGGAACTTGGTCATCAACAAAAATTAAAAATGGGACTTCCAGCATCAGCATTCAAGATTTCTTATCTACCTGGGTGAAATCCAGTAATACCACCTTCAAGGTGATTGACAGCTGCATTGGTGCACACTGCAATCCAACCTGCCCTGATAAACTAATTTTCGTGGATGCAGGTGAAGTTTGGCATGATGTTATTAAAGTAGTCATCATCACCTTCTCCTTGGTTATCACAGTGCTTTGTTCTGGACTGAAAGCAAGTTTTATGGTTTACTATCGCTATTTAATGAAAAGACAGAAAAGTTATCTCAATGACAGTGAAACTTCTCAAGCAAGAAAGGAGGTAAGCATGTGTTACCAGTTACAGTTAGATTTCGACCATGTCATCCTCTTATTTTCCACAGCTTTTACTCTCGACTAACTCCGAGAAAAACCTCCTTATCTGAATGTTGATGTCGCTATAAAAAAAAGTTTGTTTTTACCATCCGTTTTGATATGAAGAAAGACAAGAAAGAGGAAACCATGAACCCTTAGTTTCATTAAGGAGGTCTGGATCTGCAGAACAGAGGGCTGCAGTGCTCTAGCCCTCACCCTGAGGTGTGATCACCCTATCCATCTTACTCCCCCACTCCTGCTAGACTTTTTTATCCCTTAGAGTGATTAGCATCTAATTTCTCCTTTCAATATCACCCCTGAATCCAACATTAATGTCATGAGAATAAAGGAAATGATAATCAACTGAAGAACCTCTTGATTGTTAAACAAATTCTCCTTGTCAGCACATCAGGAAATGTAGAGAGAACAGTATAGAGAATTTGCATACTGATTTCAGGGTGTAAAGGGTTAAGACAAAATGAATCCTGAAAGATCTAAGATTAACAAATACTGTAAAACGTTTGTTTAAGAAAGTGTTAGAAGGGGAAACCTAGTGCTCTATTCCTAGATAGGGCATATTAGAAAGTGGGAATTGTTAGAGGTGGCTTAATAAAAGGGGGCTTATAAGAGATGGAGCCTGATAGAAAGGGGCTTGTTGGAGGGGAAGTGATAGGAAAAGGGACGTAATAGAGAAGGGGCATAAAACAGAAGGAGGAGGCTAATAGAAAGGGGGCTTGATAGAGAGGGGCTTTAATAGAGAGGAAGGCTCATTAAAGAGGGGGGTGGGGTCCTAAGAGAAGGTGGAGTTAACTAGAGCGGAACTTGCGGGGGCGTAACAGTGGGAGAAGTCAGATAGATAGAGGATGATTATTAGAGGATGATTATTAGAGACGGGGGGGTTATTATATTAGGAGGGGGGGTGTAGTTTACAAGAGAGGGGTTAAAAAGTGAGGAGGATCAATGAAACATTCACGGTTCATATGTCTTTTTTTGTAGCTTCCACTTTGCAAGGCGGGTGAAACTGTTAGTATAGCTTGCTTATCCTTAACGTATGAAGTGGATGTAAAGGAAAAGAAAAAGGAAAAGAAAGCTGACGATGGTAAGAATAGTAAAATTGTACATTGTTTACTACAGAATACTGATAGAGTTTCACAAAACAGTTTGAAGGATTACGCCTTCCAATAAATCTTGATTGAGACCTTTTACAGCTTTTATGTTTTCCGCAATTTTCAAGACCGCACAGGGGAAATCGCTAAACGTCAAAATAGGTTCCAGGCCTTTGGCGTTTTGTGAGTGATTCTAGCTCCCCGTAGAGAGCTTATTGGTTAGCTCTAAAGCGGCCAGGCACGGTCGTTTAAAGGATGTTAAAGGGTGGATAATGCGATCCACTGCATAAATCTTTATCCGGTGTATAGCGCGGTACATTTTGTTAAAAATTATCCGATGGATAGCAATTTACCCGTAGGTTATCGTTATCCGCCCGTTGGAGTCCAGGTTAAGATTTTGCATTGATCGTTAGAAATGATTTGAGCCTAAGGTTTTCCTGTTACTACAAAAATCAACACCTACATTGCCAAGAAGGTTTTAAGACAGCGTGTGGGCCTTTTTACGCTCTTTTGTGCGCTTCTTTTGGAACTGCTGTAATGTAAATCCTTGTACGTTTTAAGAAGAATGCTTGGGTTGATATTTTTTCCCTTTGTCAGACCTCAGCTCTGAAGAAACCAGCAGTGTGATTAGAACAGACAGGAACAGTAAAACATCGCTTACACTTCGAGGTTGTCTTGTGGAGGAAGACTCTGGCAGCGATGGACAAGATTATGAGGAAAGTAAAGATGACGAGATAGACGGCGACTTGAACTCTCTACCTTCCAAGTTGACAAATGGTTCTACGAATCTGGAAACAGAATCGACGGAAACTTCCCAGGAATTTCAAGCTGAGTCTTCGTTGGCCAAATTGGACGGTCACTCCACTTGGGGGTCCTATACGGGAAGTGAAATGGCACTCTTACAAGGTAGCAACACAGAAATCAAACAAATCCCCGTGGATGCGGCTGATGGTAACCCCTCTAAAAAGCAAATTCTTAAAGGTGTGTCGGCGTATTTCAATACTGGAGAGCTGGTGGCGATCATGGGACCATCCGGATGCGGAAAGACAACACTACTTGACTTGTTAACAGGAAGGCGGCGCTCTGGACATTTTAAGGTTTGTGTGAGTTTTTTTCTCGCTTCTTCTTAAGGAACAAAGGAGTTAAGTTTGAATTTATCTCAAATTGAATAAACTATATGATTGCAGCGCGGCTCAACATATTCTATAAACCTTTGAAACATGTGATTGCGTTACGCGTCTCTTGAAATCCGCGACAATGGTCGACAACCGAACCTTTCCGAGAAAGACACGGTCGGAAATCGAAGCTTTCCGTACGATGCACGGTTGTCTTGTTGCATGTCACTACTAGGTTGCCTTCTATACAAGATTTTGCATGGCATGATAGAATTAGCATGTTACGGGATGTTTCGGCATGTTCTGGTGCTCCGAGTTCGAGCGCATGCGGAGTCGTGCTACAGTTGTACGGG